AGAGGACGTCCAATCAGCCCAACTGCTCGTTTCTGGAGCTGGAGCCTCAGAGGACGTCCAATCAACCCAACTGCTAGTTTCAGGTGCTGGAATCTCAGAGGAGGTCCAATCAACCCAACTGCTAGTTGCCGGAGCTGGAGTCTCGGAGGATGTCCAATCTAGCCAGCTACTCTCTTCGATTGTTGTGGTCGTGGACATAACGGGGGTTGAGGTGGTCCAGTCTGCCCAGCTTGAAGAGTCCGGTGTCGGCATGGTGCCAGTGGTTGTGCTGCTTGAGCTCCAGTCAACCCAATGAGACTCGGAACTTGAACTTGTCGTGGCCGGAGGGACAGGAGGGAGAGAGGTACTTTGTGACCAATCCGCCCAGGTCTCTGAAGTTGTAGTATAGGAAGTAGTGCTGGTTGTTGTTGTTGTCGAGGAGCTCCAGTCCGACCATGTCTCCGCACTTGTCATTGAGCTAGTGGTCGTTACACTGGAAGTCGTGTCCGACCAAATAGGACTTGCGGAAGTAAGTATTGGCGTTGTCATGGTGGTAGGGCTGGTACTTTGGCTCCATTGGCTCGATGCTGGGGCGGTGGTCGTTATGATCGGGGTTGCCGTCGGTATAATCGGGGCTGTGGTCGGTATGATCGGGGCTGTGGTCGTTGAGCCCGGTAAGCCTGGCAAACTCGGAGTAGAAGTTTGCCCGGCACATTGAGCCTCAAGGAGACCGGTGGCAATAGCGAGAAATTCAGGCGCACAGCCCGTTGCAATACATGATTGGATGGAGGCGAGAGAGTCGGGGCTGCAGGTGTCACCGAAGATGGCCGCTGCTGCGGCCATGCAGGTTTGCAAGCAATCGGGGGCAGGGGCAGAAGTAGCTTGGGGTCTGGGAATTGCTGCTGTAAGAGGCACGGCTGAGAGAGTGGCAGCGGCCACAATTGCAGATCTGGAACGGGAATGCATGTCGAAAGAATGTGTCACAACAATGTACAATGCAGATATCAAAGGAGTTGGTAGGCGCCGAGCGCTCTTTCACAGATGTGAGTCTCAAAGCTGCTATGCTGCAGTGTCCTGGATGGAGGAAAGAGAAGTTGCACAAACCCTCATGCGACCCGCGATATGTAGTTGCGATATTCGACGCCCAGGGCTCCTACCAGCCTCCATTGTGCAGAGAGACGATATCACGGGGCTGAGATAGACTAGCGTTGTGGTATATCGTGTGGCCAGGAGACGACGATCGGAGGGTTGAAGCGAGAAGTGAGTGGCGGACGGAATAAAAGCAGCGGCAGGAAACGGGAGAGGTTGATATTGCCCGGTTGCCAAGCCATTAACGATCTGCTGAGCATGCTGTGATTGGATGGATGGCGTCTTGTGGGCCACCAGCCTCTCGCGCTAAACCATATACGCTCCAGTAAACAAAGGCGTCAAAGGACAATAGTATTGTCCATAACGTAGGGCTGGAAAGCCTTAATTACTCAAATTGGGCATGATGCCTGCCACAATGATCCGAAGCTACTCTTGATTGGTCATAAATCTAGTTCCGCGACCTGGAACAGTTCGTACTGCTGCGAACTGCAGAAAGTGTGCCCCAGCCACGTGCCCAACATTGAGAGAACGATGGTTCTCGCTCTCCCGAGTGGCCCCCAGCATGCCAATAATTTTTCCGTACCTAGTTACTCGATACGGAGTACTCCGTACGGGGTACACGATGCTCCTCTATTACAGGCCATGATGTGATGGCGGAAGGTGTCTGTCCAGTACAAGTTCGACGACACGGCAATGCTGAACACTGCCTGAAATATAATTAAATGCCTCCAATTGACACTGGGCTCGACCCAGCGTCACCAGCGACATTCATCTACCATAGCCTACTTTGAGGATCTCGCTCAGCACTTCCATGCGTGCATACATAGATTGTCACGATGGCTATTCCCCGCCACCGCGTAGCGACCCGCCCGAATACGATTAGCGAGACACTAAGAAGGGCCCACCAGCGCCACTCGACGTGGCCGGGCTTGGAGCCTCGAAGCCGCTGCCGACTAACGAAGCACGAAGTTACAGCTCATTCAGCGGACTGAGAGTGAGGACACGGTTGCAGCATGCTACAGCAACAACAGTCTTGAGACTGACGCGGCATGACATCCCTGGGGTGAAGGCGTCCGCTGGCCGCCTCAATGAGAAACTATGTACTTCGTGTTCGTATGGAGTATTCTGTGACTGGCGAATCAGGAACGGCGTGAGGATTCAGTAGCAGTGTTGGATAGAGGCCAGCTCATTGGATTCAGGTGCCGTTACGTCTGTTTCGAGGAGCTCGAGAGTCCGCGCATGGCCAGGCTCTTACATGCCTCAGCCAACGACGTGTCTCATTGACACCTTGCCTTTCAATCGGATTGATCCCTTAACGCGTCCAACTGTTTCCTGCACTAACGCAATGCGCCTGGCTTCCGACAAGACCAAATCATCCTGAACGCGCACATCAAATCCGTTGCCGTACTCCGTACCGTAAGCAGTATGGACAAATAAGGCACACAAGCAATTCAGCCATGAAATCTGGGTTATTGGTGGGCCCTTGACACCATCCACTATTATGCACGTGCTTAGTGGAGCGTGATCATGGCAGCCGGTTGATACGGCGTCGTATGGTAGAGTCCCTTGCTGAACGAGACGGCGGCCGTCATCTGTGCACCATGACTGCTTGCAGATTTTGACGTGGTATACATCAAACGCCTCGGACATAACTGGACGTTGCCTTTGCGGAATTGCGACGGTCCATCCGATCGAACGAAAGGCTCCGCGTCAGTTCACGGATTGGTAAAGTAGCAAGGGTTCGCCAACGTTCTCGATCTCGGGAATCGTGCATTTCAGGTCGAAGGCTTTCGAAAGGACGATCTTGAAGATCTTCTGGACGTTGATGCTGTGACTGGTGCTGCTAAAGATGAGGCTTGCCCGCATCGCTTTGGCGAATCTTCGAGCCTGTCACACGCCGACAATCAGTCACCATACATATGGAAATGCTACTACAAGTCCGAAAGCACGCCCGTGCATACCTGATTGCTGATCTCCTCTTGATCTTCTCTGGGAAAGTTGACGAAATGATCATATTTTGTGCCGATCAAGAATGGAATGGCAGTTTTGTTGAAGCCTCGGCCTTGTCTGTACCACTCTTTGATGCTGTTCAGCGTCGACTTCCGAGTCAGGTCGAACATGAATAGGATCGCGACGGCGTCGTTGCAGACAAGGGGAAGCATGTTGACAAACTCTCGCTGGCCACCCAGATCCCAAATCGAGAAGGTAATTTCGGTATTGCGTATTGAGATTGTCTTCTCCATGAAGTTGACGCCTAGCAACTCGTTAGCCACTCGAGCTCAGCTGAAAGTAATCGGAATGGACGCACCCAACGTCTGTATGTAGTCTTCATCCCAGCTGCCCTCGACATATTTGACCATCAAGCTCGTCTTCCCTATCTGAGCATCCCCAACCATCCCGACCTTGATGACGACACTAGATTTGCTGGCTGGCTGTGACTGGCGATTTTCCTGATACTGTGTCTGCTGATGCCCGCCCATGCCAGAACCAGGTCTTGAACCGGGCTGTTGGTATAAACTGGGTGAGTTGTATTTCTGACTTGGGTCATTGTCAAGGGGTGGCGTTGCCATGGCAGTTGACGCCTGTGATTGCTGGGCATTTTGTACCGCCGTAACGTCCTCTTGTGACTGATCCTGATCGTTGACAATGTGCGGACTGTAGGCCGAATCGGCGGGGTAGTCAATGGGGGTAGAGGGATCCATAGTGGGAGGCCGGCAAGGGTAGTGAGCCGAAAGGAGAGGTTGACAAGAGCTTTAACAGCGTGTAGGTGGACGCCTGGGACGACTCATGCGGTGCGAATATATCGTTTCGGGCTGAGGATGGATGCGGTCGAGATTGAGGCCGCAGGTCGCAGCCGAAGGGCGGTTTAAAGTGTGAGTGAGGAATTGACAGATGCGCATGAGCGAATCAACATCGAATGCATGAGACGCGTCTACACGGTCCAATCAGTGCCCATTACCGATACTATTCATTGATGCATCGTGTCAGAAAGATACTGAAGGCCTGTGTAATTTCTAGCTTGTGGCTATAGCACGAATGTCACATCGAACGCTCCGGCGTGCCCTTGTCGAGACGCCTGCACCTCCGCTGCCAGGAACAAGGCGCATGCGGCAATGATGGCCGCCGAGACCACGAGGAAAACAGCCTGAGTCTTCATTCCCGTCTGAACCAGTGCCCGCCGTTTTGCATACTTGGTGACTGTCCGCATGTAGATGGCCAGTCCAGTCACCAGGCAAGCCAGCGAGAGCACCCAGAAGATGATTCCCATTGGATGGCTAAGTCTTCGTTCTAGGGCAGTTGGTTGGTTTTTGAGATGGAAGTTGACCAGGATGGCTACCGCCACTATAGCCATATAGATCGCCAGCCGAAGCCACGACAAGAATGTGCGCTCGTTGGCACAATGGTCCCGCGCGTCTGATGTTGTGTTAGGAAAGAGAAGCGGGGCGTACAACGGCTGTAGAAGGAACATCTTGATCGGGTTCTCGGGATGGTACCTAGTATCGCTCAGTACAGCTGATTCCCTGTTCATGGTGGGAGCATCCTACTCGTGGACGTTGATAGTGGCGCCGAAGGGATTGTAAAGGACGTGCCACTCGTCTTCACCAGGAGCTTGTCCAAGTGGACTGCAATCTTCTTGATGAGCCATCTTCCCCGTCCTGCCTGAGCTGCAGTCGCCAAAATGTAGAATGGTGCTTCCTATGGCAGCAGACAAGCCATCGACCAATGATAAAGAATGTGGTAGTAGGATTTGAGGATATCAGCTACTTAACGTTGACCCGTTCATATACTGGATGGTGTTGAGGAAATCGAAGATGACGCAGTTCAATCGCCGAGGACAAAAGCTGGGGTTGCATGGCTTGACCATGGGGCTCATGCCAAATCGAATCATCGCGTTGTGCGCTTGTACTGAACACATCTTACCGACTGAGCCTTCCTTAAGCGCCTGTAATCTCCCTAATGCTGGCCTCGGTCGCCCACAACTAACAAAATTTGCCATCCGGTGCTTGACTTGGTATCCTCAAGCAGGAAGGACTGGCTGTGGACTGAGGCGGGCGGCGACGCCTATCAGCGCCATTGCCCCGCCCTCTGCTAGGGGCCAATGGCACCCTCTCACGCCTCTAAACAGCCTGGGACAGACCCCCAAATGGTTCAGCATTGGCGACGCTGTGCCCGATCCGGCCACTGCAGCCGACAACATTTTTGGAGATCATCGTCGCAGATGTGCGGAGCTGATAGTCGTGACTGTACGAGCTCAGGCAAGCTTTATCAGTGAACATTTCCCACCGTCTGTCAGAGTTCCAGCTCCTGTTCACTCTTCCGGACAGGTCCCGCTTTGATCAATCATCTGCAACGGAGAAATGCACGCCTCAAATGAAGGTCGTCTTTGAGCATGCGAGCTCTAGATCGAAATCGTAGCGAATCGAATCCTTCAGTCTCGCGGGAAGCATAGCTTTTGGCCCAGGCCTGCCCACCATGACCACGCCGCCAAAGAACCTCAGCACGCTCGAGCGTGTCACGAGCGTCACGAGTCGTGCGTTTTCGCGATCTCTCCCAGATTTCTCGCCGATTGCACAGGCGTCTCTAGCTCGAGATATTGAAGAAGACCCCGAAGATGCCGTGGAGTCAGAATCCGAGCCCGACTCTGAGACTTCAACCTTGCGGCCTTCTACGTCTGCGCCTGGAAGAGGGCAGTCTTCTGCGGGATTGTATCGTCGACCGAGCTTTGTCGGTGCAGGAAACAGAGCGACTGTACTGCCACACCTTCTATCAACAGAGCATGAGCGGCTGTCAAAGCAAGAGAGGAAGCAGGCACTCGAGGAGGAAAGGAGTCTATTACGAGACAATAACATCATCCCTCCGAAGCATCCACAAGCTGCTGGTGGCGATGCTAGCCGGAAAAGAAGCATTTTCCATATCCCGGGCGGAGATCGCAAAGTATCCCGCGATGAAGAAGCCACACCGGCACTGGATGGAGGCCTTGGAGTTGGGTCCGAGGCGACGCCTCTTCTGGGTGACCCAACTCTGCCGTATGGTGGCCAAGACGATCCAGAGACTATCAACCAGAAATGGGAGGAGGCGGTGGCCGCTGGCATGATTCACACCACATGGCAGCGCGAGGCCAAGGTCATTGCCCGATATGCCGCGCCCTTGATGGTCACCTTTATCCTACAGTACTCTCTTACCGTTGCAAGCATATTCACAGTCGGACACATCGGAACGGTCGAGCTAGGAGCCGTCAGTCTAGCTTCTATGTCTGCGAACATTACTGGCTATGCCCTTTACCAAGGCCTAGCAACCTCACTCGACACCCTTTGCGCACAAGCCTATGGATCCGGCCGCAGGAAACTGGTGGGATTGCAAATGCAGCGCATGATTTACTTTTTATGGACCATCACTCTCCCGATCGCAATCATCTGGATCTTCGCAGAGAATATCCTTATCGCGATTGTCCCAGAGCCAGAAGTCGCAAAACTGGCTGGCCTCTACCTGAAGGTCGTCCTAGCGGGAGCGCCCGGCTATGCAGCATTCGAGGCTGGGAAACGTTACGTCCAAGCTCAAGGGCTCTTTTCGGCCTCGTTGTACGTTCTGCTGTTCTGCGCCCCTTTCAACGCCTTCATGAACTGGCTCTTTGTATGGAGGTTCAAGATGGGCTTTGTCGGGGCACCCATCGCCGTCGCCATCACCGACAACCTTCTCCCGATCGGTCTCTTCATCTACGTCCGCTTCTTTTCCAAAACCGGCATGTCTTGCTGGAACGGCTTCACCAAAAAGGCGCTCCAGAATTGGGGTCCGATGGTGAAACTTGCTTTGCCCGGAGTCGTGATGATCGAAGCCGAAGTCCTGGCCTTTGAGATCCTGACCTTTGCAGCATCCTATTTCGGCACGACCACTCTCGCCGCCCAATCCGTCCTCGCCACTCTCACGTCGTTGACGTTCCAAATCCCCTTCCCACTGAGCATAGCCGGCTCCACGCGCGTGGCTAACTTAATAGGAGCCACCCTCGCCGACGCCGCCAAAGTCAGCACCAAAGTGACCTTCTCCGCCGCGGTCATCGTTGGCATCCTCAACATAACCCTCCTCTCCGCGCTCAAAGACTACATCCCCCGCCTCTTCACTTCAGACGCCGAGGTCATCCGCATCGTGTCCGACATCCTTCCTCTCTGCGCCGCGTTTCAGCTCTTCGACGCCCTCGCTGCAGCATGTAACGGCATTCTACGTGGTCTGGGGAGGCAGGAGTTTGGCGGCTACGTGCAGCTGTTCTGTTACTACGTATTTGCCATGCCGATTAGTTTTGGCACGGCCTTTGGCGCAGGCTGGGGCTTGTGGGGGTTGTGGACCGGTGTCGCACTCGCGCTCGGGTTGGTCGCTGCCGTGGAGTTTGTCTATCTCGCCAGGACGGATTGGAATCGCAGCGTGGAAGAGGCGACGGCTCGGAATATGGAGGGTGGATTATGAAAGGGATAGGTTGAGCGTGTTGCTGAAGCGTCGACTGTGGCGTACTGTCCTTCTTTCGCTGCGTGGTGCAACCCGCGGCCGTATTTCTGTATATAGCGTATGAGAGATGCAGCGATCTGAATTGAATCTGAACTCGGTTTGTGGTAATGCTCTTGTTTCTGAGCCGTTGCGCGTATTGCGTAGACTGATTATGCCTAACGAGGAACTATCTGGGGCTTCCTTTGCCACGTTGACGAGTATCACCACCATCAGCAGTGCGCATCAGTAGGACGAGGATGGATAGGTCGAGAACTACGAGGAGCGAGGGTCCCAAGCAAGGATGGGACGGGAAAGTGTCTTGCTGCATGCATGATTGAGCAAGGAAAACAGTCCATTTGACGGCATCTGTACTGTTCTTCCATCGCGCCTGAACGCCCCTGTGCGGTCTGACAAACCAGTGCTATGCGCTCTCATCCATGTACATAAGCCTTTCTTGCGCCATAAAAGCCAAAGCAACATCACCACGATCAGGCTTTCACATGCGCCGAATCTGGCTCTCGTTCATGACCTCGCTCAATTTCCCCTGCGCCAGCTTCTCCCACCACTCAAAGAGCATGCCCTCGCAGATGAGTCGGAACCAGGGCGTGTACTTCAGGGCCTGGTCCTTCCCGCTCTGACTCTCGACGTCTTTGAACATCTGCTTCAGTTCGTCGGGACTCACCCAACGCGTATCTTGCACTTCGTTCGTGTTGATATCCAGCGTCACGTCTGCTTCAATGAACAGGATATAGTCGATCTCATGCTCGCCCCACTTGCCATCCGACGGCGCCAGATAATGAATCCTCGTCAAGAAGCTGAACTCTGAGACGGGGACCTGCGAGGCCGGAATGCCCAGCTCGTGGCCCAACTTGCGCTGCGCCGCGCGCTTCGCCCCCTCCACATTACTCGACAAGTCCCCGTTGCCCGTCTCGGCAGGATGCGCCAGCGGGTGCGAACAGCATGTGTTCGTCCACATGTCCGGGAATGTGATCTTCTCGCTGGCGCGCTGCTGCAAGAGTAGCTTCTTACTCTTGGGGTCGAACAGGAAGGCCGAGAACGCGCGATGCAGTAACCCCTGGTTGATGTTGGACATCAAATGGCAGGCTTTCTTGGAGGCGGAGCCGATGGGGGCGTCGTCGTGGTCTAGCACGATGCACATTTCATCCATGAGCCGGATTTGCTCCTCGTCGTAGCCGGCAAGAAGGTCGTCCGAAGTGGAATTGGAGGCGCCGTTGGTGGAAGGCGTGTGCGTGGGTGCCATGTCAGCGCCGATGAGGCGGGTGTGCACTTCGGGGAAGAGGCGCGTGACGTTTTCGCGGGTTATGGTTGTCGAGGAAGCCATGTTGGCGGTGTCGTCCAGTGAAAGGCGTCAAGCGATGTGGGAGGCAGCTTAAAGAAGAGTTCGAACACAACGGCCAAGGTGAGGGATCGGACACGAGTAGGTGGCTGTTGAGCTGTCAATGAAGGTGGGGAAGAGTGAAACTGCAACGGCGGTGAAAAATGATGGCCCGCAATGGAAAAAAGTTCAGTCACGTGCCAGGGGTAAGTAAATGTGCCCCTCGGGACGGATCTCCCGAAGTGACCTGACACCCGGACTTGTTAGGCTTGCCTAAAAGAGCCGGGAAGAAAGCAGTTAAAGCGCAACCCCGCCTAAACCGACCCCGCGTCGCACCACCTTCCAGGCCTGGAAGTGTCTTGACACGCGGCGTGCGGTTTTCTACCTACAGTTGCGGCTTGGAGTGAACTCATCAGGCCCTAGGACGATCCGTGCAACGAGTCACTTTGACCGAAACCGGTGTCATCCCTACTGTATCACTGAGATCACTGAACCGTAATCACGCCGAAATGTCCTCTGAATCCCAGCCTATTTCGGCGGAGCGCTTCGCGTTCGCTATCCAAGATCTGCCTGCAGAGAACTTGTATTCCAAGGCTCAGGAACTCGAAAACTCGATAGCTCATCTCGAACGCTCAAACAAAACCCTCCAGGAATATATCGACAGCATTCGTTCAGATAGCACCCTTCCGGAGAGCACGCGGCAGGAGGGTGACAAAGACTGTTCAGATGCCATCCAGGAAAACCACGTCGTCATCGAGCGACAAAAGGAGAGGATTGAGTTGCTGAAGCGCGAAGTCGAGCGAAGAGGAGCAAAATGGCATGAAGTAAACACGAATGGCAAAGTCAACGGCAGTTCAGACGACAGCGGCACAAACGGTAGTACAGCAGACATGGAACGGAACGCAGGCGGGCGATTGTCTGACGAGGAACTGAGGCGACAGATGATGGACCGGCTTGGAAATAATGAGGATGGTACTGAAGAGGATGGAATGCACCTGTGAGAACGCAGAACGCGAAGCAGCCTCTCCTGCCAACATTTTGACCGAGCGAGAAATCCTCCTTCCGATTACCAACTCCATCCAGTGCGCTTTTACACCGAGCGGGATTTCGCAGATTCCACGACGAGACTTCGCCCTCGGACCTATACAGATTTTCCTCCGCATCCTCGTCTGCCAGAGCTACTCGAACGGAAAGTGGGCTCGATGGTCTTAGTCGGGCGGAAGTCGGGATAAGCTCAGATTGTGCACGGTCCACGACATGTTCGGCAAGATACCATCGAAAGGAGCCATTCTCTCCAGGCCAACTGCACTGGATGTGGAGGAAGTGAGGCTCCGAAGCCGCCATCCCAAGTTACGAGCTACGACCGAACATCGTATGGACCCAATGCTCACTCTGGAAATGCCGGTCAAGATCCCAGAATAGCCACACGAGGGAAGCGCGTCGTGCGATTTGAGTTACTCGGGCTAAATTCGCTCACATAAGGCAACCCGCACTGCCCGGATCATTTTGCGCAAGGCATGGTTGGACGACTTGTTGTTTCGCGATACCGCAGACTCGGGATGAAATGAGACCGACTCGCTTACAAAGGGCGGCCAAAGACACCGGCCACATCCGCAAGCACGTGCAAGGCTGCGAGTCGATTGTCCAGGACCATCTTCGGCCATCTCCACTCTTCCTTTCGCCGCGTCATAGACTCATCGATCGCCGACAGCACGATCCAGAATCCCTGGTTCACCTTTTCCGACTCGGATCTCATAGCACCCGGGTCAATCACAACTGTCTGCCAGCGATTGTCCGATCTCTGCACGGAGATCCCTCACTGTTTGAATACGAGTAAGGCTTGTGTCCTCCCCGGCATTGCCGACCCAACCGTTCCTTGTCATGACGCCTCGAGGCTGCGAAATCTGCAATGACATCCTTTTAATGCCCGTCGTCTTCTCTTTACGACACATCGAGTGCTGCGTACACACTAGGTGCTGTTCTACCTTTTCCCAACACACTACCTCTATTTTTATAAGTCTGTGATACTCGTATTGCTAGGCCGTCCAAGATTAACGCCCAAACATGGCGGAACTATTTCGGGATACGGTCGTTGGGCAACTTTTGCGGCTCGTTACCGGAAGGAGGATTCTCAAGTACCCAGAAGAACGCGACCCTTCAATATGGCAACGATATCTGAATGTCGAAAAGTCTTCCAACATGGCCCTTCATGGCAGCACCTCGAGACCTGATCAGCCTAAAAAGGAGCTTCTTAGTGCAACTTCAAGCGACCCGCCGACGCCGGCGGCGGAAGAAAAGCAAGAGTCAGAGGGTGCGCCGTATTACGACCAGGCCGCGCCAGTACCCGGATCGAAGGAGCAAAGGAGTACCCAGCCTGCATTAAACAAGCAGCAACCTCCGTCGCGTCGTTCATCAATTTCCGCGTCAACCACAAATGACCACGAGAATGGCCTCGTCAACACGCTGAGCAACACCAGAGTCGACCCTGAGAAAGGACGAGATGCTGATATTGTGGACTGGTACGGACCGGACGACCCGGAGAACCCGCTGAACTGGGGCACAGTTAAGAAGGTCTGGGTCACCTTTGAGATCTGTCTCCTGACCTTCTCGGTCTATATTGGTTCAGCAATTTATTCAGCCGGTATTCTGGATGTCAGCGAAGTCTTCGGGGTCAGTCGTGTCGCATCCACGCTTGGTCTCACACTGTTCGTCCTCGGATATGGCATTGGCCCCATGTTCCTGTCACCGCTGTCCGAGCTGCCCCAGACCGGAAGAGCACCAATCTACATCGCAACTCTCGCACTCTTTGTCGTCCTACAGGTTCCGACGGCCTTGGCCACCAACTTTGGCATGCTGCTTGCATTTCGGTTTATTACAGGCTTCGTTGGATCGCCGCCCCTCGCGACTGGAGGTGCCACCATTGGCGACATTTACAGCCCAAAGAAGCGAACATACGGTATGGCCGTCTGGGGCGTTGGTGCTGTCTGTGGACCAGTGATGGGTCCACTGGTTGGTGGCTTCGCGGCTGAGTCAAAAGGATGGACGTGGACCATCTGGGAGTTGATGTGGCTGTCTGGGTTTACGCTTGTGCTCCTGCTGTTCCTCATGCCAGAAACATCTTCAGCCAACATCCTGTATCGACGCACGATGCGCCTACGAAGACTCACGGGTAACAACAAACTCATCTGCGAGCCTCAACTTATGGGTGAACAGATGACGGGCAAAGATATTGTCATGATGACACTGGTCCGACCGTTTAGTCTCTCATTCACCGAGCCCATGGTCTTCCTATTGAATATCTATATTGCGCTGATATACGGCCTCCTTTACATCTGGTTCGAGAGCTTCCCCATCGTCTTCAGCGAGATCTACGAGTTCAGTCTGGGACTCGAGGGTACAGCATTCTTGGGCATTCTCGTCGGCGTCTTCGTCGTTCTGCCGCCCTTTGTCTGGTACCAGCGGAAATACATCGAGCCGAGATTCAACGACAAGGGTGAATTGCAACCGGAGTGGCGACTCCCACCGTCCTTTGTTGGCGCATTCTGCATCCCAATCTGTCTGTTCTGGTTCGGATGGTCATCACGCCCGGACGTCCACTGGATCATGCCCATCATCGGAACAGCATGGTTCTCTATCGGTGCCTTCTTGCTGTTCAACTCGGTGCTCAACTACCTCTCTGACGCGTATCCTCAATACGCAGCGAGTGTGTTGGCGGGCAACGACTTCTTCCGCTCCAGCTTTGGCGCCGGGTTTCCCCTGTTCGCCACGGCAATGTACAACAAACTTGGCGTCGGATGGGCCAGCTCTACCCTAGGATTCCTCGCAATAGCGTTCATTCCTATTCCTTTTTTCTTGTTCAAGGTCAGTCTCGATTTCCTTTGGCCGTATGGACGGAGCTATATTATCAAATGCTGACATTTTGCGTTGCACAGTATGGTGAACGGCTACGGATGCGGAGCAAGTATGCTCAGAAGGATTATTAGACGACACGAGACACTTTCGCCTCCTGCTGCGCGATTTGCCACCACTCGCATCTGCGCAGATATATACACGTCGCTCAGTGCTGAGTTCGACATGACACTCCTCTACCACGCCGTCGATCAGACAGATAGATAATGAGACAAGACAGATAGATAGACGAATACTGTACATTACCGAGCGAGCGGAAGAGCGAAGTGAATAGAGATCCAATAGACATAGACATACTATAATCGCAATCCTTCCCGTCCACTCCGACCATCAAAGTGCAAGTTGAAACTTGCAGTTTATCGGACTGCAGTGATTCCGAAGGCCTTACTGTGCCCTGCCGTGGCTTGCTTTTGTAAAGTGTTCTACAATCTCCCTGATCAAGTTTCTTACGTACGTAGATAGTAACTTGCCCTTCACTGCTTGAAGAAGTTGAGCCTTTCCGTGGCATTGCCTCTGTGGCATTGCTTCCTTGGCATTGCTTCCTTGGGTTCTTCAGTCGAGTCCAATTGAACCATGCTATTCTGCTGGCTGAGAACCAGTCCGTAGACGGGGTGCGGGAGGGGTAAGTACTGTACCGTCCTCACGCAAGTTCATCATGGCACAGATTCACAGGTCCATAGGTGCATCTACTCGCGGGTCCACACGGATGGATTAAAAGATAGATGTGTCGAGCGATAATTAGGTATGCTATTGGGTTCCAGGCTGTCTGGTTCCCTGGTTGGCTTATTGGCTGGCTTGGTTAGCTAGCTGGCTCGTGAGCAATTCATCATTTCGAGATCATCGCCTACAGAGTAAGTACAAGGACAACTAAAGACAGGGGCTAGCTAGCTAGATAAGTAAGAAGATGAAGTACATACCGCAACTGTAAAGTGACTGGACGAACCCGCCTGTCAGTATTGAGCACTGTCGACACAAGGCTGACGAGTAACGAATGGGTGCCGAGATGACTCCCTTGCTTTACTCATACTGTACGCCAGAGATAATGTCAGTGTCAATTGCGGTGACTCATCCTGTCCGGCCGACATTATGTGCCTAGAAGGGAGTAAGCGAGGGACCGATGGAGGAAGATTACGGCTTAGACGATGACAATTGAAGAGATAGGAATATAGACTGACCATTCAGGGTTCAACTGTCTGTGATGCTTTGTTCGCGTTCGTAGTACCTTACTGCCACACTTCCACCACACGGTAGTACTCGCTGCCATCCTGACATTGTGCCTTGTTGTTCATCGCTTCTCATCATACGGTGATACTCACTTTCGCGCTCAACCACACGGTGTTCTTCGCTGGCGATCTTCCACTGAACTCTTGACCTTCTCATTCAACCTCATCTGCGCGTAGTCATCAACGCTGTACGTCCCGGCAATTTGATCCATTAGAGCTAAATACGTACTATTTTTCCCCAGCATTGCCTCGCGGCGTCGTCGACCAACATGAGCACCGCCGAGACTGTGTCAATCTTGCTCCCAAGAGGGCCGTGGCAGTGAGGAATCAAGCTTGCTGTCGATGCCGAGCCCAGAAACAGCGGTGTAATTCAGAAAATGCCGTGCCAGACCTCTGCGAGACACGGAGTGATAAATGTCTGTATCCTCCCAACCGTGCTCACGACACGTGGAATGCCGAACAGGAAGACACCATCACAGGTTGCGACCGGCAGCGTCTCCCGGTGCTGGAGCTCAGTGCCGGCGTGGTCTTTCCGGGCTTTTGGTTTGGACGCAGAGCCCGCACGCTTCCTCCTTACCGTGTTCGCTTGAGGACGCAATGGCGTTGATGCGTCCGCGCGGGCTGTCCTTGAAACGATCCTTGTGCGACCCGAACTTGATTATACCACGTTGATCATGATTTCCCTTGTGGTCTGGGTGTTTGGTCCGGGGACTTGGAGCACCTGAGCCGGGCCATATTGGATGCCTCCGGCAGAGAATGGTCTGTTGGCAGCAAAAAGTGTATGAGATAGCCGTTGGCCGTGGAAAAGCAAGCAAACTCTGAGGGAGGTGGGTTGTCGCTGGACCTTTCCTGGCCTCAACAGAGTTATCATGTCTCGAATTCTTTTCCTCGTCGCCGGCGCGGCGCACGTTTGGAGCTGTGCTGAAAGATGTGGCAATTCTTCGAAATTGACATACATCTCAAAGGCCAATATTTGACGGGCTGCGTGCTTCGAGCTTGCTGCTGGCAGCAATGTCTATCTTCGGAGCATGCCATTCAATTGAACCCACTAAGAGGAGTGCTTCGGACCTCTGGGCCGATGCAGTGGAGCAATGGGCTTCCAGGGAGCTGGATAAAGTCCATGTGCTGAGTTCAGCGGTCGATTAGAGGACGAGTATCCAGACGGTTCCAGCTGCTTATATTATCTGCATATACCAGAACCGGACTGGGGCGAATGAGAGCAAACGCAAACTGAGGCGACAATTCCTTGCCGCTGTGACTGGGGTAAGTCGTTCACTTCTCCTTGTTCACAGAACACAAACAAGGGCCGGCACGGTGGGCGGACATGTTACGAGATGGACATGTCCAGGGCAGTCTATCGAGACTAGCATTTCGTTTCGCACGCCGGTTTCGACTGGTGCGAGTCCATCGAGGGCGGAAGAGATGATCCAGTAACTATTACGCTCATCGCTGTCGACCTTTTGACTGAGGTTTGCATAGGACGTTCATTCGGGTCTTCTTCATCGACACTGCCTCTGTCATTTTCAACGGCACTCCACGTCGGATAGCGTTGCCACAACGGAGAATGGCATTGGAATCTCCCTAAAGGTGCTTCCAAGCACAGTCGTCAGAAGAATACTTCATGAACATCCAATGGTGGATGTGCAAGACTTGCACAAGCCGGGAACCGGACCTTTTCAACGCTCTTTGATTTCATCAGGACTTTCTGCAAGGACGAGATTGATTCGGTGGCCAGGGACATCTATGCTCATGAAGCATACATCAACTATTTTGCCATCCTACCTGGTATGTATGTGAACTCCTACTTGTTCCTGGGAGGATGCCATAGTAGGTTGCTGATATGGTCCGATGAGCAGCAATGCACGTCCTCATATTCAACGTAGGTGTCGGCTTGGATGTCCCTACCGAGCAACAGCTGTAACATGTTAGGAGGGCCCTTGAGAATTGGAAGCTACTTCGAACCACCGCCTCCGTGTCGATCGTTTTGAGAGAGCAGCCCAATCGCGAGTTATGACATGCCAATCGAACCCGAGGGAGAGAACCAAGACAACACTGCTCACAAGGGAGCAATCAATGCCTTGGTGGAGAGTGGAAAAGTTCAGCCACAACCACAGTCGTAATGACTGGCGTCGCGCGGGCTTTGGCGTTCCAGCTCCAAGAACTGGCTAATCGCTCGTTTCTTTGTAGAGCAATCCGAGTCCGCCGAATGCGGTACCACGACGTCGAGAGTTACTCCGTGCGTGGCAATTCAACTTGTCACCCTAAGACGAGGATATTGGGTTGGCATGATGAGGCAGACGTGACAAAGCTTAGCTTCACACGTTCCTGTTATCTTATGCGCGAGTCGTGTGACGGTTGCTTAGCCAAACTCTTCCAGCACAGTGCGTCAGTATGCTGGGGCTGGGCGGAAGTTCCAGTACTCTGTCAAGCAGTTGGGTCTTGAGCGAGATCACGATTTCGGATGGTGAAGGGCATCGACAAGGAAGCACATGACAAGGACTAGTAGCTGCGAGACACCCACACCATGGCATCGTTAATGTACCTGCAAAGGAGACGTTCCTCGAGTCCACTGCTAGGATTGCCTCTTGGGACTGCTTGTCATGCTCCATCTCCCCTACCCTCATTGAGCATGAAGGATTCGTGGAGGAATGTGAAGATACCACTAGCAGGAGTACCTGTCACACTTCCCGTCCAGGCATAGCTTTAGGTTCATCCTACGCTGTTCGGCATCTTGAGGCGGCATAGCAGCGACCGGGAGCGGGAAATGTATGCGGTCTGTATCAGGATTTTCTATTTGTCGTGCCTTCTGTTCATGTTAGGCTGGTGTCCGAAGTGAGAGCATACACGCCCACAGTCTTGCTTGTGGGATCACACCTGCAACTGTCATGGATGTTCTCTTCTCAACCTATTTCCAAGTGAGCCATACCAACCCCAACCACGCAGGGCTTATTGACCGGGGAGCTCTGCAATATCAGACTTCCGAGCTGAAAGCTCTGTCTGCGCACCGTCGGCCCCGAGCTCGTTGTAGTCGTGACCAGCTGAACTGAGTTCGCCGGCATTATGCGATGCGGTAAATGGCTCTTTCGGGATATACTCTCCTGGATTGCCCGCCATTGGGGGTCCGTCTGGTTTCTCTGAAGAGTTGAAGGCTGCCCTGTCCGCGTGTGTTCCCTCAGTTTTTCTGGCTCTGACCCGTTGACGGTACAGAATGAATACCCCCATGCCTAGGAGCAGGATTCCGATGCCTACACCGACACCAACGCCCACACCGATCGCCACACCGTTGGAGCTGCTCCCGCTGGTTGTAGAAGCCACACCGGGGCTTGACGAGCTAGTGGCTGGATTTGCGGTCTGCGGTATCGAAGAGCTTGCTACGGGGGCAGCAGTGCCGAATGTCGACGGGGCAGACGAGGAGGTGTTTAGAGACAACGAAGAAGGGGAAGGTGAAAGCGATGAAGATGACGCAGAAAAGTCTGAAGTACTGCTAGCGGACGATGGGCCAGTCGCGCTGGGATCCGCATAGGTGCTGGTGACTCCGATGACGCTGATCGTATAAGGAGTCCCTGTGAAGCTCACGACCTCTCCCCCTGCGCTTGGATCGCATGAGCAGCCGTTATTGCAGCAATACTCGTCCACTCCTGTGACGTTGCAGCTGTACATGACGTTCCCGAGTGCCTCTTGATCGAGGCAAAAATTGGGACAAGCGCCTGATAACCAAGCCTGGTCCGTGCAAGTCCCTCGGGCATATTGATCAACTCCATCGACGGTCCCAGTGAGACAGATTTTGTTGGACAGACATGCTTGCTTGTCGTAGCAGCAGAATGAATCGCCTGCCTCCGCGTCGCAAGGCGTGTCTGCAGGGGAAATATTGCCATCTGGGAAATAGCACGTCGCTGTTGCTTGACCAACGAGGAAACTGGCCGAGAATAGAACATGAAGGAGCATCATCGTGTGCTGGATCGTAGGTCAGATGTCGCTGCCAGGAACGTCGTAAGGAAACAAGCTAAGGATTTGCTCTTGTGAGATTTGTAGTCGGGCACGAGGGCGGGAAGAGAGACGTGGTATCGAGACCCTCGAGACTTCGAGGAATACAGGAGACTGCTCGCATTGTACAAGATCAAGCTACTAGGCGTGTGGCCCATAGAGCCGAAACACCAACGGCTTATCGTGGCGTCGACTATGTGCTGTTTGAATGGAAAACGAAAGCGAACCCGAGCGGCAGCGCCATCTTTCATTTGCTACGGGCCACCCGTGCATCGGACATCACCCCATGATTCAGGCACCTCTTGCCGCGTCTCCCTTGTACTTTCGACGCATGATACATAGCCTCTTGAGATTTGATGACATCCCTGCTCGAAGTGTCTGAAGCATCCGAAGTTCATCCATCTCATCACGTGAGGATTCATCTCCTGAACTGAATAGCCTCGCCAGCGGCGACGATGATGGAGCAGGTGATGGCGAGGGCGTGGGCGTCGTTGCAGTCGGTAACATCGCAGTTTGTTGAGATCCATGTGCTCCATGTCGCAGACGTCCTCTGCAGCAACAGGCCCGAAAGGACACGAAAACAGGCCGGGTCGCTATGCCAAACGAACAAAGTTCTTGCTCCAGATACACGCCCTCTTCATCTTTGGGTCATCTTCATTGAGGGCCAGCCAGCAGTCTCCATCCTGGGCGATGACATAGAAGATCTCGCCTCTGCTATAGCTGTGCCAGGGCCACCCGTCTCTTTGTCGCTGGCGGCCTTGATAGAAATCGCGGACCGCGACCGCCTTGAACATCCACATTGGTGGCTCAGTCTTGACGGTGCCTTTCTCCAGCTTACGGTTATCCATGGTGTCTGTTTGGCTGTCAGTGACCCAGTTGAACGAGTTGTCAGTAAGGCCTTACGATTGTACAAGTCGTAGTATCGTGGTAGCTTGACAAAGGATCGGACGTCTGTGTCAACAGTCTGGCGAGTCGTTGAGAACGGGAGAAGCTGTGAGACCGGCTGAAGACAAAGTAGAAGTCCAACACCGCGCCCGCATGTCCACGTCTTGAGGGTTGCGGCTTGTGCTCTATTCAAGCCGCTCTCCAGCCGCACACACACACACATACACAGGTCTCGGCTGATGTCGTTGTGATGTCGTTGCGCCCACGATAAGATTTTGCTCTTCAGTCTCTCCCAGGCGTGTCCTTCTCGCTGTCTGACCTTTCGATGATCTCAACCTCAAACACCATCAACCAATACGAGCATTTTGAACCCCCAACTCTGCAGCAAGGTCCATAGATTCCCATGATCGGACAAAGGAGTATTCTCAAAGGTATGAGCAAGAGCACTGCACTCGTTGCCTCGACAGCAAGCGGCGCTTCGATCCCAGAATTGAGTCTTCCCCTGGCCAAAGCTGACTCTGAGCTAGCTTCCAGCACATGAATATCCTGTGCCGTCGAGGCCATCTCTTGAGATGCCTGAAGGTTTTCACCCGTTGCAGGTGGAGCGGTAAGAGGTACCCGATGCCCACTATCTCGAGAGTAGACAATGAGACTTGAGCAGGATAGAAACTTCCGGCTTCAGCCCACGAAGCCACCGAACCCCAGTGATACTCCATCACATCACCAACGTATCTGCCTGTGCAGAAGTCGCTCTTGACCAACCCCAAGCACATTTGCTCCTGTCTTGAACTGGTGCAGTTCACCATGCGCTTGGATCTTCGACCACCGAGGACCTCATCACCAGTTGAACCAACCACCTATCCCCAACCATACTCGTCAAAACCTTGGCGTTCGCACAAGCAGAGGTAATATTCGACCCCAGCACGCTTGCGCCTGTCGCCGACCGGATGCAGTTTACAAAGCTCTTGAGTTCCCAAGCACCGAGGATCTCATCACTAGTTGAACATTGCATGTCAAGAGTTGGAAATCGTGGTGCTGTTGAAGAGCGCCCATGTACACACCACCACGACCGCTTTTTTCCTCCCAGCAGGCCGAGTCCGCTCCGCCACCGATGAGAATGGCGCCGCCAGTTCAGACTGGCTACGGCCGACAGAATCCCCATCAAAGCGGCATGTGAACGTCCAACAGTCAGTACCGCAGCACGCCAACGCGAAATGAGGGCATCATGCTACCTCGCACGATGGGCAATAACCAACGGTCGGCGTGTTGGGCTTGGCGATATTAGGACAAAGTCGAATTCATGCACGCAGCCCATGCAGGCTTCACTGCCAACAACTATTCTTCAACAGTTCGAGACAGAATCGCGCCACAAGTCCCTAGAGAAGGAATTCAGAAACACAATCGGCCCTAGTAAGTTGTTTGTCCCAACACCTACCTGATCCGACACACGAGGTTCATGATGGATAAATTTCCCTCCTTCGATGTGCGGTGATCCTCTCGGTGCCCTGCTCACATGACAATATACGCTTGTACTTATCTGACGAAGCTCACCCCTTTTGTTCATTCTCCTTCACTTTGATTGTTCGGGGGCAATGCTGACTTACATGGCACACCTAGGCCAGCGATATCATTGCAACGACTGTTGCTTGAAGCGATTCTTCTGTCGTTAGTTGAACAGCAAAAAGAAGTAAGGTGAACTCCTCTTCTGCTACCGTCATGCTCTTATGGTGGTATATATTTCTGCTGAATGCCACAAACTTGTGGACTTTGATGACTTTAGTCCAGAGTGTTCTGATGAGTGTCCTCACTTTGCATGTTCGATGTTCTTGATATTGGACATGTTCCACCGCTGACTTGTAGCCGCTTCATAGGATGTTCGAGAGAATGAGGCCGCTACAGAAGTTGATATTTTGCGGGGACGGTCGACGTGGCCGAGCAACTCCCGGCTTGCTTTCTTGCATATTTGCGGCTGAGTCACAAGCTCGAGATGGACGACTGGTATGGGCGATTGCGATTGAGTGACATTTGACAAAGGCACGTCGAGCTACACAACGAGTTTCGGACAGCCAAGCTGGCCCGTTACAGTGACAAAGATGATGGGCGAGGAGTCCTATGTGTATGTGCTGGTTGGAAAGGATGCTTGCTGCAGGGTTCGGAGAGCTTGGTGGCAGGGAGTGCGTAGTTTGGTGATGTGTTTCGCAGTAGCAACAAGCTCTCGGTGGGGTGGATCATTGACGTCGAGCTATGCATCCGGAGCAACTGATTTTCCGAGAGGGCGATCAAATGTTCATTCAGCGACATTCCGCTTCTCTCTTTCCATTTCTCTTCCAACTCCGGTTCCTTCTTTCCCAGTCCCCGAGAGTTCTTTGAGCAACGGCAGGGGCGAGTGCCGTCAAGCTACGTTGGCCCATCAGTGTCTCGTATATAGGTACAGAAGTTTCAGGCACGAGTTGAGAACCGCTCACTGCTCGCCTCCAAAATGTTCCCTTTCCAGTGTGAGTTTCTGATGGAAATGCTAATGCGTAACTTGTCGCATCACTCCAGTCAACATGATGAGTCCCAGCGAAGAATAGTGCTGGTGTTGTTGTCGGTTGATGGATGCTCTTTTCAATATGTTGCTTCACCGCCGCTGAAAGTCGACTTCACTGCTCCGCTCCCAAACCAGCCCTTGCCGGTAGGCGACTCAGGCAGATTCAAATCCCAGTGCGACAAAAACGAAACGCCGACTTTTTGCAGCTTCGGATCGAACAAAAATGCCAAAAACTTTGCCCTTAAGCCACTTTCCTTTTCGTCTTTTGCTTATCGAAGCTCGGTCGTGGGTTGAAGGTAAGGGAAAACCTTGCTCTTCTGAGTGGTTTTTTCCGCGCTCAGAACCGCGGCCCTAACCTGTCCCGTACGAGATTTGTAGGCTGACAGTTTGTACTGTCCATACGAGATTTGTCGGCCAACAGGTTTAGGCCAGCGGCCAGATGTTCTCCATCTTGATTGTTGGGAGAAATTTGGCGAAACACACATATTAACATGGATTTTTTCCCTCGGGAGTGAAGTCATGTGATGGCCGTGCACGGTGACTTCAGTGAATTTGAGAGCTGATTGATCATAGTCAACGGCATCACAAGCAGCTCCATGTCTCGACTTGACGGGACTGACTTCGACTGTCACTGGCTCTTTTACTTCAGGGGACTGAGCTTGAGCAAGTGATCAAAGTCCTGCGCTACGATGTGATGAAGGAAGGAAGCGCCCTTCAAGACCTAGAATTACTGCAACGAGATAGCGGCAGAGACGTCACAATTTATTCGAAAAGGTACAAAGATGTGAACTACCATCACAGCACTTTGGTCTCAGAACGATATCCAGCGCTACAAGGGGATTGACAGGAGTACAACTCCCTCTGCCGGCGACTGCGTAGAGGCCGCGGTATGGTGGACATGTTGATCACCAGAAGCACAAGTGTGCTATATCCAAATCCCTCTTTTGACTGAATACGATTTCGAGAGGCCTTGCCGACACCAAGAACAAACTCGAGGAGGCGCAAGCCCGTTTGTCTAGCGCCATTGAAGAAGATAGAGAACTTAGAGGACTCCAGAATGAGACCCAAGAGAAGGCCAATGATATTGAAGCGTCCGCCAAGGAGATAAAGAAGGAGATGACTCGGTTGCAAGAATCAGAGCTCCAGAAACAACGCCTTCTAGAACACTACAATGAAGAGATAGAGCACAGAGCCAAGCAGATCGAGGAATCTGATGCGTTAATCGCTGATTTGAAGGGGGCAGTCACCCAGCTCGAAGCTCGTCAGGCGTTTTGGGAACGGAGACGAGACGAAACGTTGCCGCTGGTGTACCTTGAGTCAGAGACATTTTTCAATGTGATGACCAACATCACAGACGACGAGTTCCAGAACTGGCTGCAACGGGTCACCTCGGCGAGAGCAGCCAACCGTCCGCGCCCTGAGTCCGACGTCGTCGCCAACACTGCGGCCATTTCTACCGACGACAACCTCAACGCAGTTGATGATACCACAACTGACGTGCTGCCGGAGGAGAACCTCGTCCACGGCGAGCCAAGAGATACCACCAAGGAGGTGTCTAAAAAACGCGCGAATGCAGCCGTTGAATCCGCCGTGGTCGCTGGGACAGAGTCCGATGCCGATCACGCCCAAAGACGGAAACACAAATCAGATTGGACACCGCCGGCACCATCGTCATTCAGCAAGAAGCACAAACGCTCCCATTTCCCCCGAGAAGTACCGCCATTTGCCTCGGCTTTCGGATGAAATGCGCCAGCAATTCATGAACGAGGGGAGATGCTTCAGGTGCCATAAAGCTGGACATCGCAAGAATGACACCGTGTGCCCACTATTCAACTATTAGACTTACGGCACGCGGATCCGAAGTCTACAGGAGCAAGGAACATGAGAAACGCCGGCAATCAGCACGAGTGTCCGAGAGCCTGACCTGAAGGGAGGAGGCACGCAGCGACGGCGAGCCAGGAAACATGGCTTGAAGATGAGGACCAAGACACCAAGGAACACCAGCAAGAGACACGCCGTACCTCGACGTGGTTAGTCCAAATGAGAAGAAAAGCATGAGTGAGCATGGAGATTTGCGCAACCAGACGCCGAAATAGAGACAAGGCACAGACAGATGAGCTTGCGGCGTGCTGCGTACAGCAGGATGACTCTTGACCTTGCCGGCATAGTTCTACCACCATGCTGGAATGAAATCATTTCAGACTCCATCTGCCAGCGCGTTAACCGCTCATGGCACACTCTCTCATTGAAATGCCCCTACCCACCGTGCTTGCGTAAGAACAGGTAGATACGAGAAAGTAGATTCGCCGGCAGCAGAAACGCAGCTAGCCAGTCGACCAGACCGAGAAATCCATCACTGCTCCGTCGTCATGACCACATCGCCTCTCGACAATCGAGCCCCAGCAGGTGGTGAGGACGCCGCAGCACCGATCCCACTCTCCCCCTTGACCGCCGGATCATCAATGGTATCGGCATCACTGGCCTGACCATTCTTGGCTGCACTCGCATCTCCATCCGCATCCACTCCCCCACCAGCGCCAGCCTTTGTGCCATCCACGTCGCCGTCGTCCTGGCCATCCTCCTGTTCACCATCATTATCGTCATCGTCATCATCATCATCATCTTCTTCTTCTTCTTCACTGCTCCCCATGGCCTCCTTCCTCTGGTTGATCCGCTCGGTCATCCACCTCAGGACCTCGTCGCGATGCAGGAGCATCATGCCATTCAACACCTCGCCGGGACTCTTGACCAGCTTCCCGTAGCGCTTGGAGAAGACCTTGCCGCCTTCCTTCTCCTTCTTCCACAGGCTGTGCTTCTCGCTCACAAACACGAGGCTGTTCTCCCGGTACCAGCTCGTCACCCAGTGGTTCGTCCCGGACGTGACGGGCCGGATCGGCTGCGTGGCGCTGAAGGCCACGACGCCCAGCAGCGCCGGGTACACGTTGTCGTTGTCCGAGATGAGCTTGGCCACGGCGTGGAAGGCGTTGCCCGCGCCCACGAGGAAGACGCCGTGCGGGAACGCGTACGGCTCGATGTAGTTCTCCCAGAGGTACAAGGCGAGTTTTTCCCCTTCGCGCCGCGCGAGGTCGCTGGTCCCGGACGCGTACTCGATCGACGTGCTGTATGGGTGCTGGGCGGTCGCGGTCGCCGTCGCGCTCGTGGTGGTGATGCCCATGCTGGTGGATGCAGGGTCCAGCGGTGCGGCAGCGTACTCGGGTTTGACGCCTGGTTGGTCCAAGGAGGAGGTTGCGGCAGGGGCGGGCGCGGGGACGGTGATGAATTCGGGGATGTTGACGTCGATGACACCGTGGTTTTGCGACGTCGCCCAGTGGATGTACGACTGTGTGCCGTCAACCTTATGACGCAGGTGTGTGAGCTTTGGTAGGCAGGCAGGCAGGTAGCGAGGTAGACGGGCATGGGGGATCTGAACCTGAGGACCGAGTATGCTCGGAGTGGAAGTGAATGAGGAATGTAAGGGGAGAACTTACCAGCCATGTATCATGTGGTTTCTGTTGCGTAGAGATCCCAGTATTCGTGGCAAGGAGATCAGGCCTGTGCGTATAGCCTTGTCAGCGCGCCCTGGGGAATGGGAGCGACCGTCCTGTGTGGAACTTACGAGTCATGGAAGATGACTATCAGTGCTTTCTTGGTTTCATAGTTCGGCCTGGAATACAATTAGCACGGAACGGTCCTTACGCTCCCTAGTCCCCGAGTTCCAACTAGTTGGAGCAATGCAACGGATCGATATGCAACGCGTGGCTGGAGGATCTTACGTGGCCAAAACCTGCTGATCAAAGGACCTGGAAATCGTGTCCCGGAAGATATGCAACTGGGTCAACTTGTACTTGTCATAGAGGTGCATCGCCTGGTACCGCCGAATGATATCTTCGTGACCCGTCAGTCTTCGTCTTGGGCAACTTGTTTCAAGCCTGTGCTTTGTTTAATTTCTTACCATGCAACCTCTCTCCGCCGAAGATGCCTGCCACGGGTTCTTTGGGATAAATGCTCCGCCAGTACTTGGACTGGACGTTTCGAACTTTGGATATAGTGTCAATTGCACTCGATGTGGCGGCCGTGGCCTGCAAGCGATCGGGCGGTTCCCCCATCAATGTCCGCGTGACTGCGAGGGCGGACTTCGAAATGGCGCCAAAGTTGTATCCTCCTTCAAGGCAGACGGCGATTTTCCCTCCAGCAAGGGACATGAGCATGTGCGTCATGTGAGCGTAGCAGGGCGGCGTGACGAAACAACCACCCAGTTCGTCTCCAGCGGCGGCATCGAAGCCCGCTGCAACGATTACGAAATCTGGGTCGAACTCCACTGCGATAGGCATGACGACGGACTGGAAGGCGTACATGTAGTCGCCGTCTCCCATGCCTTTCGAGGGCCAGGGTATGTTGACATTTCTGAGAGCGATGGATTAGTATCCGTACGAAGAAGGAACTCACCTCCAGCCCGGGATGCCGACTTACTTGCCCAAGCCCGGACCCTCCCCACAGTGGTACATGTCGCCTTCAGGGCCAGATGGGTAGAATTGACCATTCATATGGACGTGGATGGAGATGTAGAGGATGTTTGGATCATTGTAGAAGGCTCGTTGGCCGCCGTTTCCTGCCGCACGTCAGTCTGAGAGGTTCCCAACGACGACGCGCACTAGGACCGACCGTGGTGTACGTCCCTGAAGCACGCGGAGTTAGTCACACGTATATAACTCTGAGTGTCGAACAACCTACCAGTCCACAATAAGGATCTTCCTGCACTCTTGACCGAGTCTCGCATCTATTTGGCAGGCTTTCGAAGCGATGCACACGTTGTTGAAGAGGCAGAAGCCCATTGGTTTCAAAGGTTCAGCATGGTGACCGGGTGGTCTTATCACGGCGATTGCGTTCTTGACCTTCCGATCCAGAACAGCCTTGCAAGTCTCGATAGCTGCGCCAGCGGATAATTTCCCAGAAAAAAAGGAGAGCTGGTTGAAATAGATGGAATCCTGCTCAGCGCTCTCTGAAAGGTCGATGAGTTCCGCGTTCGACATAGCTATGGCAAGCGCCGCGAGTGGTTAGTATCCTCGTTATCCGCCGCACGTTCACAAGCATAAAGAGCACCTACCTGCTGTTGACCTGACGAAATTATAATGCTCTTCTTCGTCATGGATCAGAAGAATCTCCTCCTTCGTCGCCTCTCGGGCGTCGATCCGCTTCAGCGGCTGCTCTACCATAGGTGGATAATCCTTATCGTCGACCAGCCCAGCCTCACAGAGTTCCTTGAAGATGTAATAGATTCGCCGAGGGTCTTCGGGATGCACATTCTCGGCACTGGTGGCTGCTACTTCAGCATGATACCGCATACGGTCATCATAGCACAGGCCGGTGGGAAGCCTAGAGATCGGCAATCCACGCTGAGACTTAGGGAGTGTCTCGTCTGGCTCTGAGTCTGAATCCGACATGAGACTATCCTCCGATGTATCGTCCGATGGAGACTCTATCCGTAGGCGACTGTTGATGTCGCCTGACATGTCTGGTGTTTCTCGCATAGATATGTCCTCGGAGAGCAGTGCCTGTTCTGGTAGCTGAGTGATCGGGTTCGCAAAGCGCGGTCCATTAGCAGCTTGAGGCAAAACCCCCGGAGGTGACGGAGGTTTGGGAGCCATTTCAAAACAAGGTTTCTGTTCGGGCTAAAGAAGCAACAATGCGCTGGGTCAACACGGACACATGGTGAAGATAACGCCCTAGAACCGCCCGCGAAGTTGGAGTATGTGGTGCCGTTTGAGACGAAAGGTTGTCTGCTTATCCCTCCACTACTGCAAAATGTCAGTTCACATCACCATACTGCACGCATTCGAATGGGATAGAAGCTTAGTCCTTCGTGGAAGTAGTCGCGTGCATTAGCTACCACTCACCCTCGATCGCCGCTGAGGTTAGGGAATGCTTTTCGGCGCGGTAGCTTTAGCAGGCCTCGATGTTGAGTACACAGGGTTTATCTGTCCTTAGTGGCTATTTTCGCGTGACTCTGGCTTGATGACGGTGGTGTATCAGATTGCTGCTGAATGCTCGTGCAGCAGTTCATGCATGAACTTCAAGCGTTTGGCAAGCCTCCAACACAGGAGACGCCAAGAAGCCAGGGCCACATCATGTGACGTCGTGATGAGGCTGAAATCACGTGAATCATGTCTATTTATCAAGCGACAGTGAGCCCGACGGTCTCGATATCGACCATATGTTTGTGGTTTCTGAAGTGGACTAGCTCATAGAGAGGATACGGATAAGTACTTCAAAGCTAAGCAATCGTCAACTGAGGCTTGGTCTATGTCCCACTTTGGGCTCTTTTCTCCGGTGGTCCTCTCCCTTCAATCGACTTGGACCTCAAATTCGGAAACCTCGTTCGGCAAGAATTTCTCGGAGGCTTGAGGGGCCCTAGAGTCTACAGAAGCCCTATCCTAAGCGCTTCCGGCATCCACCTTTGCGATGTAGGCTAGATTTCAATGTCAGTATTTTGCACATCCCGAGTTCTTCCGATCGGATATGGCACTCACCCAAAAGGTCGATGACACGTCGAGAATAACCCCACTCGTTGTCATACCAGGAAACAAGCTTGACGAAATGGTCGTTGAGGGCGATACCGGCCTTGGCATCAAAAATGGAGGAGTGGAGGTCACCGTTCAAGTCACTAGAGACCAGCTCGTCCTCGGAATATGCCAAGATACCTGCGCCTCGTCAGTCTCGTGTCGTGAGAGAACGTGCTCACCGAGGTTGTTCAACATACCCTTGAGAGGACCGGCGGCAGCGTCCTTGATTGCCTGCTTGATGTCTTCGTAGCTGGCAGGCTTCTCGAGTACGCAAGTGAGATCGACGACCGACACATTGGAGGTGGGCACACGCATGGACATGCCAGTGAGCTTGCCGTTAAGAGTTGGGATGACCTTGCCCACGGCCTTGGCTGCGCCAGTGCTGCTGGGGATGATGTTCTGAGCAGCAGCACGACCGCCTCGCCAGTCCTTGCCCGAAGGGCCGTCGACGGTCTTCTGGGTAGCGGTGTAAGAGTGGATGGTGGTCATTAGACCCTCCTTCATGCCGAACTTGTCGTTGATGACCTTGGCCAGAGGTGCAAGGCAGTTGGTGGTGCAAGAGGCATTGGAGATAACTGGGATGTCGGACTTGTAGGATTCGTTGTTGACACCCATGACAAACATGGGAGCATCCGCTGAAGGAGCAGAGATGACGACCTTCTTCGCACCACCTTTCAAGTGGGCGGAAGCCTTCTCTGTGGTTGTGAAGACACCGGTCGACTCAACGATGTAGTACGCACCGGTGTCGGACCAGGGGATCTCAGCAGGATCTCTCTTCATGTAGAACTTGACCTCCTTGCCGTTGACGATCAGGGCGTCCTCCTTGACCTCGATTGTGCCCTTGAAAATGCCGTGCGTGCTGTCATACTTGAGCATGTACGCCTGTTCGCTGTCAATATCGAGTTCGAGCTTCGTGGAGGACGACGAGTGTGACGTACCGCGTACTTGGGCTCAATGAAGGGATCGTTGACGGCGACGACGTGGACGTCCTCGTGCTCGACGCTGAAAAGCTGCGTTAGCAAGGAGAAGCTTTTCGGAGTCCGGTCAGGGTGTCACCGAACGCAGGCACTTACGCATTTCTGAAGACCTGGAGGACAGTTAGCTACAAAGCACGGCGACAATGCTAGCTGCCACTTACAATTCTGCCAATGCGGCCGAAACCGTTGATACCGACGAGAGTAGGCATGTTGTTGTCGAGCTGGTGGCCGTGTGAGAGAGAGCTTCCGGTCAGTTGCTGAAAGATCTTTCACGCAAAGCTTTTATAGACCGACATGTGCAGATGAGAGCATTGAAGAAGAGGGGTGCGTGCAACTTACATGAGACTCAGGTAAGTGTTCGGATGGCCGGATTAGGAGTTGTCAGAAGGAGTAAGGCTACACTCGAATGACGGACGAGATCGTGGTGTGATGAGGAGGATCAGAGCTTTTTGAGATTCCTATGAAACAACTGGTGAGTGAGTGACAGGTGAACAATGGTGGGGCTTGTTGACGTTGAGGGGCAGCGGCAGCGGTCCTCTCAAATGACGGACCCCTGCTTGGCCGACGACAGCTGTGATTCGGTCTCCAGTCAAAGCTCCGGCGATGCGAAAATGACTGCGATAACCTACCTCGATCTGATGCTATGGTCGCCGGCACGAGAATCGAACGGCGGGTTTGCTTTGCGGGGCGAATCCTGGCGATGACTTGGATGAATGGTGTTTGAAGTCGACCTCACTCGCACGGAGGACGGCTTCCGATTCTTTGTACTTCATCTTGCCCCTGCTCAGGACTCTGCCCAACACATACTAAGCATCCCCGAATACGACAGCCGGGCTCCCTGACGTGCAGACATGACTCAACAATACCTTGATTACCACACGCCAGATAGCTTGTCTTGTTGAGAAAAAGCAGCAAGGCACCATCCGACTGGCACCATCCAATCGCCGGTGTTCGCCTCTCTGGAAGGTCGGCACATGGGACGGATTATCGATCTTCCGCGCTGTTTTTTGGTCGGGTGTTGCATCACACGAGCAGCCAAGCCCAATTGTGGCCATTTGGTATGGGAAGGTGTTAAGCAAGGGGATAAGTTACTTGTTCATGAGCACAAAACCAGCGCATAAAGCCAGCTGATCAGTGGGAGCAAAATTTGCGCCATTGCGTCTATCGTTTCCAACGGAGCCTGGAAATGTATCTAGTACCCACAGTCGCAGCCCTGGAGCAAAATTCCATTCGGCGCCGCCTATTCCTCCTTCGCTCCCCCTCGACCGGCGCGCTCAGCAGCCTCGATGCTGGCCTTGTCGCTCTTTGTCTCGCCTTGGCCCATACCCATCATGCCGCCTGACGCCTTCCACGGTCGCTTGAGCTCTCCCACCGCAGGCTTGCCGAAGATGTGAACCTTGACCAAGTTGCTCTCGAAAGCACCCTTGACGGGAATTATGGACTGGATCAGGAGCGGATTCGTGTACTTCAGATAGATATGCATGAAAGCCATCATTCCGACGCCCATCAGCTGGGCTTTGTAGGCTGCCGTGAGTTGGTTCTGGTCGTACTCTTGAATCGTGGTGGTGACGAGCTTGGGTTCTTCGCCAGAGCCCACCGGCGCAGGTTCGACATATTTCAGTGTGGTCAAATCTTTGTGCTAGGATTAGTCCAGTGCTTTCCATGCTGATGTCCATTGAGCTGCATACCTCTCTTCGCTTTGATCTTCATGCCGATGTAGTAGTAAAGCCCGAAGATGAGCAGATTCGACACAACATAGAGAATGCGGACGCCGGTGAGAACCTGAGGATCATCGAACGGTATGCGCTTCGACACTTGCATCATCCCAAGGATGATCACCAAGTTGGTGCTGCAAAGAGTCAGTCACGGGCCCATGTCGACGTCGGACGCGCAATACGTACACTTGAGGATTCATGAAATTCATGGTGGCGGTTGAGAGGGTGTGGTCGTGCGATAAAGGAAGGGAAAGCAAAATCAGATTGGAGACAGATCGAGCACTGGAAATGGAGGAGGCTGCGCCTTCGGTGTCCTCTTGGAGTTGGGGATTCTGCCAGTGAGTGAAGGTCACGTGATGGCCCACTTTGTTGAGGAAGTCGTGGGTTGTCGAATACTGCGGCTCCAGCTTCTCGGCCACCTTACGCCAGGACATGCCCTTGGCCCTGAACAAGCGGATGATCTCGTCCTTGTGATGTCCAGTACTGATGTGCAACATGGTGAGCAAGAATACATCAAGCATGAACAAATTGACCTTCTTTGCCGTCGCTCGAGGCCTGTCGTTTCGTGTTTTAGACGCCGTGAGTATAAAACAACCCCGAACAAATTGACCTGCTTCTTTGCCAAATTCCACCTTCGGATAGTCGCGTCAAGAATTTCGCAGTCAGGGACAGACTAATCTTCGTCCTCTTGTTTCTACACTGGGGGAGCCGAACTAGGACTACCACAGCAATAACCCAGCTGACCTGTTTCTTCGCTACTTCCTATCTTCGCTTAGTCGCGTTTGTCAACTATAGTACTGAGGCATGAGACATGACGATAGCTGTGACTGAGTTGACCCGGTCCATTGCCTAGCATTCACCACTGACGTGTTTCAGAACAACATAGTGTACTAATATGGCCTTCTTGATGGAGACGTTGAGAATTCGAATACTGGACAAGAGCAAGACAGCGCGGATCACGGCTACTTGGCTTCGGTAATGAAGTGCTTCCGAAAGCCACGATGTGAAATGGACTCCAGAACCTGTGGGGCAACGAATTGAAAGAATTAGTTTTGTCGCGAACCGAGAAGTTGAATACTGTACCTTGGAAGACAGGGACAGCCGCGAATGGCCCACCAGTACGTTTCTTCTGGTAGCAGCGGCATACTCGGACGCATCAGGAAAACTATCCATCTGGCTTGTCAGTCGCTCCATGACTTCTTTGACCTGCAAGATTCCATGTGGCCGGGCTGGCTTTCTGAATAGTCCGCTTTTCGCCCTCTCCATCAGCAACTGCAAGTGGTGTCCATATCCCAAGGTGTTGCTGCAACAAGAAGACGATGTACGAACTGGAGTAATGCAATGCCATACGATATGGCAGAATGGGCGAAGGAAGTTTCGAGGACGCGGAAGGTTACAAATCGAGTAACTTGACTCGACACCTGGATATATGTGGATATACCTAGGGCTTCGGTCCTGGGTTGCAGGTCGGGGCTCCCTAAATCAGTCATCTCACAAACACCAACAACGACAAGCGGTATATGTGGACATACGGCTACTGCTTTTTGGGGGGGAGGCCGGGCGCCCTTCAAACAACCTACATTTGTCATCACGTCGATGCCGTGCAACAGTTGTCAGGAACCTCTTCAATGCGAGAAGAGGCGAAGCTGAGTGTGCCTCCATATGAGCAACACTTCTTACACCTTTGGTACGTATCTATCAACCTCTCTGACCCATTGCTATTCTCCGGCACCTTTGAGATTCCTCCTGGGGGCTCCCAGGTATTGTGCTGACAGCACTCGAGAGCAGTTCCGAGGAACACAAACACAGCACACATGCTTTCCGATTGCAATCCAATGATGGCATTGCTACAAACCTCAAAGTTTGTTAGGCTGACCGCGTGGTGGCAGTGGCTGGTCTCCTTTCATCCATCATGGCCGACTGCGCCGGCTCGTTCTGAGACACCATAATTCCGATTGCGATCTATTGATGGCATCACGAATTCCCTCAAAGTGTGTTAGCCTGACTGCGCGTGGCAGACGCGGCGACTCTTTTTGTTCTTTATCGCGACTGCGTCGACTCGGTCGGGGACAGGACAACCTTGCTTCCCATTGCAATCCTCTGTCGGGAGGACCACTGAAGATCTCACGACCACGGGGCACTCGAGCCCTCAGTGTCCATTTGTATGTGTACCCTCCATTGTCACCTCCTTATCCCCGTCCGCCAACACCGTGACGCCTACCTTCGCATCCTTCGCATCCTTCGCATCCGGCCCCGGTAATTGCCCAGCTCCCGGCATAACACTCGCGACTTTGCCCTCTTCATCGACATACTCGAACCGATACCTCGAGAGATAATGTGGGATGGCACTCAGCTGCGGCCCATAGCGTGCGGTGTTATCGTACAGCTCGAACAAGGGCACGGCCAACAGTTTCATATTCTTGGGAACCGAAAGCACTTTGTTGGGCGGGAGGTGGATGAGGTACAGCTTCTTGAGTTCCTTGGGCCTGGAGACGTGGGCGGGGAGGAAAGGGTAGAGGAATGTTTCGTGGTTAGGACGCCACCTATGTAGCCCTGCGTGTTAGCACATGATGTTGTAGTTTCATATGTGAAGGGACATTGTAGTAAACGTACCATTGAGCCAGACAATCGCCAACTTCCCACTCGGTGTCTCCTTCTTTAGGGTTCGTAGGTGCCAGCCTTTCGTTCAGGCGCTGTTTAAATCCTTCGATCTCGTCCGCATCATGAGGGAGATAGTCGCCCGGTCTGTCCCCAAACACCCCGTCCCCGTCAGTTTTTGCCCTGGCTTGATCACTGAAGGGGCGACGCAGTGCAGCAAGAAAACAAAACATACAGCTTGAAAAAGGCATTGGCGATCTGCAGCATGAGCACGTGCGGGTGGTTATGTTCATGACAGACCAAGATGCCCTCGCACGTCCGCCGCATGCCATAATTGTCGTAGTGCTCCTCGAGCCTCTTCAACCTCGCCACGACCGACGGGTCTTCCTCCGGCTGCGTCTCTTTGGTCCCAAACGTGTAGTTCGAGAGCGGGTACAGTCGGATGGTTGGCGGTTGGTTGGCTGTGAACGGAGCTGGGAGGATAGGCCTTGCATGTTGTTAGATGGGCAGCAGCATTGTAGGATAAGAGGCAAGTCAGTCGTACGGGAAAGACGAGTTCAGGGTCGTCGTCGTGAGTGTCGACATTGTAAAGACGTCCAGCCAGCTGCGCTCGGATCGTGAAGTAGCAAAGTCGCTGGATGTCACTCCAAGGGCAATGTTGGTGGTAGTCCTACGGTAGCCAGCGAGCTTGGAATGCCAGTGATTGTTTGCTGCAAATGATCACACGCGATGGTCGATGGTGCCCGCGATCTTCGCGTCACACTCGCAGCACGAAGAGCACACAACCCATTTGGAACAGACGGCGGCTTGCAACATGCATGAGAACTATGAGGTACACATCTGGCGCCAGGATTTGATGTCTTATTAGCAGAGTCGTCTTGCAAAATCTAAGGTCTACTGTACAGACACATTAAGACTTTTGCCAACAACGCCGTCGCTGCGATGCACTGCCAGAGAGAGCCATGACCTCTTTCTCATTATGGCGTTTCCAGACCTTCTCCAGCCTCGATGACAGAGTCCCGGCTTTAGAGCTTGGACTCGACATCTTCGAAGTCCTGCACATCTTCTACAGGGACAGGGCCTCTCGTTACCTCCAAGCCAGCTCGCCATTTCGCGGCGTCGTTTATGATCACGGGAGGTGGCAACTTGGCCGCCATTTCGTTGGGATCCTTGGGCGACTCAGCGGTCTTGATCTTCAGAGCCATCTGTATCTGAGGGACCGCTTCCTTTAGCTGACCCAGAACCTCTTCGGTCTTTGACTCTGGAATAGATGTACCGATGTATTGCTTGGTCGCTTCCAAAAGCTGTGGCTGGTTGGTCAATTCGATGTTTTCCAACTGATGTTCCAGCCGTGCTTCGTCCACGTCGACGCCTAAGGAACCAAGAACTTGTCCCAAGAGGCCCACGAACTGTTCCTTCTGTTGTGTTGGCGAGACTTCAGGCACTTCGCTCGAAGCTTGGGCCTCTAGATGGATCGATACCTTTCTTCGCTTCGACGACTCTGGGTCAATGTATTGCTCGTAGAACTGTTTGATATCGTCTTTCGTGAGCTGGCGGATGACGCCAACATCCCGATCGACCTGGTAGAAATTGAGGTACTCGCCGCTGATGTAGGCCCACAGACGGTTGGTCTCAAAGTCAAGATTCTTAAGCTTTTCCAATCTCTTGTTAATAAGACTGCGCTTATGACCCTCGAATTCTTCGTCTGAGGTCGTCTCAAGATCCGATCGGAACTTGAGCAAAAAGGCATTGATGCGTGATTCCAGGTAGTCCGGTTCTCGGTCGCTCTGTATGAGAACTCGATAGCCCATGGTCACGGCCGCGGGTCGCACCCCACTCCACACGACATAACCAAGCTGCTCCTTGGTTCGCAGCTGGTCAAAAGCGGGTTCGTCGGTCATTTGGCCGAAGAGTTGCAGTTTCGCCCGGAGATCGAGGTCCATGACATGCCCGACGTCCAAGTAATACTCGATTGCGTGGTTGACATTGGCCGGGTCGCCCAATTTGTGCTTGTAGATGAAATTGCTTCCTTCTGGCACGATGACGTTTCTCCGCAATAGCCACTCGGACGGAGGCAGTGCTCGCGGTTTGAGGGTCGATTCGATCAGGTTACCAATCTTCTTGACTTCCTCCTTGTACAGATTGCCATGTGCCAGCACCTCGATATGTGCCTGTTGCAGCAACTCTGAGACAAACACTCGAAGATCTTCAACGGTGATGTGTGGAAGTTCCTTGGCGTAGGTATCATTCATCCACGACCTCTCATTCAATAGCCATCTGGTGTAATCCCCGATTTGGTAGTATGGTTGCTGGTATGCCCAGTTCTTGTACTTCCTCGCGGTCCGCTCCTTGATAATGTCGAAACGGTCTGATCTGATCTCAAGCGATCTTACCGTGGTCAGAATCTTCTCCAACAAGACTGCCATCTTGTCATTGTACCCATGCACGCTTATGTCAAAGCCGAGCATGTTTGCCCCAATCCCGTATGCCAGTCCCGATATTTCAGCGTCATATGAGTAGCTTGAAAGCGCGTCTTTGACCAGACTGATGAACAGGTTCGTCTTCACATAGTTTGCAGGATTTGCATATGTGACGGCGTTCCGCACTTTTATGTTCAGGTTCGCCTTTGGCACCCAGAAAGTATCGTCCTTCTTCCACCACAGGCGAAGCTTGTCATCATTCCGAAGCAATTTGGGTGCTTTTGCAGGTTCCTTGACTTCGGTCTTCTCCACATCCAGATTGGTAGGGATGAATTCATTCTTGTGCGGAAGATGCAACTCTGGAATCCTCTCAGACTCTTGGTTGGACAAGGCTCTTCGCACCTCAGACAAGACGTCTGCAGGCACCCTTTCAACCTTGTACTCTGTGCCGTACCATCGCTCCTTCTGGTCCCAATTACCTGGATAATCTTGTGCGACAAGCATCAGTCTAAAGTTGTCCTCTCGAAGATATTGCATGGCTTGCACGATGGCTTGGGCGTCGAATTTCCTGAACTTGCTGGTGCTGCTTAAAAGCCAACTGCGGGGCAATCCTTCCTTCTGCATGACACTGCTGGTGGCACTCGTGAATCGACTGGCAGGGGATTTCTGGCGGAATTTGAAATCGACCTCGGCCATGTTCTTCATTTCTTGGTGCATCCACTCGACGGGAGGATTTGCCTTCATCATTCCGATGTACTTGAAGACGATCTTGACGATCTCATGGTAGTTTTTGAGCCCATCAGGTGTCAGGCCAACCTCAATCTCGAAGAAGGCCGATCCTGGACAGACAGGATGGTAACCGGCTGACAGAGTCTGAGCCAGACCCCGTTCCTTGAGATATGCAAGAATACTACCGGGACCCTCGTGGCCAATCAAGTGACTGATGTATCTCGCTGGCTGAGTTTCGAACATGTCCTCCTCATCCTGCCAAGGGAAGCTGATCTCCAGAGACCGGGACTCCATGACGGGTTTTGCATAAATCTCGGTTGAAAGCTGGTCTTTGGTCAACATCTCAATGCCATCCCATCGGTTCTGAGACAGATTCTGGTTCTTGACCTCAGAGAAGAGTTCTACCACCCAGCTTTCAAGCTCGTCCAGAGACTCACGGCCCAAGACCACAAGTTTCATTCTGTTCGCAGAATAGTGTCGCTCATAAAACCGGATGAACTCATCTCGAATCTTAACACCTCGTTTTTCGGGCTCGTCTCTCAGTGTCTGCAGGTTCCCTGTGGAGAAGTGGTGGTATGGGTGCCGAGGGTTTGACAGCGATTTTGCCAACTGGGACAGTCTCCATCCGTCACTCTGTAAGTTTTTCTTGTTCTCCGAGTCCACTGCTCTTAGCTCTCTGTCGAGAGTATTCTCGAGGAAGAGGGGTTTGACGAAGAACTGCGCAAACCGATCGAGTGCCCCATACAAAGGCCCTGCCGATGTACCATTCGCCCCGCCCTCAGTGGTCCCATTCGTGAGCTTCTCATTTGATTCGTGCTGGGCGGCGCATTCGAAGAAGTAGTTCGTCTGAGTGGCAGCCGTGTAGGCATTGGAGTGACCAGCATTTGAGGAAAGGTACGAGCTGTACTCGTTTTCTACCGGATACTACATCGCCGTCAGCACAAGAGCATAAAATCGTCAAAGAGAGGCCAGGTAGCGCACCTTTTCTGTGCCCATAAAGAGGAGATGCTCGACGGCGTGAGCCATGCCGGGCATGTGCTCTTCGTCCGAGAAATTCCCCACATTGACGTTGAGACTTGCACTCGCTTTGTCTGTCTGAGCATCATGGACGAGCAGCGCCTCAAGCTTGTTCGACAGCTCGATGACTCGGTATGATCGGTCGTCAAGATCGGGCTTTTCCAGTTCGTCTGTTATCCGTCTCGCCGAATTCATGACTGTGGCGTATGCTCGTGTGGGAGTGGCTTGCGGGATTCGAAGGGTGGCCGCCAGCGATTTTGAGAACAGCCGAGGACGGAACGCCAGAGGGACGACTGATGGAGAGGAGAGGAGCGAGCAAGATGCCAGGCGTACAGAAAGTCTCATATAGGAGATGTATCCCGTTGCAAACCTCCAGGCAGGCACAAAGAATGCGTCACGGTCCAACTGAAACCTCAAGTAATCATGGCAATTTCTTCAAAGCAAACATACCGCCTGGTTATGCGACTTTCCGCCTCCAGGCGATGGCATCGATTCCGGCCTTTGCCAAGCAAAATCGAGGACAACCAAACGCGCCGAGGGTCATTAGCTTCGCGCTTTCACTTTGCTCTCACCTCGAGCATATTCTACGTTCACTCCCGTTCAAGTCCATAATCCCTGCTTGTGGCTTCCTTAGTAAAGCGACAATGCGCTGAAGCAGGCTCCTCCAGATACATGTGCAGTTGGCAAGGTGTTGTTCTAGTCACGCGCCTTTCAAGCGGCGTGCAGACGAAGCACAAACGCCTGAACTGTTACTCGACATGCTGCACACTCCCCTTCTGAAGATATATCATTGGCGCATTGCCAGTGTAGCCTTGCATAGACCAGCAAGACCATGCATTTGACACTGCCATGGCAACACAAGAGGGAGAATTCTTCCTCGAGCAGCCGACCACGACGTCACTGAGTCGTTGCAGAAGCCCTCCATGGTGCAAACGGGCGGGTAATTCGTGGTTGAGGTATGGCTCCCGTTTTGTGCATCTAGTCACCGCAGCTTCTACGATGAGCAAGCAAGAGCAAGGGAGCTATCTCATTGTCCACCGCACCGGAATACTCCTACGACCGGTGTCCATGGTGTTACTCACTCCGCCTGCCTAGAGTTGGAACCTCTCACCCACAAGCTGTTCGCTCAATTCCCAGACCTGGTCGACGAATGCTCCATGGCCATCGTGGACAGCCGGCTTCTTGACCTGGCAGTGATCAAGGTACGCTCCAGACTCAGGCTCGAGACTCGGATCCAAGGCGGCACAAAGCTGAGTGGAAGCCCCTTGCTGCAGCGTCTTGCGTACAGGGATCTCGAACTCTGGATTCTCCCTCGTCGCCGACTCGATCGCTAGATTCCTCACCTCCTCAGTCATGTAACCTTGGAGATTCGTAATAATGCTTCCAGGGTTCAGACTAAAGACAGTGATGCCCTTGGGCTTCAGCACCCTTGCGAGACGACGGGCATACAGGTTGTTGCATGACTTGGAAAAAGTGTAGGCCTGGATGGGATCATACACCTTGCCATGCTCGTAGGAGATGTCCTTCAGGGGCGCAAAAGCATAGTCTGCTTTTCGTTCCGATGCCGAGCTGCTGACGACCACGATTCGTGAGCGCACCAGATCCTCTCTCAAGAGCAGGTTTCCGAACAAGAAATGGCCCAGGTGATTTGTTCCGAACTGACTCTCAAATCCATCCACAGTGAGAGCATACGGACAAGCCATGATCGCAGCGTTCAAGATCAGCACATCGATCTTATCACCAGCTAGCACAGACTTGATCCCGTCGATTGACTTGCGCACCGAACTCAGACTCGCCAAATCAAGCTGAACGAAGCTGACCTCGACATGAGGTTTCTCTTGGTGGATTTGGTCGACGAGCGGCTGGATCTTCTGCTGCGACCGACCCGCTAGTATTAGGCGCTTGGGGTCCGCTTTTGCCAGGCTGAGGGCCGTTTCAGCACCTATGCCTCCCGGAGTCGGACCTGTGATCAAGACTGAAGGAAAGAGTAGTCAGCGTTCGTATCATCGTGTAGACCTCACTGACTCGCAAACTCGTACACGTCTTGCCAGTAACCCGATCCTTGAATGCCTCCACCACCTCATCACCAGTAGTTTCGAAACCCAAAGCCATGACTTTCTCGCTCGCAAAAATATAGTGCTTAGCGGATGGCTATCCGACGCTGTCCTAGATTGTTCACCCTGAAAGCACCTAGGTAGACAGTAACCGGCTAGTGAGAGCATCCAGCGCTGAGTCAAGTGACAGCTTTATACCATCCGGTCTCATCAGACCTACACGGCGATTATACCACAATACGGAGTATACACGGTAACGCCATAACATTCTCCGCCGTAGCATAGTAGTGTTTTGGATATTGGGTAGCGCCGAGACAAGTCTCATAGGTACACCAGGCGGAGGCCACTGCCCGTCAGCAAGTCGCAGTCAGTAATTACCCTGCATAGATCAAAACCTTCAGCGAATAGGACCGCTCTGCAGGTCATGTTTGACCAACCAATGACGCGCCAATTAGGTATCCTCTCGTGTCATTCTGTAGGTAGGTACTCTGGCCAAATGCCCGGTACCTCGTAATGGTACTCCGTATGCAGGTCAGAAAGGAGCCAAGCCTAACTCCGACGGTCGTGCATATAGCCGGACGAGGCTGGAGACAACGGTTGACGACGCCGCAGGTCCTGCAACATACATGGCGACAACGGCAATTTGGGTTTTCGCGCGAGTCTAGTTTCAAAGCATGGCGCTCACCGTGACCGGAAAAATGTGCTCCGTACGAGTACTCTGTGAGTCTGTATACCTCGTAGGTGAAGAAAGTGTGGGCGGGTTCCTTAGTAGTCCGGACACGGAAGAACGATAATCCTCGTTATAGAAATGCATGCGGAGACAATTGACATCAGGAGGGAGCCCTATTAATTAATTGATCTCGATTTCCATACTGCGGTTCTGTTCGAAAATCTCGAGAAAGGACGAAATCCACGAAACCCTTGCATCCCGCGATATACGCCGCGTCAAGCGAGGATGAATCGATCCATCGTGCGATGCACGTCATGTCGCGGTTCGGTTCTCGAAGCAGTCGCCTCGGTCACTGGAGTATCGATTCCAGCACAAGCAGCATCTAGATCACGACTTTCGAAACCACCACCACCACCACCACCACCGAGACTCCAATCAACCAGAACATTCAGCAGCCAGTTCGGGCCCTTACGCCAGTCTCTTAAACCGTCAGATTCAGACTCATCGTCCGACATCCTCCCTCCTCCTCCTCCTCCTCCACCTCTCGCCTCTGCAGAGTCAATACCATGGTATCTACAAATCGAAGACCCGTTACCTCCCTCCCCCCTCAGCCCCCTGCTGGCACTGCAAGAGATTCCGCCCCTGCCACCGAACCCGCCCGCCATCCTCGCCACGGTGCTGACGCACCTGTCTACACAAATCGGCCTGGACAACCTTGTTCTCCTCGATTTACGCCATCTCGACCCGCCTCCGGCGCTGGGCTCTAACCTCCTCATGGTCATCGGCACCGCACGGTCCGTGAAACATCTCAACGTCTCGGCGGACCGCTTCTGCCGGTGGGCGCGCAAGGAGTTCAAGTTACGACCCTACGCGGACGGGCTACTGGGTCGGAATGAATTGAAACTGAAGCTCCGACGGAAGGCCAGGCGGATGAAGTTGGCGCAGAGTGTGGGGAATACAGTGAGCGGACACGGCGCGGACGACGGGATCACGACGGGCTGGATCTGCGTCAACATGGGGAGTGTGGACGAGGCTGTGCTTGCGGATGAGGTGGATGCAGGGGAAGGAGCGGAAGAGATCGCGCAAGTGCAGGTGGAAGCGGCGGGCGACGTGTCGGAGAAGGCGAGAAGGAAAGCGCAAGAGTCTCCCTTGGAGGGTGAGGAAGAGTACCGCAATCCGAGCGAAGACGAGTATGTTGGCTTTGGCTCGCGGACCAATGCACCGCGGATTGTGGTGCAGATGTTCACGGAGGACAAGCGCCTCGAGATGGATCTGGAAGGACTCTGGGACGTGCGCAATACGAGACGAGCGCGCAGGGACGAGCAAGCGACGGCAGCAGCCGAGGCCGCGATTCAGATGTTGCAACGCGAGCAGCAAACAGAGACCGAGACCGAGACGAGCCCAGAGCAGGATAAGGATCTGCGGAAGGACGAGGGCGAGGGACAGGATGATGATAATGCTGGCGAGAGGAAAGAGCGCGCCGGGGAGACGAGAATCGAAGAGGAGGTGGATGACCCTGAGGCTCGTGAAGAAGACGGTGAGGAGAAGCCCTTGGGAGGCATTGGTGCCAGCTGAACGAAAATCGCGTCCAGTATCCTACAATTCATCCAGTGCATTTCCGTCGTATGCTTTCGTTCCGTCATGCCGTTCAGTTGCTCCATTAACCGTGTGCAGTCATGGGCAATCTCTACGCAACGCTCGCAATGAAATGCCAGTCAAGTTCCTCGTAAGAACCAATATCCCAGCGAGCCATGCCCCGAAGTCATCCGAATCGTGTCAACCTTCAGTCAAAGCTGGGCCCCAGCATGACAACGCTGAACCGTAACTCGCCTCCACCGGCAGCTTCTTCTCTCTTCAAGAATGACTTCACACCCAGTTCCTGACCCTTCTCGCTCAAAACATCATCCTCCGGACCTAGAAACCCTCTCTTTAATGGGCCTTTTCGTGAGCCATCCATCTCCCATAAGTAGCCATCTTTGTCTTTGACAAATGCGACAAAGTGCAGATCGATAGCCGCGTCGGCTTCTGGTGCTTCTGTGTCGCCTTTTGACGCGGCACCGGCGTGGGCTGCTTCGAGCGTCGGGCTATTGTAGAGCAGCTCGGCCCGTTCCATCGGTTTGAGAGGCAGGGCTTGCTTTAGTAATTTATCCAGATCACTGCCTTCAACGATGTTCGATCTTGCTGCGCCGTTGCTGATGGCGTGTAACAGGCCAATGAGACCGCAAGCATTGCCGATGGTCTGCTTGAACCAGATCACAGGCTCTTGGTCGCCTGAGGCAGAGTATGCCTCCGCCGACGAGTCTTCCTCGGCTCGGAATTTCTCGTATGTGGAGGTGACGGGAAATACCAAAAGCAGGGCAATGGCGGGTCGGGGCAGGAACTCAAGAAGACTAGGTTCGTCGAGGGAGTAGACTTCGTGGAATTGTAGCGATGAGGAGAGGCCAAGTTCTCGTGAGAGATTGGTCATGACCTCTGGATTGTTCTCTACAAGAGGTTTGATCAGTCAGTGGAGGCCCTCCTCTGGCATAGGGTGGGCGGGGGCGAGGCTGATCACTCACCTAGTGGGACGAACATCTTTCTCTTCGCAGTTTCCGCCATTTTGTCTCGCCTGTTGAGTAGCTGTGCTGTTCGATAAGGCGTGAACGAAGACCAAGTGAGGCATCCGCGAAGGGCACAAAAGAGGCACGCGGCAGGCAAATACCAATTGCGTCAACGGCGGGACATTCAGGCACCAAAGGCATCTGATTGGCCGCAGTGCCAGCCTTGCAGGGCAGCGCCAGTCGAAACCTCATCCGCCTAGAGTGCCCCTCCTCCATCTTGGGTGGTGCAGTTGCTGTTCCCTTTCCCACATTCCTCGCTTGACTCAAAGAGGGCTCTCCCCACTAAGCTCACTGAACGAGTAAGCCCACTGGCTTTCGTGCTGAAACTTCAATACTTCATCACCCCACGACCACCACCCAGCGGTAAGACTCCTTGCAAACAGCTCTAGTGCACGATACTCCGGGGGCAACAGCTCTTGCAACAACATCTTGAGACACGGTTTCCGTGAATGCACGTCTGGCACGGCTGCGATGATCCTTCTTTTCGTCTTCTCAGACGATGCGCCTCTCTGAAATAGGAGGAGAATCTCATATGGTCGCCGCCACACTCCGTCAAGTTGGGTAACAGGTTCACCATGAATTGTTGTTTTGATCCAGAACCATTCCTCCTGTAACCGGAGGTCCATAGCTTGCAAAGTCTCCAGAACCATGGCCCGGATGGAGGACTTATTGGTGATCCAGACGGTGACCCAACCCTGTGGAGCACACAGTCTCTTTACAATCCGCAGAGCTTGATCGAACGGATCTTGAACTTGATCCTCTTGCGTTCTGTAAGCACCGGAATGCCGGACAGAGCGGTTGGACCAGGGTGGATCCATCAGAATGAGGTCAAAATCAGGACAGTGGCGGAGGAAATATTCTCGGGCGAGCAACAAAGCAGGCAACCCGTGTTCGAGACTTGCCAGAATAAATGTAGATCTTGGTGGAATAACAAAATCTCCATGACTCGTCACTGCAACAATGGCAGCGGCGGATCGGAGATTGCAGACCACACTACCTGAGAGATCACGAAACGAGGAGAACTGAGTGCGAAGCTCGGTGGTTGACAGTATAACAGGTGTTGCCGACGGAGAATTACTCTTGCTCAGCTCTGGAGCAGCATGGGTGATCAAGGCACGACGAGGGTAGCACCAAATGCCGCATTGACCAGTTGCATGCAAACAAGTCCGGATCTCTGCTAGTGCTAGAGAGATCCTCTCCTGCACGGATTCATGGTACGAGCGTTCATTCAATGAGATTGCAGCGAGTGCAGCGACTCGATTTGCGCCTTTCGGTTCGGTGCTGGGATACGGAGACTCAAGAGGTTCCGAGGATTTTAAAGCGTGGAGGGCGTCTTGACCATTTTGAATTGATGTTGGTAGATCAACCAAGTAAACAGTGCCTGCTTCATTCTGGGAGAGGATAGTCGGCTGCATCGAGGCTTTCAAGAGGTGAGCGTGAATCTTGAAGCTCGTTGATGGGTGGCAGGAGGTTGGGTGTAAGGATTTCAGACGAAGACGAGCATTGACACATTCTTACTCTGTCCTCACCCCAACCTCAGTCCCTGCTTTCATTCCTCGCTCCTACCAAATAGAATTATTCTAACGTCAACACTGACCGTCGTCGCGCATTTCGCACTGATCACCAGAGCGACAATGCTTCCTGCGTCAATGTCAAGCTCTTCTGTACAGGTCAATTTGGCCTGTTGGCCGACCAGCCACCAGATGTGGACATTCATCCCTTCCACGGTGGCACGCACTGACGGTATCGACAGCATTTATCACATACCTGTAAGTGGATGTTATCACTTTCGCAACAGTGTGTACGATGTGTACCCTTGAAGCTCTCCTTCCTGTTCCCAGCGAAAACACTTCACGTACTCCTTTCAACCGGTTGAGGGGGTTGATTTCTCCCGTCGAGTTAGTAATCTCCGGTCTTCGCTGTTCGATCTGAGATACTCTGCTGGCCTCTGCGAGCCTCAGGTTTGATCATACAGTTATTGGCAGTGGCACTCGTGGTTGTTTCGACGGACATTCCCATGTTACCAGATCACACAAGCTCATCGCTGCCTACGAGATCGAGCACTTCACACACCTGGACATGGCGAGACACCATCACCCACCCTACCAGTGTCGGAAAGACTACCACGGCAACATTAAGCAGTTCCCAATCTCGAGCGATCCTGATCGCGGCGCTCTCATGCGCCTGCGTCAGCTTGGTTCTGGTCTTGATTACCTTGAGATGGTTTCTTATGATGCGCAGGTACTTCCGACATAGGTTGGTCCTGCATCTGATTGCCAGCGACACCTTCAAAGCCATCTGGTATTTTGTCTTCCCAGTTGTGGTATTTGCGGGAGGCCCAGCTGGCAGCACATCGAACTTCTGCCAGGCAAGCGGCTTCTTGCTCGCCTTCGCCATCGAGGCCAGCGACATGGCTATTCTTATCATCGCGCTACACTCAACTCTATGCATCCTACGATCGGACAGCACCATCGGAGAAGGCGGCCTGGACCGCTACAGCAGCTGGATTTACCCCTTGTGGCTTGGGCCGCCGCTTTTGGCTGCTTCGTTCGCCTTCATCAACAATAACGAAGGCTACACTCTGGCTGGCACCTTTTGCTATCTCCCTAAACGCCCATTTTGGTATCGACTGGCGCTTTCCTGGGTGCCTCGATATCTCATTATCAGCTTGATCCTGATCATGTACGTCTGGATCTACATCTATGGTGAGTCCTTTCTAGACTCGGATTCTGCCCGTGCGAGACATCTACCTCAAAATATACTTATTTGGAACACTACGTTGTTGATACGATTTTGAGGGACTAGTTCACGTCAAATTTCGCGGCTTCGAAAACCTCGGTGCAACAGACGACTCCTACGATGCTGAGGTGAGACGCCGATCGGGCCTTTCTATGAAATCAAATGATGTCGAGCGAAGAGGAACCGACCGAAGCAGCGGAGCATTGCCACCGTCAATCCTCAGCCCATCGTACAGGCAAACCCAGAATCAGATTCTAGGTATTGGGACCAACTTGACCACCCCGCAGCTTCAGCCCTGGGACCACATGCACTTCATTACATCAAAGCCGCTAGAAGTACCCATAGCCGAGATGGTTGATGAAAGTGAAGCTGGAAACATGATGGCGCGCGGGAGTGGATGGTCCGGGGAGACTCACGTTCCTCTTACCGACTGCCCCGGACAACCTATACCTGCCAGAGAAACGGAATCAAAGCGTGAGGCTGATTCGCATAAACCGGCCGGACGACCTGCTATCTACTGCGGCTTAAACGTGACACCAGATGATCAGAGGACGCAATCGTTAAACGCTTCTGCCCGGCTCGAGGATCCACTCAGGAAGACCCGAATGGCCATTCGTAAGCAACTACGGTATGTATTCATCTACCCTCTTGTGTATATCATCATGTGGAGCTTCCCATTCGCATCACACGCGCTGAACTACAACGACTATTACGTTCAGCATCCAGTCTTCTGGCTCTCCCTGGTCCAGACGATTATGCTTAGTCTGCAAGCTGGAGTTGACAGCATCATGTTCTCGTGTTCAGAGAAGCCTTGGAAAAGGGTCGACGCATCCTCGAAATTGTCCTTGCTGTTCCTCCAGCGCCAGATCGAGAAGTCTCCCGTCTCCTCGCCGGATCATCCAGCCCAGCAGCAACCCGCGACCAACCACAATCCGACATGGTGGGAAGCGGAAGGTCGTCGTCGCAATGACAGCATATGGCTTGGGACCAGCACAATCTCACACACATTGTCTTCACTTACGGTCTGGACACGATCAAGAAGTCCACACAAGCAAGGACAAGATCGCCAGGCCCAGAGAGGGAGCTATGAGCAGGGTCCTGTAATTCTTCCCCGGCTCCCTCCCATCTCAGCAGGAACAGGCACTCTTTCGCTCAATCGGAATGCCCCAGAAGAAACTAGTTCTGGCAGCCCTGCGTAGTAGTAGCAGAGGTAGAGGCAGCTGTCCAGTGTGCGCGAAAATCATGCCGACTTGAATCCCGCGAATAAGCGCCTCTGAGCCAGAAGAGAAAATATTTTATCGACGAGGTGGTATTTGTCCCGTGGGATGTCTGCATCAGGCTCGTGACCGTGACCAAACCCACATATGCAGAATCCGTAGTACTTGAATTGCCTAGGTATTCGCCGTGCGGGATCCGAAGGCGAAAGGGAAAAAGGCCGGAATTCCAGCGGTGCGGAATCGGAAGCGATACTCGTCCTCACTCTTCTCTCACAACTGGCTGACTGCGTGCTGGGTGACTGGATGCTTGGGGCTCGCCTTCTCTAGCTCCACGGACCTCCACCTTCGTCCCCGAGTTTCTCCCTCTTCATTACATGTGGCTATCGCATTCGACGTCACGAAGCTCAGCGTCCCCTCTATTCTCACGTTCACCTATTGCTCGCCCTGCACAGCCAAAGAGCAGTCGTATCAATAATGTCACAGTGCCTCTTTGAATGCCTATAGCCAATCCAGGTCATGCAGCCACAACACTTCAAGCCTTACAATCATCCGAGATGGAGAGCCGAGGTGCTGCCTCGAGGCTGCTCGAGGAACCTCCACCAGGACCCGACCAGAGAGTCTTCAAAAAAGCTGATGCATCGGTGACAACCCAGAGAGATGCTGGCCACAACACCAAGAACCTGGACAAGCGGAGCCTCGAATACGTCCTGCGCTCGGGGTTCGCAGGTGGACTAGCAGGATGCGCTGTACGTGGAAGACGTGCGGTTGTTCCGTAACAGCTCACGCTGACTTGTTGCACAGGCCAAAACAGTTGTCGGTCCCCTCGACCGAGTCAAGATCCTTTTCCAAGCCTCGAATCCCCAGTTTGCAAAATATACGGGCAGTTGGTTCGGCGTGGTGACGGCAATGCGGGATATCAATCGGCAAGACGGGCTTCGAGGACTGTTTCGAGGACACTCGGCGACACTACTCAGAGTCTTTCCTTACGCCGGAATCAAGTTTCTCGCCTACGAGCAGATAAGAGCCGTGGTCATACCCGATAAAGCCCATGAGACTCCCGCCCGTCGCTTCTTGTCTGGATCGTTGGCGGGCATCACTTCAGTCTTCTTCACCTACCCTCTCGAGGTCATCCGAGTGCGATTAGCTTTCGAAACCAAACGCGACTCGCGTTCTTCTTTTACACGGATTTGCCGGCAGATATACCACGAACATCCTCCCGAGGTAGAAAATCTAGCAAGCCGTGGGCCTGTCGCAGCGGCATCCAATGTCGCACATCACGCTGTGCCCAGGTCCGGATTAGCCAACTTCTACAGAGGTTTCTCGCCGACGATGTTGGGCATGTTGCCGTACGCCGGAATGTCATTTTTGACGCACGACACTATAGGAGATATCTTCAGACACCCTTCTCTGGCACCATATACCATCCTTCGGTCGACTGCGACTGCGGCCGCTCCGCCGGCTGAATCTAATACGAAGGTGTACAAACGGAGTCAGTTGAATGCACCGGCGGAGCTAACGTCGGGCGCCCTGGCCGGGTTGGTGTCCCAGACAGCCTCCTATCCGCTTGAAGTCGTCCGACGTCGAATGCAGGTCGGTGGCGCTGTCGGCGATGGTCATAGGTTGACTATTGGTGAAACAGCGCGACGGATATGGCTTGAACGGGGCTGGAGGGGGTTTTTCGTGGGTCTCACAATTGGCTATATCAAGGTTGTTCCCATGGTTGCCACGAGCTTCTACGTATACGAGCGAAGCAAGTGGTTGCTGGGGATTGGCTGAAGATTCGCGGTACCACCCTCACGGGCTTATCACGATATATGAGAATGCCATATCGAGACTAAGTATAACCTCGCCATTCAGCTAGCTCATCGAGGGGCCAGGAACAGGATGTTGTGCCCTACTGGCATTCCATGGAATGATCCTTTGGGGGTCATGATGATTTAACCGGGGAATCAACCGACGATCAATACAACATCACCAGCAAGATCAGTGAAGCCAAGCACGACGGAAGTTGAGACTCCAGCACTGTACCGTCGGAAGGGCACCAGCTATGTCTCTGCCCTAGCCGTCGGGTCAGCGTTGTGGATCAGATTGGAACGCTGCTTCGCGTCGCAACGGACGGGGGAACCCGCTGCAAGAACTCAGCGGTTATTCAGCACGAAATGGTATCATCCGACACAAGCAGGTTGAAAAGCACATGTCAACATGGGCACATTGGCAGATATTTACGTTTATGGCATCGTTATCGGAAGTCATGGTCCCGGGAAGTTTGGAAACCTGTAGGCGGGCGCCGTGCATGGCGATTGCTGGTATTTCCTCCTCACAGAAGCAGCCAGCTTTTATCCCAGGGAACGTGCGTATGAAGTATATAACATTGACAGCGGCACCTGTTGCCACTTTCGAAATGAATCTTATTACCAGGTCTTATTGACTTCACTTGATCGTCAGTGTTGATCTCCCTGTAGAGAGTCAATTTACCAAACCACATCGTACTGGAGTAGTGCGCACAATGCTATGCTGGGGGCCACGGACAGTTGGAAATCATTGTGAGGGCATGTCAGAGCAGGCCAAGTCAACGCAGGTCAGGTCAGTCAGCGTCATGGTTGCCAACGATACAGTGTGATGCGAATTACTCCAACTTTCTCTGGACAGTGTGAGTTCAGCAGCCGTGCCACTTGACCGACAGTGCCCGAACGGAATGGAATGAAGATTGATACTGTATAGACACACACACATACACAGATAGATAGGTATAGGGAGGGCTAGGATAATATCTTACGTACCTAGTTAGGTACTCGTACTGCGTCACCTCCATACCTACCTACCTACCTACCTACCGTACCTAGATAGGTAGTTAGTTGATGGATAATTTACTCTGTACGGTACCGTGTATGCCGAATATCTATTACTTTCTACACAACCGATCTGCCTAACTATATGTACTCATATAGTATGGTATGCGTACACACATATATATACGGATCATGAGGTTCTGCTTTGGGTACCCGGACTCGTCTACCATTGTACCGTACTTTACTATCTTCAGGTAGGTATGCTATTCTACGGACTATATCACGCGGCACTGTATACCACGGAGTATACCACAGAGCTATACCGCGCTTTCTGTCTGTCTAAGGTAGATAGATACCAGGTACCTACCAGGCCGTGCTCCATCAGTCCAGTGGCCGTGAAAGTCTAAAGGGCCGAAAGGCAGACGACCATCCGCCGCTCATTATGTATTTATTTCTCATGCTCTGCTCTGCTCACCCCGATCGTCCCTGCCCTCCCTGGCCCGTCTTTTCCCGCTCCGTGCTGCATTGTAGGGCGATGGTCGTGTAGAAGAAAGGAGGAATATGTCTGTTTCGCATCTATTTCTGCTTCTTCGCCCGCTTCCGTCGCCGCCTCAGTAGCCCAGTATTTGTGCTGTCGCCACCTCCTCAGTGGCCCGGTAGTTGGTGTACTGTATAGTACTGTGGTGGAGTTCACCACACCACCACACCACCACACCTCCGTTTCCATGCCCAAGGTGGACCTCATCCGCCTGGCATAGCGGTTTGCCCGACTTCACAAACCTGAGCTTGCTCAACCGCTCACTCATACAATCACTCACTCACTCCCGACCTAGCCTCTCACCCTCGTCCCACGTCATCTCGTACGCCGGCTTATACCTCTCCCGTCCGTCGCTGTCAATGTACCGCAACTTGGGATTTCTGACCGTGTCGTTCACGCCGCCTAGACTGGTGTACCCTTCATCATACATTTGGCAGTACTTGAGAGGAACTGAGCGGGCCTGCAGGTCCCCGGGGGCACACACTCCCGCACCCGCGCCCACATCGGTCAGGTACGGAGATCGCAAAAAGCACCAGATCTCACTGAGATGCCAATCGATGACCGGGTGAATGCGCATGAACTCGGGCCAGTTATGGTCCGTAAGGTCAAAGTGCGTGAGATGGCTGCCGTGCGGGTCTGTCCTTCGCGTGCCCACGAAGATTGCTTTGACCTGCGGGTGCGATGACAGGTAGAGGGCGAAGGCGTCGCGGAAGGATACGATCGGTCTGTCGGATGGGGGTGCTGCGGGTGAAGAAGCGGGGAGGGTGGTGCTGGAAGTTGAGATTGGAGACGACGAGAGAGGCGGATTTGAATGACTTCGCTCCTTTTTCCTCGGCCCCGGGTTCGTCGATATGTGCGTCAGATCCAAGTGGTATAGTTTGCTCGAGTACTCGACGAACTCTGATACCGCGGGGAAAGGGTCGGGCGGCTTCGCGTAGATGGAGGGGATGGAGGTGGGAAAGTCGTTCCTGGGAGCGCCGTTCTTGGGAGGTTTGGAGAAGTGCGTGTGCAGCACGGCGAGGTACAGGATCAAGAGGACGAGACAGTCTTTCCCGCCGTTGTAGGAGAGGGAGAGGGCCGGGAAGCTAGTTGTTTTACACACACACTAGTTAGACTCTTGGACAGGTCGTTGTGGGGGGCAGGGGGGTGGTTTGGTTCACTCACTCGTAGTCGTTCAGCGCCTTCTCTATCACTTGCATGGATATTCTCGTCTGCTCTTGTGTTCGTCTCGTCACGTCGTTTTCGGGCGCCGCCGACAGGAAGGCGTCCACCTGCCCGTGGAGTACAGCACAGACATCTTGCAACGAATGTGTTGCGGGGTTCGACGAGGACAATACATCGGCTTCTCCATTGACCATCTTGTGAATGCCTTTGGTCATGGGGGCTTGAGGCGGCAGCGATGCAGAAGTCATTGTCACGACGACATGAGTAACCAAGCACGAGTCAGGAACAGAAGGGAAAGGAGGGACACAGAATCTCGTCGACTCGGAGAATGATGAGATTCGGGCTTGGGCGGGCGAGGCGGACGATGTGGGGAACCCTTGATACAATCGCTTTCTGAGGCTTACGAGGTACACAGGACTTTATCCCGAGGTTGCCGAGAGACGAGCGTGGCACAAGGCTGTCGGCTTGGATGTCACGTCGTTGACCGAAGGAAAGAAGTACGACTAGTGAATGGCATGGTTAGGTGCGCCTAGCTGACCTACACCAGGGCAACTATCGCAGAGACCTCTACTGATGATCCAACCGAATTGTATGCATGTCTGGACTGATCAACTCGCGCCAGAGATCAATGCCAGGTGCAATTTCACAACGTCAGATTTTGCAATGCACTGGCAACGTCGTCTGCCTCTTCATCCGCACCGTGTCCCAAGTCGGCCGTGGTCGTCTCCGCTGCAGCACGTGTTTGAGTGGTGAAGGCAATCCTCGTCAATTTCTCCCACTCCACGAGCTCTCTTAAGGGAGATGCGATCCCTGTTCGCGGGTTCGCGAACAGATATGGAATTGTGAATTCTCCTAGGCCACTGTTAGTCCTCCTGCTTACACCACAGGAAGAGGTTCAGGGACCAACCATTGAAAGTGTCGCGGAATTCATACTGCACAAATGCATCGTGCTGGGGACGGGCTCTGCATGCAAGAGCCCACATCATGATCACAGGAATCCAACGCCTACCGAAGCATAGTGCCAGTCTTCGTGCTGTGACTATCTCTTCTACGGAGACAGGCTTCTCGTCCAGATACCATTGCAGCCAAAACTTCTGAAGCCGATTGTAGAGCTCCATGCTATATTCCGCTTGGGCAAGATCGGGCATTATCTCAAATAGTCCTCCTCGCTGACCAACGCCCCAAACGAGACATGTTTGCTGGAATTATCGGTGGTGAGCAATCTATATGCTGTAAGATATTCTCCCTCATGGTACTCGTGGCGCAGGAGACTGTCGGTGGTTCGGTCGAGGTTGTATCTTCTGAGGAGGTCAATTCTCCAAGAGAATGTGCCGGGAGGATACTTCGAGGTGTCAATTATGCAGATGTAACAGCTCGACCTGTTAGTGGAGCCTCGTTTGCATGAAGCAATTTTGCGCACACAATGTGGAGTGCAAACAGAAATGATGGCGTAAATGATATGAGGATATCGTCGTCCCTTCTTTTCCAGCTCTTCCAAGTAACATGATCTTGAAGCATGTCGCGTGCAACGTGTGGTGGCAATTGGCTCAGTGATGTAGCTTCAGTTTTACCGCTGCATGCGGCCATCGACTAGAACCCTGTGAGATCGTTCGATCCGTCGGATCCTGGGGAATAGGCTCGGAAGAGATAACGAGGAACAGCTGAAGGTGCCGACATGCTGGACCACTCACCAAGGATGAAGGTTGAGTGGAATGAGCTGAAAGGAGCTGATGAGCAGCGATGCAAGAAAGCCTGAAGTGGGAGAAGGCAGAGGAAAGGCAACTGCCTCACCTAGGCTGTATCGTCCAACATCCCAAGAATCCAATCAGGCTGCATCTTTTACATGGTCAGTATGCTCTTCAGCCTCATGATCTCGCCCATAATGTCAAGCCAAGAAATCCAGCGTCACATTCATCGCTTCAGACTTCGAACCACCCAGTAACTACCATCTGACATGAGACATGCACTGGCTTGTCGTCGCCTTCGATCGAGCCCAACGGACCTGTTCAGAGACTTGCGGCGACGAGGGACAGTAAGTTCCTCCCCTACAAGTAGGTCAAAGCGAGTCGTGTTGTACTTCCAGGTTGGGCAATGCGAGTTCCCCTTCCTCAGGCAGATCCCGCGGTGCACATACCAACGTCAACCCAACACTTTCATCTTCTTTTTCTTCTTCTGCTCCTCACCCTTCTTGACTCCCTTCTGGAAGTCTCGCCAACTGCCAATGCGCTGCTCTCTCGTATCTTCCCAGCTCTTCTCATGGTCCCGTTTCCGTTTCCTCTCCTCGATCTCGGCGTCTTCTTTGGCCTTCTCGCGGCCCTCTTCCTGCATCTTGGCCTTCATCTGCCGCCTTCTGCGTGCCTCGGCCTCCACCAGCACTTCAACAGTCTTCTTCCTCCATTCCACCTTGAACTCATCCGTCTTCAGCTCTTCCGAATCCACTGTGTACTTGTGCTGACGAATCAGAAGTTGTCTGGCATCCGCAATGCACTCGTCCAGATGTTGGCGCTGTTTCTCATCTAGCAGAGCAGTCTGTGCTTTCTTGAGGCGGTCGAAAGCCTCGGGCGCTTGCGGGTTCTTGGTCTTGTCCGGATGGATTAGCAGTGACTTTTTCCGGTAGACGATCTTGATGTCTGAGTCGGGCACTCCAGGCTGGAGATCTAGCACGGCGTAGCTGCGACGGCGTTAGTCTTTGGAATGACCATACAATCGGTTGAAGTGACTTACGCATCTAGTCTAAATGCTTTCAGGATTCGGTCGATCTCAGCATCCTGACATTCGTCAGCCATGCCAATAAGCAGCTTCGAGTCTGCGCACCTTATCATATTCCTTTGCTTCCTTTTCAAGCACATCAAGAGCATCGGACTCATCATTAGCCATGGCGGGCTGATAGCATGTACCTTACCGATGGATTGTAGCGCGGTCACCTGTGATAAGCACGCTCGCGTGTGAAGAGATAGGCAGACTTAGAGATCGCGTAGATAGCTCTGCCAAATAAGTAATTAGGGATGATCCGACGATAATAGTTGATTCTAACGTGGGAAGTCGCAGCAGAATGCCACCAGATCTGGGGCTGAAGAGGATGCGATTGTATCGAGGCGAACGAGGCAAGTATTCCGACGAGGCTTACCGATAATCTGCCGCCTATCGATAAGGCAGCCTCGTCGCATTATTTTTTTTGGATTCCGCGCTTTCAGAAATAACGTCAATTCCGCAGTGAAATGTGACACTGGCCAGCCATGGCACCTCCAGGGCAGCGCAGAGGGAAGAAAGGCCCTCGCCCTGGACTCCAGCGACCCAGGTTATTGAAACGAAAGCGGGAGGAAGAAGACATTGAGACCCTGTCACAAAGAGTCGCCGACCTCGACCCCAAGTCTTCAGCACCGCCAGAAAGCTTCCTCGATGTTCCTCTGTCGCAAGCAACACAAGATGGCCTCGCTGCCTCGCACTTTAAGACATTGACGACGATTCAAAGCAGGACAATACCGTTAGCACTGCAGGGAGCAGATATCCTAGGAGCAGCGAAAACGGGCTCAGGCAAGACTTTGGCATTTCTCATCCCAGTCCTCGAGAATTTGTATCGCAGAAGATGGACCGACTACGACGGTGTGGGCGCTCTCATCCTCTCCCCGACTCGGGAACTTGCGATCCAAATCTTCGAAGTCCTACGTAAAGTTGGCCGCAACCATATGTTCTCCGCCGGTCTGGTGATCGGTGGGAAGAGTTTGCAGGAAGAGCGAGAACGGCTCGGACGCATGAACATCCTGGTCGCCACGCCAGGGAGGATGCTGCAGCACATGGACCAGACGTCTGAATTAGACATTGGGAATTTGCAAATGCTGGTTCTAGACGAGGCGGATCGGATCATGGACATGGGTTTCAGCCAAACCATTGATGCTCTCATCGAGCATCTCCCCCGTGAGAGACAGACACTCATGTTCAGCGCCACTCAAACGAAGAAAGTCTCCGACCTTGCAAGACTGAGTCTGAAAGAGCCCGAATTCGTCTCCGTCCACGAAGCAGCAGACAGCGCCACGCCCTCCACCCTGCAGCAAAACTACGTCGTCACCCCCCTTCCGGACAAACTCGACACACTGTGGTCGTTCATCCGTGCCAACGTCAAGAAAAAAATCCTAGTCTTCCTCAGCAGCGGCAAACAAGTCCGCTTCGTCTACGAATCATTCCGGCATCTACAGCCCGGTATTCCCCTACTGCATCTCCACGGCCGTCAGAAGCAAACGGCCCGTCTGGACATCACGACCAAATATTCAAACAGCAAATACGCCTGTCTTTTCTCCACCGACGTCGCTGCCCGAGGTCTCGATTTCCCTGCCGTCGACTGGGTCGTGCAAGTCGACTGCCCTGAAGACGCAGACACATACATCCACCGGGTCGGCCGCACCGCGCGCTTCGAGCACGAAGGTCGGGCCATCCTGTTCGTCGAGCCGTCCGAAGAAGCCGGCATGCTCAACGCGCTCGAGAAAAAGAAAGTCTTCCTTGAGAAGATCAACGTCCGGCAAAAGAAGATGCAGCAGACGATCCGCAATCAATTGCAGAACATGTGTTTCAAGGACCCAGAGTTGAAGTATCTCGGCCAGAAGGCCTTTGTGAGTTACGTACGAAGCGTGCATGTGCAGAAGGATAAAGAGACGTTCAACGTCAAGAAGTTGGATCTCGAGGGCTTTGCCGCGAGTTTGGGTCTGCCCGGTGCGCCGCGTGTAAAGTTCGTCAAGGGCGAGGACGCAAAGGCACGCAAGAACGCACCGAGACAACTCCTCGCCGCGTTGGAGGGGAGCGATTCCGAAAGTGACAATGCCGGAAACGGAGATAAACAGAAGAAACGAAAGGGCGACGTGCGCACGAAATATGATCGCATGTTCGAGCGACGTAACCAGGGCGTCTTGGCTGAGCACTACACGAAACTCATCGAGGACGAAGACGAAGACGAAGACACCGAAGCCAGCGATCGCGCCGCAAGCGGAGGTCTGAGAGCAGTCAGAAATGGCACGCCGGACAACAATCCCAACGACGAAGAAGATGACTTCCTGTCCGTCAAGCGCCGCTTCGATGTCGGCGACTCGGCCCTTGACCAGGAAGTTGAAAGTGAAAGTGACAGCGACAACGACAACGACAGTGGCGCCTCGTCCGCCGAACGCTCCATCTCCATCTCCCTCTCCCACTCGAAACGGGACGCGAAGTCCGATCTCGACGCAAACCCATCCGCCCCCAAAGAAATCAAAACCCTCACCCTCTCAACAGCGCGTGACGCCCACCCGCTCACGATCGACTCTCACCGGCGAGAAAAATTGCTCAAGTCCAAAAAAGCACTCCTCAAATACAAGGGCAAAGGCGCGCACCTCACGTTCGACTCGGACAGCGACACGCCCAAGGACAAAAAGGCGTACCGCGACGAAGAAACCTTCACGGCAGGCGGCCGGCAGGCCGCGGAGGCGGAGATCAAGGAATTCCGCCGGCGAGAGGCCGAGCGGGCGTTGCGGGCCGACGAGGTGGACAAGGAGATCGCGAGGACGAAGAAGAGGGAGAAGAAAGAGAAGAGGAAGGAGAGGGAGCGCAGACAATACTTGGGGATTGAGGATCGAGGCGAGGATGATGATGACGATGTCGAGCATGCCGGGGTGCAGCTTGTCCCGTACGACGACGACGACGACGACGACGACGACGACGCAGATGCAGATGCAGATCCGCGCCAACAGGACGATGGAGTGCCGCCCAAGGCAAAGAGAGCGAGGAAATGGTTCGAAGATGCCTCCTCGGATGATGGAGATGAAGATGAAGATGGAGCGGGTGATATTCGACTGACGAAGAGCGGGAAGATGATATCCAAGAGAAAGCGAAAGAACCGCGCCGAAGACGAGCATCCTCAGACGCTGGACGAGCTGGAAGCTTTGGCGTCTGGTCTGCTCGCTGGTTCGTGAGTCAATTTCTACTATGCCGGCTGGGCAGTCACCAAATTCCGTGTGTACTTCGACAGCCCAACCATGGGCGCCTGGTATATATTGCTACAGAACAGAGGTCCCCCCATGTGTCCAGGATCAGAATGAACAAACCTCACACTCGCTTCTACTTCCATGTCGTCTGCCTTGCGAGCGAGCGAGTCTCACTTCCTCCTAATGGTAGACGTTGGGGCTGTTTCCTTGGTATTGTAGTCCACGACCCTAGGTAGCAAGAATTCGACCGTCGCGCCAGAGACTGACTGACTGGACAGCCTGACTGATAATGTAGACTCCATTATTGTGTATGTCACCTTCCCCTCTGCCTCTCGTGTCTCTCCGTTTTGCCTTCCCAACTCAATCCAAGCTTTTATGTCCCTTAACTCCATGCGTTGATTCCAGAGCCTCGTGTGATTTGTCCCCATCCCAAATGCAACCAGGTCGACGTGAAAGCCGACTCCTAATCCGTTCCGTGGGTATAAAATGCAGATTGCGTCTCTTGTTGTGTATATAATCGTACCATTTCCTGCGTTGCTCGTCGTGGTCTTGCAAACCTATACCCCGTTTTCCGCCATGAAGACCAAAAATGTGATCGAATTTCCAGCGACCGATCATAGTGTAACGTGCCGAAGCGTATTCCAACATTCTCGGCCTCCAGCAGGAATAAGGACGATCATCGGTTAGAAATTAAGAGCGTTGAGCAACGAAAATGTGTTATGTAAAAGGAGGTGTATGTATGTGCAGTTGAACAAGGTGGATGACACATTTTTGTAGCATTGGCTTTGCCCAGCTTTTCCCGGCCCTGTGCGTAAGGACTCAGTTTTGCGACTTTCCGTCGCTAGCTTCTCTGCAAATGGGTCGTCAAAACATGTCGAATCATCCAAAGAGAAGTCCGGGTGGAGTCCGAATAGCTAAGCCAGAGGATACCTGTGCTGCCAGTAACTGTGAGGTCCTCCTTGCTTGTGCTAATGCCTTTGTGAGGTGCGTTCGAGGGCACCCGTGGCTGCAAACGTCTACTGTTAAGGCCGGTGCCACCAGAGCCGCTGTCGTCGCTGGGTTGGGTGTATCGTACAATGCAAAAAGGGAACACATGTTGACGGTCGTGCCAGAAGGCTCGTCGCTTCGTTCAACAAAGGAAAGCAGTCGCGAAAAAAAATATGTGCACATGAATTGTTTGGGTAGAGAGGGAGAGGAGTTGTAGGTCCGGTGTGGCCATAGCTGGCTCAGTCGTTACGAGGACCCAGAATCCCTTTGATGTCCATCTTCGGTCGTTTTGGGTCTGGTTCTTGTGTGCCATCGTCCCTACTCTCCTGTCCCCCTCGCGGAGACGGTCGAGTCGACTGAGCGGGTTGTTGCACAATCGCCGGATCAATCAACCCGGAGGGGGCTGGAAAGTTAATAGGAGGCAGCTGTAGGGCAGATGAGGTTTGTAGGGGCGCGAGCTGTTCCGAAGGTAAAGTGGACGGTATTTGGGGTGGAAAGATGGGATTCGAATAATAAGAGCGCTCCGGCTGCCCTTGTGGTGTGAAAGGGTAACTGGCGTAAGCCGTCCCTTGCGGCGTGGACTCTGCACGAGAAGTGTATGGTGATGGCGATTGTCCTGGGAGTATCGGAGGACGGATACCATATGGCCCAGAAGAGGGGGGTACGAAACTCCCTTCCGCCGTTGCCAGACTTGAGGATATTGATGGTTGCACTGGTGTAGGGTAGTAAGCGGGCATCCCTTGCTGCTGAGATCGGAACCAAGGTGCGGGAGACGGTAGAAGCGGTGTTAGTCCGGGACCCTGCGAAAAGGTTGGAAATCTTGTCGGGGGCCCTAATGGTGCCGCTCCAGCGGGTGAAGATGACGGATAGTGAGCCGTCGAGGCTTGATAACGAGCCACGTTGGCTTGGTCCTCGGCTTTGAGTGGAGGACGGCCTCTCTTCTTATGTTCGACGTCGCGACAGGTATCCTAACAACCACGTCAGCCTTTCCTTCCCTATGGTCATGTCCTAAGCACTTCGACACACCTCTTTGCCGCTCTGCACACACCTCCGGCACGGACGACTGGCATCACACCTCAAGTGCTTCCTCTTGCAGTTCACGCACGCTGAGGCAACATGCGCCTTTGGTTTCCGGGTTGTGCGAGGCGATATGGGGCTGAGCGCGAATCGGGAATCCTGTACACTAGTTGACGATGATAACAGGGTGGAAGCGGCTTGATATGTCGTCGGAGGGGGCGGATAGTTGAGCGCATAAGGGTCATGCTGTACAGCAAGCTCTCCCAGAGTCTCACCACCTCTTAACAACGTCGCCGGTCGAGCAGCACTAGTGTCCAAGGGAGTGATGGGCGCGAGAGTCGTAGCGGTCGTTGTGACGGGAGGGGTATGTGATCGCTTCCTTCTCCGGCCAGCGATCTGTGGAGGTTCAGCAGGCCGTTCCGGTGGTGGAGAACCGGACATGGGAGGGGTAGGAAGAGACGCCCACGCGGGCACAGCAAGTGGTTTCGGCAGCGTGAGATGTTCGATGGTGAACCTAGAGCCGCTGATGCTTGATCGGTGTTTCTTGAAGGAGGAGCAGCAGGGTAACTGAGGCGGCCGTGAATGCTGCATCAGGTTGACTTGAGAGGACGACACTCAACCGCATCGACGAGGTTTCCTGAAAAGACCTTCCCAGCGAGGTGACGGCCCAGTGAGGTTCAAGTGAATTCTCCTTCAGTTCGCCCGTGCTCAAATCCCGCTTGGAACGCGCTCCCTTCCGTTCAGTCTCGACCCGACCGCTTTGACCATGTACTCAAGTCTACCTCCGATCCTGATTTAGTGGTCCGCGCAAGTGCTTGGGCTCAGGTTAGTGATATGTCCCGAGTCCGATAAATGGGTTTGGGAGATGGACACAGCATGGTGGCCAGAATTGTGTCGCCTACCTGATCGGGTCGTCCAGGTATCCTTTGGCCCCAATTCAGTACTCAACCAATATTGGCCAAAGAGATGATGGATCAAGTAAAATGTCCCGTGCGGGGTTCGTGAACGATTGACTGGAAAAACGAGAGTCGTTGGGCCCTGAAACGAGGGCAAGAGGCCGGTGAGGTGAGAGCGATACTTCAGTCCTGCCCGCTTGAGAAGGAACGTCTGGGCTTCTTGGTGGTGGTCGAAGAAAGCTGAATCAAGAGCATGGCCACAGCTTGATAGAAGACTCGGCGAACACGATCCGAGAGTCATAGGTGAACAAGTGGTCAAAACTCACGGTCAGAGGTCGGGGCCAGGGTAGGCGGAGTCTTGCTGTTCATCTGCTTGCAAGGGCGCCTCTTGGTCCCCTACAGATGGAGCGGGAACTGGAGCAGCAGACAAATTTCCTCATGTTCATGGACGTCCACGGCGATCTGCTCTATTGAAAGGCAGAATACGGAGTCCTGGCTCAATAGTTCCGGTCGACTGATCCACTTTGGTATGGACGGCAGAGCCCACTCATCGCGAGATCCAGGGATGCGCAGCTGCGAGGTATGCATTAGCTTTTGCCTCGGAGCGGACACTTGACCCTGCCTCCCGCTGTCAATTGCGACATGGGATGATCCGCAGCAAGCGACTGGCAGTCTGAGGTGGATGAGGTTTCGCCGCCCACGCGCGTGGTCTGCGTCTCTAGCACGGTAGCACCAGATAGTCGTGTCTCGGCAAGCCAGCGACGCGACAGCACCAGCCACAATCCACCTCAGGCTGACGAGACATGAGCATTCGGTGCTAGGACGCCTACGAAACGGGTAGTGTGTGGACCGGCTGATTTGAGAGCCTTGGATAGGTTGCGACGCGAACCGACATGAGCAAGCAGTCAAGCATAAGCTTCACCCGGCGCGAGGGCAATTCAAGGATCGCCAGTTGTTCCCGAGGCGGGTCATAGTTTGCAGAAGGTCCGTGACAAAATGCTCGGTACGCCAATGAAAGGGCCCGAGTCCGTCGTCGAGGCTCAAGGTTCTCACCATTGACCGGACAGTGATGTATTGGGCAAGGCGATTAGCGAGGCCGACCGTTGGAAACGGACCTCAGTGAGGACGATCATTGGCGACAAGGTTGCGACATGGAGAAACACAGGAGAGACAGACCAGACGGGCGCTGCCCAGATGGGCCGAATGATTGACGGATGTCCACCATCATCATCGGATTTGGCTTTCTTCTGGACCAGGCACGCCCTTGAATAGATGATTCAGAACAACTATGCTATGGTGCAGCTTGGTTCTTTAGGTTGGCCCCCCGAGCCGAGCCAGACCTTGCGCTTCTTGGAGAACGCAATTTGCGTGCCAGAACAACACCCGTCGTCGCCTGAGGTTCGGGGATCTCGTGTCGTTCTGTCAATCTCAGAAGTTGACTCCCGGGCTGCAGGCGCCAGAAATAGACACATCTGTACCACCGATGACGAGTTGCGAACCTCCGCGGTGGGCTCCAAGGCCCACAAATCCTGCTCGTACAGATTGCGGACAGCCCTGGGAACCATGGTTAGAATCAAGAAATCGGGCCTTTGAGTTCGGGCGTCGGGGGGTCGGCCTTAGCCCGCATGCGGTGATGGGCAGATAGAATGCTAGCGATGGACGTCGTTATTGTCCACCCCGTGCGTATTCAGGCCCGTAGGCAAGGGGCCGGGTCGGAAGACGCCCAAAATGACCAGGTTGGGCTGTGCAGGCTTGGATAAGCACATCGATAAGGGGACGTCCTGTTCTTGCCCGCCTAATGCTGCCCAAAGAGCCTCACCTAAGCCTGCAACTACCAAATGTACTACGCGGTAAATGTTCCCTTTCCTCTGGGTAAATTTGGGGAACCCCCGTGTCAACGCAAGGCGACCACCGCACAGCTGTGCATGCCGATGCTGACTATGACGCAGAGCGTGAGTTTCGTCTCCCCCTATCCGCACGCGACCATGCGAGTCCTCGTCGCTTGCATTCACCATTTCGGTGGTTGCGGTGTTAGCCTTTCGACGGGGCTGAGGTTATTGGCGATGGAGTGCCCATACTGGTATTCACGAATCTCAGCCCGGCCAAAGTTTCGGGTTGATACCCACGTCTCCGGAAAATTGGCCTACTCTCCGGTTGGCTGAGGCGTTCAACGCTGGTTTCTCGCTTGCTGATCGGTTGACAATCCTCCGACGAGACTGGCTAAGGGTCTCCCCTTTGGGACCCTCTCAAGGGCGAAATCTGGTCCGGCTCAGTAGATCTTTGCTTCCTCCTGGTGGAATACTTTTCCACAAAGACATACCATAAATAACGGCGTCTAGCGACCATAGCCGAGCGACCGCTTGGCTCGTATGGACCTGATTCAGGCTTCACAGCTTGGTTATTGTGTACCGAGTACGGAGTAGCTCCAGCAGTCTTTGTTTCTCACTCGCCCAAGTCTTGTCTCTGATACCCGCCAGTCTGTTGGAAAATAATGTGTCCCCCATATTGGCGAGGGAGATGCAGTAACCCGGCACCTCTAGCAGGCAGACTTGATACTCCAGTGCTGATTCAGACCCATTCCAGATGACCGTGATCTCGTTTGTGTTCGATAGTCAAGGCCCCGGGAAGCTGCCGTCCTGAACGCACTATTGTTCCTCTACAGGTTTACTCCGTACTCCGTACTGTGGACGAACACGGAGTACTAGCAGTACATTGTAGAAGGGAATCTCAGAGACAGGTTTGAACCGCGCCCAGAGCAACATCGGTAACAAGGCAAGCGAGCACGAGGGTCGATCCGCCACTGTGGCTGTTGCTCGCATCGTCAAATCTTCACCGCGACTGCTCAATCGCACATGCTGAGGCATGTATGTCTATGAGAATTTTGAATACACACGTGCTTGCGTGCAGAGCCTGAGATTATTGTCTCGCACCTTCTGAGAGGGACGCATCTTGATCGGCTCGAATGCGCCCTTCAGGGTCATCCAATGTCAACTTTCGAGCGCCCTGCTGGTCGTGCACCATTTTCGTCACGAGTTTTCTGGAAGCAAATCTAGTATTAGAGCACTGCCCGATCCGTGACCGTGAGATCCCTACCACGCGTGGTGCAAGATTGGAGCACTCTCCATTCCGCGTCCCTCGCATGGAACAGAGAGCAGATTTCCCAGTTGGGTGGCGGCGTGGCACCGGGAGTTGCTCACGCTAGAAGTTCAATATTCTCCTTAGCGTTACGCCGCCCAAGCCTCATTTCGATACTCCCGGGGGAAGACGCACGTGGCAATCAAAACCCATGTCGGGCGGTGGTTAGTGCTAGTCGGCGAGTCGGCCCTTCCTTTGAGACATCTCCAGTCGAGGTGAGGCCCAAAGGTTAGCGTCGAGGATGGCGGAACTGAGGAGAATTTATCTCAGCCGCTCGGAGAGTTTTCCAAGTCCAAGAGGGAAACTTCCCAGCTCGAGGTTCATATTTCCGTGTCTCAGACATAACGTGTCATGATAGGCCTCTTTCAGGCCCTGCAGCACGCAAGGAAGAGCATGATTGAGGGTGCCCACACAGACACACTACTGAGGTGCTACGATGTCAGCAACCGGTGTTTACTTGGTACTGAAGCATTGAAATGGGTCCCCAATATTGAAGCCACCACGCTGTTAGCTGGGCCGAAGGAGATATCATGACGCATGCATATTTGTTTGCGGTGGGTTTCTCACAGGGACGCAGGAGTCATAAGGAGAGGGTGGCACGCGACCTCGAGCCGCATGAATTTTAACTCAGTTACGAGTACGGAGTACGTGCACTCTAAACCTCAGCCTTGGTGCGGACTCGTGGACACTGGGTCGAAGTCGTCCGCATATCCAGAGTTCCAGATGAGCACGAATTTCTGCAAGGTACTGTAGCTAGCCTAGGGGCGACTTTCAACTGCATCCTGAGCGCAGCGTGTCGGTGATGAAATGCAAAGGCACAAGTGAGAACAATGTGAGAGATCGAGGAGATCTACTCCAAGCATTCCAATCGAGATCAAGCCTGCCAAGAAATCAAATGACCATCAGTATCTCCCAACTTCAATTGAACTTCAGATGAACAACGGCATCGACCAGTTCCACAACAATAAAGGTAGAGATGAAACAGGTGTTTGTCTAAATATCTTCGTGACTGGTCTCGCCTGGTTTGACTGCCTCTTTTCTGCATCAGCATCGCTGCTACACCCATAGTCGGCACCTCACGGTTAACCCGTTCTCAGCTTCCCCTCATTGGAGTTTGAAGGACATCGGCAGCATCATGGCTTCTCAGGCCGGCGAGGACCCCATGATCGCTACCCTGCCGCCAGCGACTGACTATATGACCTACCTGACATTGCTGGAGTATCAGCTAACGCCACAGAATCTCCCTACGTTAAATCGTCTCCTCAGCGACGATGACGGTAAACTCGCCGAGGAGATTGGCTGGGATTTGCCGAAGCTTATCCTACCCATGCTGAACGAGAACACTGCAGAAGCCGCTCGATGCTTGGAGATAGTGGCTCGTAGGGGCAACCCCAGGGAGGTTGTTGTCCGGGTTGCGGAAGAGCTGGAGAAGTTGGGTGATCAAGCCGACAAGGTCGACTCTGAAGACGGCGACGAACAAAGTGAACTCCCGACTTTCCCAGGAGAAGCGCCTCGTGTACATCTGGGAGGCATGACCCTTGAGGGAATGCCGGATGCAGAGAAATTTCCTGGAGGCAGCGACCCGACAGGCCCGTTACAGGAATCCTCACTCAAAACTCTGCAGTTGCAAGCACTTTTCAACATGCTAAGCCACCTTCACCCTAGGATCAAAACGCAATACCCGACCCGCTTCCTCGCGACGTCCCTCCCTGCGGCTCTGGGCGCCTACCGCCAACTTCCTATCACACAGGCGACTACCGCCGCCTTTCTGAGCATGCTTGAGAACTTAGCCGGCAAGAAGCGACCTCCACTACCGCCGCGTCCCGGCACCCAAGGTGATACGCAACCAGCGAGCACGACCGGAGCTAGCCTGCCAGATCCAGAGGCAAAGGCTGAAGAGGAAAACACTGGTGTCAATATTCCCTCTGATGCTGAAAACGCTATTATCTTCCGACTGCTTGATGCTGTTCTGCTTGAGGTTTTGGACGAATATTTGTCCTCGCTCAGCACTGATGAGTACCCTTCGATGTCATGGACGGCTCGACTGCGGGAACACCTCGAGCCCACGAGGGTTGTGCCTGGAAGATCAACAGAGACCGAGCAGTGGAAGCAGACACCGGAACTTGCCGCGAGAGACGGTCTGTTGGCCCGCTTCTACTCAATCAGCAAGGACTTACAACTCGACACAAGTCATGAAATCAGAAAACTGTTGGATGAAGACGAGGAAGATGAATCCGAAAATCCGTACCATGAAAAGGAACCATCAGAATACCCAACGTCTCCGTCACAGATACCATTCCCCCGAGCCGGTGTTATCTACCTACGGGCATACCATTCCTTCCTGGGCCCCTCGGATACCACAACGCTTCTCACGACAACTGAGCTCACCAAGCTGGTCGCGCGCTCGTTTCCCCTGAGCGCTACGCCGTCCATCCCTTTGCCAGCCCTCCAAGACGCCCTCCTCTCTCTTCTGTACAAGCAAACATTGGCAGTGGCGGCTGCGCCCACGACGCCTCAGCCTTCACCGGCAAAATTCCTCCTCCTCCTAAGTACGCTCACCCAGCTGTTCACCATAACCCCATACCCTGCCCTCCGCGACTCCGCCCACTACATCGCCGGCAAGTTGCTCCATGCGTACCCGGACCCCTCCGTTCGGCTCAGAGTCATCACCCAGACATTAGAGGGGGCCACGCTAAGCACAAATTGGGCCGAAATCGAGGACGAAGAGATAGGCGCGCAGCAGCCACCAGAGCCGGAAATTGTGGAGGAAACAGGCCTGACCAGGAGCACATCCGCGCTGGTTCCGCACCCGATCCCTCTTGCGCCGCCGCAGCAGTTGGGACAGCTGAAGGCCATCGGCGTAGATTGGCTAAAGGACGAAATCGCCGCATGGATGGCCGTCAAAGCCAACACAAGCGGGGAGGCAAGCGCACCCATCGTCATCGGAGCACTTGATCCCATTCAAGTGCTTCTCATGCCAGAATCGCTGGAATCGAGCGAGGGTGACCAAGCCAAGCACGAGGGCACTCCCACCCTTCTCGATCTTCTTTTCCCTCGCGATCTGCCCGAACTGCCTATCAGCTCCAGCTCAACCTCTCCGCGACCCGATGAGGCCGAAGCTACAGACAACGATGCCGAAGAATCCCTTTCCGAGTTCCTCCTCTCTATCCCGTTTTACATTTCCACGTTGAACCTCATCTGCATCGTTCTGCCTTACCTCTCTAGCGCGCCTAGCATGGGCGTGCCGGCTCTGAAGTCTCGAATGCTGAGACATGTGGAATCGTTGAACAGATCGTCCACGTTTCTGGTCGACGTCTTGCAGCACGTTCAAGCCGAGACGCGTGGCCTTGGAGGAGGTCAAGAGGGAGGAAGCGCCGACGAGACCGGTATTTTCGAGGCCAGCCGCGCCGATATTTTCGCCTTGGAGGACGCGTGCGCACGTGCGAAGAGCCTGTGGGAGAGGTCAAGCCAATAGGATATTGCGTTGTCCGCGCCTGTGGTTGACGAGCTCGAGGTCCTTTCCTCCTAGGGTGGAAGTCCACTGGGACTGGTTGGAGGGGAATGCCACGGGTTGTATAAGTAAGGTCTGGATGCCACAGATGCCGGCGGGACGGAAACCGGGGCAGGAAAGGGTACAGGGACAGAGATAGGGACGGAGAGAGCAAGCATCGTGACAGTGAGACCAACGTACGGAGATCATGGGCTGATGTGTGGTAGTGTGGTAGGTGATGGGATGTGACGTGCGACACGAACGATTGATTTCTCAACCCCGCGGGACGACCAAAAGGTACTTTATCATCAAAACCGATCAATACCCAAATCAAATCGACTGTTTATATCGCGATAGTCAGAATGAAAATACATATGTAATATGATGCAATGTGTTGTGTTGTGAACCTAGCCTCACACCCTCAAACCCAATTCCGAGTTGGCCAGGACAGAGCAGGACAGAGCGAAAAGCGAAGCATAGGGATTCATCATAACGTTGGTAGAAGGAATAGTCAAGTGGCAGCTGAGAGGTGCCGGTTAAAGGATTTTATCTGTGGGATGTTTGCCAGACATTTAACTGGAATAACAGTCTTTTCTTACAGTGTAAATCTATCCCCCCCCATCGGATACCCTTTCGCAACATGCCTCATCTCAGCAAAAGTGGAGCCGTCAGGGATAGACACCAGCTCGGGCTGCAGCCCTCTGGTGGATTCGACACAGGGTAGTCGTACCCGGGTTGGCCTATTTAGATCCTTGGGATCATCCAGTAGGCAGACACAAGAGTGCGGGCTTTGCATGAGCCATGGAAGAGCCCGGGCGACGAATGAAGAGGTCCGATATCCCTCTGCTCAACTTGTCTCTCCTGGCTTTCTGGCCTTCTCGACTGATCTTCTCTCTAGGTACTTCACACTCTCTGGGTTCGGCGATCTCATAGTCTGAAGATAACCTTTTGCACCTTTGCCTCGTTGAACTGCTTGTATGCCTCGACTGCATCTTCAATTCCTACAATATGGTCCGTCATAAAACTGCAGTCTCTGTCAGCCGCATGGACAAGAACACATCAGAATGTCACCACGTACCCAAGTTGGTCCTGCTTGTCCTTCAACAAGTCCAATGCTTCCAAGAAGACAGCTCTGACAGGACATCGACCTGTTTGTAGTCGCAGGTTCTTGTGATAGGCTTCGTTCGCTGTCCACGGAACCTGCCGTTTTCATGTCAGTGCGGGAACTGCAAAGCCGACTACTCAGGAACTGGCTCACCTCTCCATTGTGTACACCGACGCTGCTGAGTACGCCCCAGGGTCGAATCAGATCAAAGGCCAGGCGCAAGGCAGGGCTCAAGCCCACGAGTTCCAGTGCGACGTCTGCTCCTCGACCATCGGTCAATTCCGCGACTCGTGCCTTCAGGCCCTGTAAGTCGGTCTGGAAATTCCACGGCTCAGCTCCCAGAGCCCGAGCCTGTTCCAATCTTGAAGGGACAGAATCAACGGCGATGATGTTCTTTGGCTTCCACTTGCTCGCCGACACGAGGGCGCAGAGGCCTAATTTGCAAACGGTCAGGAGACTCTGGCGAGGATGGATACGCTAGAACTTACCCACGGGTCCACAACCTACCACAACCACTGTTGTGTCAGGTCTTTCAAGCTCAGTCAACAGCCTGAATCCGTTCGAAGCTGCAAAATATCCCGTTGGAAAGATGTCTGCCATCATAATGAGGGCCTTGGAATCTATCTGTGGCGGTGCAAGCACAGCAGTCGAATCTGCGAGGGGAATCCGGATCTACGATTGTCATGTTTCATTTAGCAGTGAGACTCATACGATTGACGCCTTGAACTGACTTACATATTCGGCCTGAGCACCGTCAAGGGCAACCGTGCCAGTTAAAGCTGCCTTGACACATCGCGATGACAATTCTCTCTCGCAGTAAAAGCACTCGCCACTAGACAGGACTGAGCGTCACGAAAGCGCCCAAGTAGGTAGATTGGTAATTGCGCATGCTTACCACGTCAACGAGAAAGGACATGTTATTTTATCCCCTTTTTTGAAACCTCTCACATCTGCTCCAAGCTCGACCACAGTTCCGGTAAATTCGTGGCCGAGAATGAAACCCGGCGCGGTTTTCTGGTGACCCCGGTACATGTGTAGTTCGCTGGCCCTCGTTTTAGCAATCGACGGCTCAATGTAGTTTGTCCGCTTCCGCCTCGAAGTGTAACTTCTATTGGGATAGAGGAAGACACAGGAGATTGACTTACGTTCCACACAGACCAGCGTATTCAACCTTGACAATGATATCACCTGGATCCTGGATCTTCGGAGTAGGTCTGTCCTCCACAACCACGTCATAGGGCCCTTTGAAGACCACGGCACGCATGGTCGCCATGTCGAGGTCAGGGTCAGATGTGAAGACGATTCCTAGGTTGAGAATCTGTAGCACGATTTCACGGTATGCTCACAGAAGCCTGTTGAAGCTACATAGTTTCGCCGCCAGGACCAAGACTTGATGTAAAATCGACAGTCAATTGTCGTTCCGCAGACTTGGTCAGGCATTTCCGCTTCATGCTTCGTGTTCGCCCGATGTCGCAGCCTTCTTTTCCGCGTTGTTGCCGCATTTCCTTTGGGGACTCACGGTGCCGCCAGACACGAGAGTCTATTTTCGCCGAAATCGCCATCCCATCGCTCGACGAACCGGACCCATCTTCGCACGTGGCCGGGGGAGATGGCGTGCTCTCGTCAATTTGCTGGACGCTCCACGATCTCCACAGACTCCCCGCTTGACCGGAGTCATTCAGGCGGGGGAACCAGTCCACAGAAAGGCGTAATATCGCCGGATATCTCCTAAAGTTTGGCAAAATCGCCGTGGAACTTACTCTGGTGGCTGAGGTTTAGCACGGTAGCACACTGCTCCAGGAAGACGGTAAAGGGCGGGGACTGTAGTTTGCAAGCGTTCATATCTAAATGGGATGTCCATAAGATTAGAAAGCCTCGCTTCCGCCGGATTCTCACCTCCCAGGTCACCTTTCTCTCAGCCTTCATCCTGTCCCTCCATCTTGCTGCTGCACCTCCCCGACAATTCCCAGAAAGAATTGTGTTCAGCTACATCGGTGAAACATGGAAGAGAAAGCCGTGGAACAGCTTGTAGTCGAGAATGCCCCGTCTCCGGGCAAGGCAGAGGCTGCTGGTGCACCAGCCGTTCGCTATGATGAGGCTGAAACCAAACGCATTCTCCGCCGCATCGACATGCGCCTGATTCCAGTCTTGTCGGCCATGTATCTCATGTCATTTCTGGATCGTGGAAACTGTTGGTCAAACCGCTGGTCATCCTTTTTGCAAACAAAGCAAGCACTTGGCTAACTCGTGTTATTCTCAGTGGGCAATGCGAACGTGGCTGGCATGTCGGCTGATCTCCACCTCACCGGAAACCAGTACAACATGTGAGTCCTTCGTCTTGCTGATCACGCTCAAGACATGGATACTGAATCAATGATGCTCCCAGCGCGGCAACCATGTTCTTCATACCTTATGCGCTGTTCGAGGTCCCCAGCAATCTCATGTTGAAGCTCTTGCGCCCACGGATCTGGATACCTTTGATCATGCTTGCGTGGGGCACGGTCATGACGTGAGTACAATCTCCAAGATGGTTTCGTTGGACTTACATTGGTGGCAGACTCATGGGCCTCGTGCAGGACTATAAGGGCCTGGTTGTGGCACGCGTATTCCTGGGAGTTTGTGAAGCAGGATTTTTCCCTGCGGCGACATACGTCCTGACCTGTTGGTACCCTCGCCATGAGGTGCAACTGCGCATCGGATACTTCTACGGAGCTGGAGCATTGTCGGGCGCATTTTCCGGTCTTCTTGCTTACGCCATTGAGAAAATGGACGGCGTCGCCAACTTTGCTGGTTGGAGATGGTGAGAGACCTGTCTCTGCCGTGGTGGAAAGCATGCCGACTAACCTTCGTATAGGATTTTCATCCTTGAGGGTCTTTTAACCGTCCTCTTTGCCGTGTTAGGCCCCTTCATTTTGGTGGATGATCCTTCCACGGCCAAATTCCTCTCTCGCGATGAGGCGGATTGGCTCATGTACACCATTCAAGTCGAGAATGGCCGCGGGGGGACCGAATCACAAAGCGCCGAACGCTTCAAGTGGAAATACTTCTGGGCCGCTGTGCAGGACTGGAAGGTGTGGGTTTCAATCCTTGTTTACTGGGGCAACGCTATTCCAATCTACGGGTATACAAGACCAACACTACTCTGATGGGTGCTTCACACTAACTGCGAGCCAGGTTCATCTATACCCTTCCTGTGGTCATCAAAGGCTTGGGCTACTCTGCTGCCAATGCAGTAAGTCACTCACACTCCTCCCAACCAAGGTACCTTCACAATATGTACTGACTTGATGTGCTTCAGCAACTCCTCACCATTCCGGTCTACGTGGTCGCATTGACAGGAACGGTCACTGCGGCATACTTTTCCGACAAGTACCGAACCAGATCACCGTTCATTATTGGCCCTCAGATCTTCGGCGCGTTAGGTTTCGTCATCATCATGACAATTCCCAAGGAGAAATACCCAGGAGCCGTGTATGGTTGTTTGTTCATCATCTCACTCGGGCTGTACACCACGATTACGGGAGTTGTCTCCTGGACTGGTGAGTCGGTCATCGATATACCATGCTGTGTGCTCCAAACTGACGATTGGCTGCAGGGAACAATCTGGCAGGCCCGTCGAAACGTGCTGTCGGTATGGCTCTGCAAATCAGCGTGGGAAATCTCGGTGGCGCAGGTAAGTTTCTCATGTAGGAAGACCTCCCAACACACAACTAATGACATATTAGTCGGTACAAACATCTATCTCGAAAAGCAGAAACCCAACTATTGGCTCGGATTTGGGCTGTCAATGGGTGTCCTGTTAGGGGCGGCAACAGCGGCCTTCTTTCTGCGCGTTGCACTTCAGCGGATCAATGCGCAAAGAGATGCGATGGATGTCGATGAGATTCACGAAAAATATACCGAGGAAGAATTGTGGGAGATGGGTGATGCATCCCCTCTCTTCAGGTATACGCTGTAGAGAAAGGGCTGTTGTTGTCAGCTCGGACGCAGCGCAACAGTGTTGGGTGGGCTATGTATTTGTGCACGCTCGAATGGCTGTTCCCATTATAGACAGCTTGCTTATATCACCAGTCAATGAGAAAGTCTATGTCCGCATGATTGATTTACATATGATGTGATCATTCTGTTTGGCTCCAGGGGCTGCCACTGTAGGACAAGCAGCTTACTATGCCTAACTAGAGGAAGGTGGTAGATTCCTATACACTCTACTCGTCTCCCCGAGCAACTGTCTCATTCCTAAGGGAGATCCTTGCTTCTTTAGGGTTGGTAGATGAACCGAGGAGACTCTCCCGCCAGATCTTCTCCGACCCTCGTGCGAGATGTCGGTAGTATTGGCAGCACGCCGCTTGTGGGGGTCCCTTCTGGCAACTGCCTCAGCGGCTCAAGATGATCAGCGAGTCAAAGCTGCTCGGACGTCACGCGCGATTCACCATTATTTCCCCCATGATTTCTTATGTCGGAAAGGCTCACAGCTTGACCTTGGGCTCCCTTGCCGTTTCGCGGCTGTGCACATAAGCCAGATTCCTGTACGCTCGACTCGCCTCCCCAAACAGTTCATCCCTCAACAAGCCATACACCCCCGTCCTCGCTTTCGCCTTCCACTTCTCCGCCAACGCCAGCGCCGCCTCAAACATCTCCCCTGGCTCTGCCGCGTAATCCACGATTCCGTCCTCGAGCGCTGTTTTGGCTGTATACTTGTGCGCTTCCAGCAGGATCTTCCGTCTGACCTGCGAGGAGGCGATCTTGAGCCGCAGGAGCGACCCCATGCCGTCGTGGTGGAGCCCGATATTGACGGGCGGCATCTGCCAGAAGCCGCGACGAGAGTTCATGACGCGGTAGTCGTGGGCAAGGGTGAGCAGACAGGCGCCGCCGAAGACGTGGCCGGTGATGAGGGCTATGGTCGGGAAGGGGAAGTCGAGAATCGTGGCCAGGAGCTATGGAACCTCTCGTCAGCGCCAATACCGTACCTCGACCGTGTGGTACAAGGATCCACGTACTGGGTAGAAGCCGTCGCTCGAGGCAAAACTGTTCTTCCCTCGCTCGTCCAAATCCAAACCCTACCACGTGCATGAGCATCAGCGTTTGAATCTCGCAGAGCTATTGGCTAACCGTGCAGAAGAACTTCTCATCGCTCCCGCGCAGAATCACGGCACCCTCGGAGTTCTGACCCAGAGCTCGATGGATGGAATGGTATGCGTGGATGAGTTCCTGAGCAAAGTCGACATTCAATCTATTCTCGGGCGCCCTCCGTAGCGTGATGACATAGATATTGTTCGCGGTGCCATGCTGGGTGATTGTGAGATGTTTGTAGTGTGTCTCCTGAGCCATGGTGTCTGCATCTGGTTGTTTTGTCGAAACGGCACCCGTGAAGATGTGAAGATTTACTATGAACGAGCCAACGGCTTTTCCTCACCGAGAGAATCCGACAACATACCGTCAGAGCCCGGCCACCACAGAATCTGGGGTTTGCCCATACTAGTCGTCCAGCACAGCTACTCACCTTAGCAGTGGGCCGAGACTGAGCCTGGTGAGAATCGTCCATGAGGCGCCGCCCTTCCCACGATTTTCGCCGCGGCGTAAAAATCGCCGGTCGACGCCAACTGCAGGGTACGACGAATCGCCGTAACTTACGCCATGCCACACCACACCTTTGCCCATCTCCTGTTCCGTGCTTCTCCTCATCGACATTCAGGTGAGTAGATGGTCTGATGGAACTGGTGTGGCTCTGGCTCTCCCGGCCCACTCTCGGCCAAAGTACAGATCGTTTGCCCGAGTCCGTTTGGCAGTCTGAAAGCCTCACCACAAGCCCCATATGTAAGGATGACACCAATGCCTCGCTCTGCGCACGCCCGATGTCAATCGACATCGAGGGTGGAAGTAGAACATCTACTCTAAGATCTGAGACTTTCCAAATTGCTGGTGCACCGCCATGGGATATGATTTCACAGACAGGCTGAAGCCTGCCGACCCCAGTGGTCCAGACACGCTGAGTCAAGAACGGGCAGGGTCAAAGATTGATGTCAAGTCACTATCGACATTTCTCCTAGGACCCGACTTCCTCCAAGCCCAAGAACAGGCCCTGTCCATCTTGACCGACGACAAACTCTTCTCCAAGGCCGCACAGGCAAATCTCTCGCGGCCCGAACGGTACATGCTGGGTCTTGCGCGAGCCAAGAAGCTCCGTCGACTGGCCGATCAACACAAATGGACCGACGACACGTATGAGATTGTGAAATATCTGGTCGACGATGTCTCTCCTTACACCCTCCACACCACCATGTTTCGGCAGACCCTCCGCGAGCAAGCCAGTGACGCGCAACAAGCTTACTGGCTCCCTCGTCATGGCCGATGGGAGATTATTGGTGCGTACGCCCAGACCGAAATGGGCCACGGAAGCAACGTTCGGGGAATCGAGACGGAAGCACGATGGGACCCTCGAACCAAAGAATTTATCCTGCACAGCCCGACGTTGACAGCCAGCAAGTGGTGGAACGGGAGCCTGGGCAGGACCGCAAACCATGCCATCGTCGTCGCACAGCTCATGCTACCGACAGGAAGGACCACGTCGGGCTCTCCAGAGTATCGTAAGGTCGGCGTCCAGCCGTTCATCGTCCAAGTTCGGGACATGAAAACCCATCAACCCTTCGAAGGAATTGTCATCGGTGATATAGGCCCAAAGTATGGCTATGCACCCATGGACAATGCTTACATGCTATTCGATCACTTCAGGTCAGATGCCCCTCTTGTCTTTCGAACTCTCGGTTTTTCTGACCCAGCATCTTTTGCAGAATCCCCCACAGTGCCATGCTCTGTCGATATGCGACCTTGGATCCCGAAACGGGGGTCTACAGCAAGCCCAAGAATCCGGGTGTCGTCTACGGTTCGCTCACCGAGGTGTGTTTGTTTCAATACCTACCTGTCCATGTTTCCGTCGCTGACGCACCTCTCCAGGCTCGCTCAAGAATCGTCATGCATGCACGTTTAGTCCTTGCACGAGCGGTCACGGTCGCGGTGCGCTACACTTGCGTCCGACGCCAATTCAAGGACGACGACGATCTTCCCGGCACAAGGGGTTGTGAACGTTCTGTCCTGGACTATTCGACCGTTCAGATCCGCATCTTCCCTCTTCTCGCCACCACCTTTGCGTTCCACTTCTCGGGCAAGAAGATGAAGGAAGTTTTCACGTCCACGAGACAAGAGGTTGCAGAAGGCAACTTCGCCCGGTTGGCCGAATTGCACAGCATGTCCTCGGGCCTGAAGAGTCTCTGCACCGATTTGGCCGCGAACGGCATCGAGACGTGTCGACGGGCATTGGGTGGCCACGGCTACGGCGGATACTCCGGGTTGAAGCAATTGAACGACGACTACCTGTCCAAGCCCACCGTCGAGGGAGACAATTGGATGATCACCCAGCAGGTGGCCAAGTATCTTCTCAAGGCGGCCAAATCGGCCGTCGCGGCCGGCCCAAAACAACAGGCCAGTAGTACCGGGATCGAAGCCACGCTGCGACGACATTTCCGCGATGCAAAGGACAGGGCCGCCCCCGAATTCTTCGACATCTTGGGAGACGACGAGGCCATTGTCCGCGCATTTGACCGGCGCACTGCTTTCTTGGTACGTATCACCATCTCTATCCGGGCACGACTCGTTTGAACATTCGCCCGGATGCTAACGGATTCTCCAGACGTTTGAGCTCTATCACGCCCGAGAAGAACTGAAGAAGCCGTGGAACGACCTGCTCATCCAAATGCATCGACTCTCCCAAGGTATGTGACATGTGACATCCTATTCGTTTGCTACGTCAAGGGGGGGGGGGGGGAAATAAAGTCAATGCTGACCTGACCTTCCCAGCTCAATCGTACGCCATCCTCGTGTCCAACTTCTACAACGGCCTCGGGTCGTTGGATCGGGATCTAGATCTAGATCCCGAAACCACCTCCGTCATGCGTCTCCTCTACCGCCTATTCGCCCTCTTCAGCGTCCAACAGGACGGCTTAGAATTCCTTCGATCCGGCGCCGTGTCGGCAGACGTCCTGGCCGTCCTCCCCACCAGGATCCTGGAGCTCATGCGACAGGTCCGACCCCACGCCGTGAGGCTCGTCGACGCTTGGGCCATTCCAGACTATCTCCTCGACAGGTACGCTGCATCTGCAATATCTCGTGCAATGGACCCTGTGTAGAAGCAACTGGACTAACACCCGCAGTTCGCTCGGTCGGTATGATGGCAAAGTCTACGAAGACATGTTCAATCGCGCGCATCGGTTGAATCCGCTGAACCGGCTGACCTTCAACCCGGACTACAGGACGGATGAGATCGTGCTGGGGTCGGGCGATGGGGGCGCCATCCTGGCAAAGCTCTGAGGGAGAGAGGCACACAAGACTGACTGGGTCATCCTTTGAATCAAGAAGTGTAGTGAAAGAGAGAGAGGGGGGAAGAGAGAGAGAGAGAGGAAGAGAGAGAGAGAGAGAGAAAGGGGCACACAAGACTGACTGACTGCGTCATGGTGCTTTGCTCATGTCGTCGCGAATCAAAAGGTGTATTGTCCCGAATCAAGGGGTGTCTTTCTTGCAAGAGTTTCCCAAAGAAAACCTTGACCACAAAATGTCTACCGGCGATTGCCGGCTTTTAATCGGTACTGCATCACGAAATGGAGACATCATGCTAGAAAGGCACTCACTGGTTGGGTGTCTGTCTACCTAGGCAGTCCAACTATGTATGATTCATCTCAAGTCTAGAGAGCAACTACCCAGCTACAGATGGATCAGGTAGGCGACTGCACCCTGTCACCCGGGGGTAACCTCAGGTGGTAGGGCACACTGGGGGCCACCTGCCACCACACATCAATTCTATATCTAGATCTCGCCTTCTACAACCCGCCAATGGTGATACTTTTAATGTTGACATACTCGTCCAGGGCATGCATCGAGCCCTCGACCCCGATGCCGCTCTCCTTGACGCCGCTGAACGGTTGCTCACACGCCGAAATCAATCCCACCCGACAGCCCACCATGCCCACCTGCAGCGCGTCGGCGACCCGCCACAGGCGCGCGATGTCGTTGGTGTAGAGATACCCGGCGAGCCCGACGTCCGTGTCGTTGGCGAGGCGGATGACCTCTTCCTCGGAGCGGAACGGGATCAGCGCCGCGACGGGGCCGAACGTCTCCTCGTGGCAGAAGAGCATGTCCGGGGCGGCGTGCGTGACGATGGTGGGCGGGAAGTGGTTGGGCCCGAACTCCGAACGCACCTCGCCGCCCAACAGGATCTTGGCCCCGCGGCCCGTCGCGTCGGCGAGGTGCCTCTTCACCTTCTCCACCGCCTTGCCCGAGTACAGGGGCCCGAAGTTGACCGTCTTGTCCCAGACGGGCCCTTCGCGCACCGTGTCGGCGACGCGGGCCTGGAGGCGCCGCGCAAAGTCGTCGATGACCGACTCGTGCACGAACATGCGGTTCGCGCAGATGCACGTCTGGCCCGAGGAACGGAACTTGGACGAGATCATGCCGTCGACGGCGTCGTCGAGGTTGGCGTCCTCGAAGACGATGAACGGCGCGTTGCCCCCGAGCTCCATGCTGACCTTCTTCATGTATTTGGCGCACTGCACGTTGAGCAACTTGCCCACGGCCGTCGAGCCCGTGAAGCTGAGATGCGCCACGAGCCGGTTCGAGCAGAACTCCTCGCCAATGGCCTGCATCTGGGCCGGCCCGCACGTCACCACGTTGAAGGTGCCCTTGGGGAAGCCCGCGCGGTCGAAGAGCTTGGCCATGGCAATGGCGCACAACGGCGTCTCGGGCGCGGGCTTGCACACCACCGTGTTGCCCGCTGCGATGGCTGCGCAGGCCTTGCGCGTGATCATGGCCACCGGGGAGTTCCACGGCGTGATGGCCACGACGACGCCCTGTGGCTCGCGCGTCGTGATGATGCGCGTGCCCTTGCGGTTGGCGGGGATGAAGTCGCCGTACACGCGTTCGCACTCGGACTCGAACCAGTCGATGAAGTCGATCCCGTAGTCGACCGTCGCCAGGGACTCGGTGAAGGGTTTGCCCAGTTCGAGCGTGCACAGCGCGGCGAGGTCGGAGCGATGAGCTTTGATCAGGTCACCCCACTTGCGCAGCATGAAGCGGCGTTGGCGAGGTGCTATGGCTCTGTAAACTTGAAACGCATCGTGCGCGGCGGAGATGGCATCTTTGATCTCGTCGAGGGAAAAGTCTGGGACGCGACAGATTTCAGAGTCGTCGGTGGGATCTGTGAAACCTCAGCGGTCTGTTCGAGAGCGTCTCTAGGCTAGTGAGTGCTGTACCGTAAACTGAGAAAGTCTTGCCATCTCTCGAATGCACCCATTCCCCCTTGACGTAGCATCTGTTGTCAACGAGACTGGGGTCCTTGAACTGTGACGTGCGTGAGAATATCGTCCTTTCGAGATGGCATCCGTCGGGGTCAAGATACCTCATGGGGAATGTCTTTGAACAGCACCTTTGGGACAATGCCGTTGACATTCGACTCTAAATCTGCCGTCATGGTTGCTGTGGTCAATGGTGGACTGGTGGACTGCACATGCGACTGATGTTGTTCCCAAGTAGATGATACCTTGGTCTTTCAAAAAGCCAAACCACCCCTAACCAGATCGACATGGTAACTCCGTCCAAACTCCATGGGGGATAGTCATGTCTTTGCCTTGGATCCCCCGCAAGTGGCTCGTGTTCGTAAGTGACACGGCGATTGCGGCGACTTGCGGCGATTTCATGGAGTATCCCGCCAAGTGCTTTCGCGTCTGACCTGATCTTGGGGCGAATTGCGGAGCTCCGATCTGGGCTTACGGAATCAAACAAATCCAGTCTCACCAGTCTGAACAGCTCAGCATTGATCATACGGGGGCTGCAATGCATCTCGAAATGGGGTCACATGAATCTGGTTGACCAATCACCAATCATCCACCGACCAACGGGATCGTGTTGAGCCAAGTGAAGCCCATCCTGTTCAGCCGACTCGTCCCCCATCTGCGACAGCGAGTCGAATATCGCTCCGTTTTGGAAGTGCTCGTTGTTCCATGTCGGTGCCATGGAGAATGCGTTGAGGAACTGACTGGGGTCTTGCAGGATAATAGATGTATGCGCGGTAGGATCGTCCACGGGGACGTTGGCTCCGTTGGAATTCTCCCGTGGCTGCTCGTGGGTGCTGTATACCTTCTGTCGGAGGTCCATGGCAGAGATGCCGTCGTCGCCGGCTTTTGGAAATATCAAGTCCCAGATGTTGCAGAGCTCTCGACCAAACCATTGAAAGAATTTGATCTGATCAGTCGAGAAGGCCAAGTGAAGAGGGCCATCGTGCCTTTCTTGTTCCTTGAAGGCGCGTGAGAGATGGCTGACCACGCGCTGCGCACCTATGGCAGTCGGATATCTTCGAGCCATCTCGACCAGGCATTTCTCAATCACGTCTACTTCCGGCTGAGCCTTGGTCCACAAGGCAGGGTATGGATAGCAGGCCAATTGGGCAATGGCAGCCGCCATCAAGTGAAAGGTGAAGACAGGCGCCAGGAGGGGAATCTCTCCACGAGAGAGAAACTCTTCAAAGATGCCGGCCGAAAAGGAAGAAGACAGGAGAGCGGCCGCGGAGGGTGGTGGCCCGGTGCCATGACTGGGAGATCTGAAGAGTATCGTCAAAGCCTTGGGTTTCGTTAGCCACGAGGAAACCATCGTCATCTCACGCACTCACAGTGAAGTAGGGCACGTGTAGTTGCCTTGCCTTGAAATTGTAGGCTGCTAGCTCCCCGGCATCCTCATTGTAGATTCGAAGCTCGGGCGGGAGTTCTCTGATCCATCGTGATAGATTGGCTTCCAGTTCCAGCCGGCGCGCTTTCCCTTGAGTTCCTCGGACGGCGGTCTCAATCAAGGCACCCAAAATCGAACAGATCTTGACGTACTCGATGAAGAGTTTGGCATCGAAGTCTGGTTCCGGAAAGTCTTCGAGCGAGAGTGGTCGAACATCCGAGTCCTCTTCGTTGATTGCTCGCGGTCGTCCATGACTCATGGCAATCAGGCAGTCTCGCGCCTGGAGATGTCAGTCCACCGCAAGTGACCGTCGGAGAAGGATCTAGATCTTACAACCAACGTCCACCAGAGCCTCCTTCGAAGACCGGCATCGGCCTTCCTGGGATTCGGCTCGCGATGCAAGCCTACTTGATGAGCCAGTGCCACGCCCATGTGAAGCCAGAAACTGCTCGCGTCCATAGAGACGTGTTCTGGGCCCCGAGGGTTCCACCACTGCAGGATACAGGTGGCTCGGATGATTGTCAACGGATCCTTCTCGATTCGGCAAAAGTATAGGGTCCTCGCGCGTTGATAATAAGTGCTGCCAAACGACTGGGCCTGTGGCGCCATAGAAACACGACTGCCGGCGACAAAGACTGATTGGAGAAGAAGGGTAGACGGCTCTCGACCACCAACCTTCTGTAGATCTGCCAAGTCGACGATGGGCATCCAAGGCCGACATCTTTGCATGAAATCGGACACCAGACTGTCTCGAATTGATCGTGTTGGAAGCTCAAAAACACGCAGGGCCTCGAGAAGCTTGAGGTCGATTTCGGGGGCGATGACTTCGCGGTCGTCGTTTGCGTATTTCTTTGCGTCTTCTTCGTCGATGGGGACCAGGTATTCTGCTCGGCCTAGGTAGCTTCCAGACTGTGACTGTTCGGTAGAGACCGACGTGGGGTCAATGTTTGCCCGTTCACTCGTCACGCGGAGATTCGATTCAGGCGCCGATGCAGATGCCGCTGTTGACGACAAGGATCGAGAGGTCTCTGTCTCTGTCTCGATCCGTTTGCTAGTGGGGGCGGACGTATTCTCCGTCATGGGCTGTTTGCGCTTTCGCTCGTGTCGCCTGAGCACGGATTAGAACAGACAGTTGATCTCTCTCGAGCATTGACCTCCGAGGGTTAGGGTTAAGCGTCTTGTGTGCGGTGCACGACTTACACGCATATCTGCCCGATTGCACGACAGCTGGAGCAGGGGAAGATCCCTGACTGCAGGTCGCAACGAGTCTAAATACTCCACTTAGCATCAAGGTCCTTGGACAGGTACATGAGGGTTCAGTACTTTTCTCTTATGGCATGAAGAACAGGCTCGAGGCATCGGGGTTCTTTCCAGCATCGTGGGCAGAATCCCCGTGGAGAGGCAGATAATCTGGTCGTATTTCACAGGACAGAAGATCAATGAGATGAAGGGCTGAGTCGCTGCTTGGGCTGATGTTGAAGTCAAAGTCGAACAGGCCGCGGATGTAGAGGTGGGGGAGCGTCACGTGGCTAGTCCTGCGGAGCAGAGTAGAGCAGGTGCAAATCTCATCGCGAAAGCCGTGATTCTATTCGCTGATTACATGCTCGTGTCATGTGACTAGCACTACAGGCACGTGACTCTGACTCAGGGGTCACTCTAGGGGCTCCGGGAGGTCCTGGGGTCTTCCCCATACTACAAATTCCTCCCCTATACTTTAAGGCAATAGGGGGCCGAGGGGCCTGGGGGCCCTCAGCATTAGCCAAAATCTATTGATCGTATCTATGAGTCTCTTAAGGAAGTCTTTCATGCCCTCAGAGTCTAGGTCTTGTCTGCGTCCTCCAGATCTGAACGTCCGGATGGCCATTCGGCGGGAACAGCTCCGTCTTCAAAGCCTTCTTGACCACTTTCCCCGTGACGGTCTTTCGCAGCTCGGGCACCACTCTCAGCATCGTAGGGTTCTTGTACGAAGCCAGTTTCGACCGCAGCTCGTGTCGCAACCGATCCAGACTCAATGAGCCGATTGTGTCGGGCTTCAGCACGATGGCCGCCGCCACTCTTTGCCCAAACTCTTCATCTTCCACGCCGACGACCATCACCTCCGACACATAGTCCAGCCCCAGGATTTCCCGCTCGACGTCGAGGGCCGAGATCTTGTACCCGCCAGACTTCAAGACTGTTCGACCGCGTCAGTCCAAGAGCACAAACAGAGAGCAACTTCTCCCCGAACTTACTGTCGACCGACGCACGACCCATGATGAAGTAGTAATCGCCCCCTCTGCGGGCGATGTCGCCGGAGCGATAGTACCCTTCGCTGTCAAATGCGGCCTCGGTCGCCGCTTGGTCGAAGATGTACTTGGTGAACATGAACGGGCTCTTGACCAAGATTTCTCCCTGGTCTCCCTCTGAAAGCTTGACGTCCGTGCCGACCATGACCTTGCCAACAGACCCCTAGGTTGATCAGTCAAAATCATTCGGTTGAAAACCCGGGTAGAGCAGCTGGACTTACATCTGGACATTCTTTGTCACCGGGCGGGATGGTGAACGCACCACTAAACTCGGTGGTCCCATATCGTTCGAGGATCCGCCGTCCGCCCATCAAAGCCTTCCATTTATCGGCCAGTGGTCGGGGCAGTGCCGATGTACCGCACAGGAGCTGGCGGAAATGTCGAGCTCCCGCAATGTACGACTCGGCGACGTGTGGAGGAAGATTCTTGAGCACGGTCTCGTAGTGGGCCATCATTCTCATATACATGGTCGGCACTCCCGAGAAGTACGTCAGACGCTTTGCTCGCCAGTGCTCCCACACCTTGACCGGATCGAATCCGCTGGAGTGAAACTCGACACATGCACCCGACAACAAGAAAGGTAAGAAGGTTGTGCCGATGCCCGTTGCGTGGTGGACCGGAAGAATATGCATGACGCGGTCTCCGCGGTTCAAGGCGTACAGATCCGCGATCCGAGTGGCCTGGCCGTCTATGAAGCTCCGTCGTCGAAGCGCGCCTTTGGGAGGCCCTGTCGTCCCGGACGTGAAAATGACCAGTCCAGCGCCGTGGTAGTCGAGGAAATGGTCGCAGGAAACCAACATGTCCGCCGCACGGAGGGGCGGCCGGCCGATGAGCGGAGCAATGTCGATCGACTGATATCCCGGATTGAAGGTCGACGAGACCGCCCTTGCAATGTTCCGGCCCGAACGGGCGTTTTTCGTGCTCGACAACATCACAACGGCGCGGGACGTCTTGACATAGTACAAGGCTTCCTGCTCAGGCAGAGCCGGGGCTGTCCAACTCGGTCAGAAGATGGGTGGATACTCGGGAGAGAAAAAAAGGTAGGAGGTCTTACACAGCGGGACGATGATTCCACCGATCGCCAGGATGGCCAAGAATGCCACTGCATACTCATAGCTGGCCGGGGCGAGCAGATTGAAGTACACTTCTTCGTTGGCCCAGAGCCGGTTGAGGACGTCTGCGCTCAATGTCCCATAAAGAACGTTCCGCACATGGAGGACGTCGGTCAACAGCTGTGAATACGACGCCTTGATGTTGTAGGTACGATCGTCAATGGCAACAGCTTCGCCCTGTGCTGCGTATCCAATGAGACGTGTAAAGACTGGGAAGTTTGGGAAAATGTTGGGCCCGACGTGGCGTGGTCGAGGAGCAGTGGAGACGGTAGGAGTACTCTCATCGTTCGGTATCGGGTATGCTACCGAAGATTCGCTCACGGCGGCCATGCTGATGATAGTGACGGCGTTGCTGAACGGTCGCAATGAATTTCAGACAAACAGGAGGATCATGTCAACTTGGACAAAACCTATGAAATATTTGGTGATCTCAACGTTCTTGGACAGGATTGACCTGGGGTCCGGAGGTACTGTATCTGCCAGCCGTGAGAATGCTACGTGAGAGCAATTGTCCGGCAGGCCGCCATGGCCAGATGGCGAAGAGGCTGAACTGCAAGGTTCATCTATCCACATCCACCCGGGCAGTGTTGGCAAAGGGTTACCTCTCGGGACTTCGGCGATTTGTGCTAGGGCTTCAATCCTCGGGGCCGCTGCGGCGGCGATTACAGACTCAACTCTCACTTTACGCCTTCGCCGTGGCCTAGACCCATCTATCGCATTATCTCCGAGGTTGATTATGCAGCGGGAGACTGGATGAATTCGGACCGACACTCAATTTATAGACACACAGATTTGGTGAAGCTATGTAGATCTATATGCCTACCTAACCCGAGACTACCCACAGGGATGAGCTTCTCAATGACCATTGGCGCCATTGACACCATTCAGTCTGTGTTTCCTCCGCTCGGCCACAACAAAATCCAGTGCCTTTGTGAAATAAGGCAAGAACGCGACCGGATCCTCGGTGGCGGGAAAATGTCCCAGCCCTTTCATCTCCTCGAACTTTGCCCCGGGGATCTTGCGGGCGGTCTCTGCACTCATTTCGGCCGTGCAACTGTAGTCATACTCGCCCGTGAGCATGTACACCGGGCACTCTTTCGTATCGATGGACTCCAGACGGCCCTTCCCGTTCCAGCCGTGGAAATAGAACTTGAGATCGCCCGCGAAAATGTCGACACCTTGGCTCGAGTAGATCCACCAGATCAGGCGCTTGTAGTATTCCGGGGCCGTGGGTGCGATCATGCCGCACACGCGTTCCGGATTGATGACGGCCTCGTTCAGATCCGCTGCCAGTTCGTAGCTGGGCTGCGTAAAGGGAATGTGCTCACACCCTTCGAGTGGAATCACCCCGCCCACGCCTATTTCTTTGGCTCGCATGGCCAAGGCGAGGCAGACGTGTCCCGCCATCGAAGCACCCGAGACAACGGGACTCCTCAACCTCAGGCGACGGATGATCTGGGCGATGGCCGCCACGTACGGCTCTTCGCTATTCGCATGGCCCTGAGGCGATTGCTTCGATCCGGGAAGAGATCGCCCGTGGCCCGGGAGGTCAAAAGCGTACATGGTACACCTCTCTCGCAACTGCTTGTTATTCATCAAGCTGTGATTCTGCCTGGAATCCGCGCCCGCTGTGTGGAGAAGGAGTAAATCCTGCGGTCCCGAACCCGCCGTCTCGTAGAAGATTTTGCTTCGACCCCATACGGGCAGGTCGACCCAGGTGTAGCGGCCGACGATCGAGTCTTCTTCGTCGAGTTCGTCGAGTTCCTCGAAGGGAATCTCCTCGAAGCTCTTGGTCTCGATGCCGTTCTGAGCATCCCTAGCGCGGTCCAGCGCAATCCGCCACAGGCGTGCATTTCGCCCGAATGCGGCCACGTCGCCCGAGATGCCGACGCCTTCCTGATCTCCAAAGGCCCTCAGGATACCCCAGTATGACTGATGAGGCCTCGGGGGCTTCTCCGTGAAGAACAAGGTCCAGTCCTTGGGTCGAGCAGACAGTGCAAAAGAGGCGTCGGAGGCCGCTCCCTCGTGGACGCGAACGACTCCCTTTTGGATTGAAAAGATCACCGCGTCACTGGGTTCGGATGATGCGACCGCAAACGCCAGCGAAGAGATCTTGGACGCGGAGATCTGGAAATCCTGGTCGCCGTTGATTGCACTCTCGATGGCTGCGAACTTTGCCTTCAACAGCGAGACGACGTCGGTGGCAGTCATTGTGGTTGAGGGGCTTCTCAGAAGGTCGATGGCAGTGAAAGTCGTACTAGCAGATTGGACACGAACGAGGCCTGCCACCTGGGTCCTGACCAGGTACTTAGAACTGACGTCGACGGGGCTTTTCCAAGGATCCCTCCGCTATCGCGGGCAGCTGACATGCGCTCCGCAGTTTTCTTTGCGGGGAAAATTGATGGAACTGCATGGCGCTGGTCGACGTCGGCGGTTTGTCCGGCGTCATCGGCGGTTTTCGGCGGTTTTGTCACTGTGCCGCTCGAGTGGCTGTGGCAAACGGTCGAGTCTCATCTCATCACGTACGGTGGCCCAGATCCTGAGACTCACTGTGATCGCATGGCGCGGACCGCTTCTGTTTGGAGCCTCCGTGACCGACCAACGTCGACCAGCGCTGATCGGGTATTGCAGTGAGTTCGGAATTACATTCTTCGACAAAGACTTCCTACCACCGCAGAATCTTGGAAACAGCCCAGTCTTGCAGGGAACCATGGGTAGTCCACAGAAGACTATGCTGGCGTGTCAAGTCGTCGAGGTATGTTGTCAACCTCTCCCCCTAGGTATCTGAGCGATCCAGGTGACGGGTTTTCCTCAGTTCCACAAAGACTATGTCATTCACCAGGTGCCAATTCCGGCAGAGCTAGGTCCCCACGACCTGCTCTTGAAAGTCGCTGTCGCATCATTATGCCACACCGACTCCATGGTGGTTGAGGGTCGCATGGCCGGCGTCACGCTGCCAGTCACAGCCTCCCACGAGGGGACCGGCAAAGTCGTCGCGAAGGGAGACGACGTCCAAGGCTTCGATCTTGGTGACCGTGTCCTTGCCGGCATTCCACGTAATAGGTGTGGGCAGTGCCAGGACTGTTCTAGTCAAGATCCGCAATACTGCTCGAGCAGAGATGGTGGTATTGGCATTCAGCTCGATGGCGCGTTTGCCGAGTACCTGGTGGTGGACAGTCGAAATGCTTGCCATATCCCCGACGGCCTGGATTACACCTCTGCGGCACCCATGGCTTGCGCAGGAATCACAGCGTGGAGGGCACTCATCCAAGCCAACGTGGGCAATGGCCAGTGGCTCGGCGTCGTTGGGTCTGGCGGCGGGCTGGGTCATCTGGCTCTGAAGTTTGCCAAAGCACAAGGAATCCGGGTTATTGGGGTTGATGCTCGAGCCGAGGGGCTGGATCTGACCAGAGAAGCTGGCGCCGAGGTGGTTCTCGATGCTCGAAAGGGAATAGAAGCCGTGGTCGCAGAGGTACATGCAGTGACCGCAGGTCAAGGGGTGGACGCCACTATCAACTTCAGTGAAGCTGTTCCGGCCGCTGGGCTGGCGTGTGCAATTACACGCAAGCACGGAAGAATGATCCAAGTCGCTCAGGCAAGTTCGTCCCCAGCACCCCGGCATGAGAGTATCTGCTGACCGAGTTTACCCATCACAGCCACCAGAGGTCGTGATTCCGTTTCGAGAACTCATCTTCCGAGACATCAAAGTCAGCGGCTCACTGACAGGCTCGCCCAAGCAAACGCAAGAGATGCTGAATTTTGCGGCCAGACACGGCATCAGCGTCAAGACACAGGTTTATCAGGGCCTGGAACGGATACCGGACCTAGTAAAGGATGCGCACAGCGGGAAGATCAAGGGCAAAGGAGTTGTAGTAGTAGACCCTACCATTCGATGAAGTCCGTAGGCATAAGACATTCTCACACAATTCTAGGCTCTCTGTGCCTAGCATTACTATTCCAACTCCTGATTCTAGGTGTTATACTGAGGTTGGTCTATATAATACCTAGGTAATCTCGCCTACACTAAAGGTATAACAAAGCTTGATATCTATAGTTAGAGGAGCAAAACTATAACGCTCGTGATGAACGTGGAACGCTGAAACACGCCGACGATACAGCAGCTGCCCCACATGCAAAGTCGTCGCAAAGGACTTCAGTGTCGAGGCTGGACAAAATCCCACGGACGGTCGAGGCTCAAGCCGTGCAGCATGGCCTGCAGATGCGTGTGGGCAACCCCACATTGAGCCGGTTGGCATGTGACATGGCCAGGTCCTGCTTCCGGGGGGGAAGGGGTGGGGGCCGGGGGGCTTGAGAAGGGGGTACACAGAGTTTTCGGGTCTCGCTTTCCGGAAAAAAATCGCCTTGTCATATGGTTTGCAGGTCTTGGTGTATGAGCGCATCGTGATCGTCAGATCCCCGTGTAATCGCGTGCATCGCTCGCTCCACGCCCGTCTCCGATCGCCTCCCCAGATCTGCTTGTACGAGTATGCCGCGTGCTGTGGGAATCGGAAGCGGAAGGCGGTCTGAGAGTGACCCCTCGGTCGTCATTGATCTTCCACACTAGGTATTGCAGAATGTACGCCGTGCTCTAGGTTGTCCGCAAAAATGTGATGCAATCTATGACCAGACGTCTTCCTGGTAGACACCACTGCTGCGCATGCTCTTGACGACTTGCTCCGCCTTCTTCTCGTCTACTCCCCGTTCGGAGGCGATAATCTGGCCGAGAACCTCGTTGACTTCTCGGGCCATGTGGGCTGCATCACCGCAGACGTAGAAGTTGGCCTTTTGTTGGAGGAGCTCATTGATAAACTTGGCGTTCTCTTTCAGCAGATGTTGCACGTAGACCTTCTTCGGTCCTTCTCGGGAGAAGGCGTTGAAGATGGTCAATTTATCTCCCAATGCCTTCTTGTATTCCTGCGACAATCAGTTAGCGGATGCTTTGTTGGTACAAAATTTGCCGATTCAACTTACATCCCACTCGGCCTTGTAGAGCCAGTCCTCGGACTGCCTGCGACAACCGTAGAATAGTACCGTCTGGCCAACGTCCTCACCCCTCTTGGCCTGCTCTGCACGCTCCTGGACAAATCCGCGGAAGGGAGCAACACCTGTACCAGGACCAACCATAATGATTGGCTTGCTCGGGTTCGAAGGCAACTTGAAGTTGGAGTGACGAACATGGACGGGAACATGAATACCATCGTATTTGTTGCGAGGACCATTGATAGCATACGTCAGACCGTGTGGCGATGGGTCCGGATCTCCATTTTGCTTTTGCTTCAGGGCCAGGAGATAGTTGGTGGTGACACCCTTGACGACATGACCAGCGCCAGGAACGCGCACGGACTCCACCACGGCGGTAATGGAGATTTTCTCCGGTTGAACAAGCGACGAGGATGAGATTGAGTAATAACGGGGTTGGAGTTTGTTGAGACCTTCGACCAGACAGGAGAAAGGAACGGCAGACCACGGACCAGGATGAACGGCAGAAACTGCCTGCGAGACATTCAACATTTGGCTGCTGATCTTCTCTTTGAAGTAGTCGGCGTCGGAGCCGAGCTTGGCCATCTCTTTCTTCGCCTCCTCGTTGGGCGCAAAGGCAGCCAAGGTGGACATGAACTGGCGGGAGACGGGGGCGCAGATTTCCATGTGATAGCGAATGGCGGCATCGTAGGTCGTGGGGGTAGGGAAAGGAACCTTGGCAGTAGCATCAATGCCTTTCATGCTGATGACCCTGTGTCTCTTCTCTTCCAAACCAAAAGTTTTGATCAACCGGTCAACCTCCAAACCAGCGTTTGTAGGCCAGATCGCAATATGGTCGCCTGTCGTGTACGTGATACCAGACCCAGAAACGTCGATCTCGCAGTGGAGGCAGTTCCGATCTTTGACTGTGAACAATTCTCTCGATTCGGCAATGGGGGCAATGAAAGGATTATGGGCGTTGTAAGGGCCTTTCTGGCTGTTCTCGAGGTGATTCTTGTTGGGCTCGCCCAGATAGACCGTGTCGGTCTCGGGGGAGAGGTCTTCGCGCTCTTCGACACTGAAAACTGGCTCATAGACGGCCTCACGCTCCTCTAGGCCCATTTCCTGAGTCAAGGCAGCCCACATGGGCTCTTTCCAGGCCAAGAAGTCTTCTTCCATGGTGCCGGCGCCATCGTCACCTTCACCGGCAGTGCCGATCCTCTTTGCGCCCAACTTGGTCAAGATCTTGTCCAGATTTCGAACCATGGAGTTGTAATGCTCATATGTGTTATTTCCCAGACCAAACGCGACATATTTGAGGTTACTCAGCGGTTTTTCGTCGGAGTTCTCGGAGAAGGAAGGAGGGTCTTGGTTCATGAACTCCCAGAATTCGACGGCGTTATCGGTCGGCTCGCCTTCACCGTAGGTGGCCATGACGAAGAAGGCCACCTTGTCTTCGGGGAATTGGTCGAGGTTCTCGTAATCGAAATCTTCCAGGTCCGCAGTCATGGTGTTCAATCCGAAGCGAGCGTGGCCCTCCTTTGCCAAACGAGAGGCGTAATCCTCCGCAGTGCCGGTTTGTGAGCCGTAGAAGATCACACAGTTTTTGCCCGACTCATCCATCTTCTCGAGGATGTTGCGGGATCCCTTCTTGGCAGCGCTTCCATTGAGGGCAGAGGTAGCGTAGGGGTCCTTCGGGACGCCCCAGTAGGTGCCTTTGGTGAAGTAAGCGACGCTGCCGAGGAGCAGCAAGACGAGGACAACAATGTCCAGAGTGTCGACCTGAGCCATGGTGGGGAGTTTGATGGGAGCGGCCTCAGGTTCGGTTGACATTGAGGGTTTGGGGTGGTGAATCGGACTAGAAAATACAAAGTGTCCTCCGAGAGCGATGTCGCTGCTTATATGAATGGTGGGGTACCGGGCCAGTTAGGCAGTGGTGAGCAATTGAACAGCGTGGAGATCGCAGGCGCAGGGCACTCGCTCTTTGGCGCTCGGGGGAAGGCGAACCGTTTGTGGCCTGATGTGGCCAAGATTACCGGGTACGCTGCGGTGTGCGTGCTGGACGGGGAGTGGAGGCGTGCTCGTGGGCCTCAGCTATTTTGTTTTGTGGGCTTCCGTTGCGTTGCAGACCTCTCACGCCTCGCTCAGCTTAATTAATCTTAAACGACGGCCAGGGCCAATCAGCCGCAATGATTGATCGTCGATAGGGCTAGGTCGAGTTCTTATCGGATGGTGCACTTCAGAGAACAAGAGTCTGACCCAATGTCAAGGTGAAGATCGCAACAGGTCCGAGTTGGACAGTTCACACCAGTGGAAGGGGAGGACGGCCACACAATTAATAGTGTCGGACGTCAACGATCGTGGAGGCCAAATCGGTCGGCAATTAGAGAATCGAAGAAATATCGTGGAGATCTATAACCTGGAGTTCGGCTTGTTGTTGACTGGCACATTCGCTGCGGAGGCGCAATGCGCAATTGGAGGGGCAAAATGTGCGCGTGCGGAATTATCCTTTTGACTTGACCTTCGAGCGGGCAAATGCGGCTTTCTGGAGGGAGAATATCCGGAACCTGTTTTCGTGGGTGAACGGCGGGCGCCCCTCGGACTTATGATGACTGCGCGGTACAGAGTCTAGGGCGTCACTGGCGTGTGGGCGCGTGGTGAGTCCGGGGAGGCAGGCAAACAGCGGCGCAGCGTATCGGCAGTTGGGTCGAAACAATAAGACACAAAGCGCCTCCTGTGTCGCATGGGGACAGTCAGATCCTTTTATCTCTACCAACTGAATGCATCCACTTCTTTTGGCTACGCTCTTATGATCCCACCCGGCACATGGCCACGGAGAACGAGGCGGCATGCCAGACCTCAGATGGGAGACCTGAATATGAGATGGCTCAAGACCCGTGCGGGTAAATACGAGGGTCGGCGTATTCGCTGAGGACTCGTCGTTGGTTGTGGGTTCTGTGGTGGCACTCTGTCCAGTCTGACGCTCCCCACATACACAGCACACAGGGACAGTGGGAAACGTTGTCCCTTGTCCCGCCTTACCCCCATAGTTGCATACCTAAGATAATCACACAGTCAGCAGATGGTGACGAGGCTCTTCTCCTGCACCTCTGTGGCGAGGCTTTGTATCGCTCTCAGGCAACCCGCAATTTGTCTTCATCTTGCAGCTTATTCGGTGTCGTATTGGCACACGGCAAAAATAGGTAGAAACATCACATGCACGTAATACGGATCATATCAACAAGACTCCAGCGTCAAGGGAAATGGGCCCCGGCGCAGATGGCCGAGATAGTGCAAGAGCCGTTGGCGCCAGAGGGGTGGTGAGGACAGTCTGTGACAGCAATGGCGCCAATGCTCCTACCTGTGCATCCACCGACATCACTGTGCTGGAATGTTTCAACGGTATTGGTGTACCTGAAGAAGGATGACCTGCTAGAGCCATCACCTGGCTTTCTGATTCGGCGAGGGTGTTCTGCGAAACCACGAATCGCACAGTAGAGCACTCAGTCACCGAATTGTAGCTGTGGTGTGGTGATGAACGAACTGTAGATGTCGTCCTACACCGCACTAGAAAGAGATCTGGACAATCCTCCTTGTGCGCACACAGTCGTCAGGTTGAGGTGAGGTGAAGCTGATCTGATTGGCGGCATTTGCGCATCCCTTTGCCTGCGCTGGTGCCGTTCCAATTCCTCCGTCGCTTTGACAATAATGGGCGACTAGACTACCACCCGACGCCTTGACCTCCAAGACTTCCTCTGTCGGTTCCTGTCCGCATCGCGCACATCAATCCCGCTCCGCTTGTCTACCTAGAAGCAATGACGCGGGACCTGCATCTTCTCCAGCGTCGGCGTTCAAGGGCTCACAATGCTGCATAACCGTAAGTGCGACCCGGAATTCTTCCGCTCGACTCACCACCGCGCTCCACGTTCCACGAATGGCCACCACCACCCTCAGCGCTCTGCATGAGGACGAGCACATGATCCCGTACTAACCGTGCTCGATGCTTCCAGATGCCCAGTCCGCGTCCAACGAGCCGTCGGTCTACACCCTCGATGGTCCTGGGCCCGAACAGATCTCGCAACCGTTGTCCAATACCCGTCCCCAACTTCACACCAGAAACACTTCGGTGACGAGAGGCAGGCCTCAACAGTCGGCACCCCAGGCATATGGCCCCAACGGTACGACATCATCGCGGGCAGGCTCGGCCCAGCCTCAGCCGCTTGGGAGCGAAGCCGGTGTGAACGCAAGAGGAGGACCGGCGGTGGACACCACGGGCCTTCAGAGACGGACATCAAACAGTTATGGCCATCACCGCCAGACGTCCGTCATCCATGGCCTGCAGCATTCAAGAACCCCCAGCTTCAACTCTCCCTCCTCCGCGAGTCCTTTGACACCCGAATCGCTACTTAGTGCAGCTGGCTATGCAAGATATCCCACGAGCAGCAGAAGGGGCCAGTACTCCAATGCGAGCGCAGAAACTTCAGCCTACACATCTCCCGTATCACCATACCAAAGTCACGGTCAAGGGCACTCGATCGATTCGCTGATTGACGCCAGCGCGCCAGTACCTGAGCCGGCGTCATCATCCTCACAGAACAGGAGACGCAAGGATCATTCAAGAACACGCAGGGGCCATGCATACAATTCGTCCAGCTTCCATCAGCAGCCTGAGCCGCGAACACCCGGGGAATATGCTCTCCACCACCTCTTTCACGCCTTTGTGCTCCGCGCCGATCAAAGAATCAACCACTGCCTCACTCTCCTGGACACTTCTCCTGCACCAGTGGAACAGGCTTGTGCGCCCGGTGTTGATGCGGCCTTCGATCAACTGATTGTGTCACTGGGCCACATTTCGCGCCTGGGACCCAAACCATTGGTGGACAGTCTAATGTTATGGCGAAAAGGCAAAGGGGATGCGGCTGCAAACCTGAAAAAGCAGGTCTACCAGCAAAGAATCCAGGCGGGCACGCCAACTGCATCCCTTCCCCCTTCGCTCCCTCGGCGGCATACCGAGCCCCTTCAGGTCCCCAGCGAGGCTGGTCTCTCTCACGTTGGAGCTGAAGGTGCTTCTGCTGCTGAAGATCCGCTCACCCAGGAATATCTGTTCGCAGATCGCCGAGCCACCATCTCCGTCTACATCCTATGTAGGGTGTTGATTGCAATCTTTGAGCAAAGCACGCTGGCCGCCATAACCCAAGATCTGGCCAACAAGCTGGAGGACATCGTGTTCACGCAGATCAGAGAGGTGGAGCCTGCACAGATCCTGACATCGACAATCCGACTTGCAAACTGGAGAATTTATGGTGAGGTGCTGGGCCATATGAGCCGGCTGGACTTTGGCAACGTCACGTTCCGCTTTACGCAGCAGCTTGATCAGTGGCAGCAGGACGTCGCCAAGAGCTCTGGAACCGCTGCCGCCAGGGATCTTGAATCTCGCATCGAACTACTTCTGCTCGGCATGCGCCATCTGCACATCCCCCCGACGAGGGAGGCCGCATTTGCCGTTGCCGACTTCCTGCGAACTCTTGCGGCACTCTTCTCCGACGCGCATGGGCCTCGAGTGAAGCAAGCCTACTGTCAACTATTCGAGCGCTTGCTCACCGCCGTGGCGAGTAATCCAGATTGCTTTCAGAACGTTCCAAAGTGGAAGGACTTCATCGAAACCATCAACTCCAGGCTGGGCAACATGCTAGTCAAGGTCCGCCACTGGAGTATTGGATTCCCCGTGTCGATTCTGCTCATCTGCATTTCGCCAACCGAGTCTTTCTCCGTGCAGTGGCTTCCAATGATCTCGAGTTTAGCCCCAAAGCTAAAGGACAGGTCTACGCGAGCCCTCGCCCTGCAAGCCATTTGTCAACTGGTCTGGACATATCTCGTCAGGGTCGGAGACACCCTACAGGTCAAATTGCGTCGACTGGAAGAGATCATCAAGATCACAATCCCTCAAGGGAGGAAAACTCATGTGGTGTCTGATCCAGCTACGGCGAATCCGCTGGTGCAATTCATCCGGATCCTCGGGTTTACATCTCAGGAGCTCTGTTTCCGTGCCGTCATCTTCCCTCTTCTGCATTACGATCTGTTTCAATCCAGTCGAACCCTCCGGATTGAACAGATCGAGCCGGAACGGATGGTCATTGGCATTCGCGCGTTTCTTGTCCTCATTTCTGACTTGGAGAAAGGTGACACGAGGCGTCCACCATTCCCTGCATTTAACATACATACCCCGACCGTTGACGGGTTGCCTCCCTCGCCGATGAGCATGAGAGCCATTTTGGGGATCGATTCACCCGTGCAATCAATCTGCGAAGATGAGAGTCCTTCCTCCCTGCCAGTCAACGTTTCTGCGCTGGATGAAAATGCCCAACAGTACTATCTGCAATTCTGTCAAATACTGGGCAAGATTACAATTCTCTGCGACAATACCTTTGGGGGGCAAGCCACGCTGAACGAAAAGTTTTCTTCGGCGGCAAACGTCACCCCTAAAACTCCTCTTGCCGACGCATTCACACTGGCACGGAATCAAGAGCCAATAGCCCCTGACCAGAGGCAGTTGTATTACGAGCTGCTTCACGTGGCCATTCAGGCTCTCCCGCGTTGCTTCACCGACCATATTCCCTTGAACCCATTGATCAATCTCTTGTGTACCGGGTCTGCTCACGTGCAGGCCAATATCGCAGCCTCTGCTACACAGTCTTTGAAGGCCATAGCGAAACAGGGCCACGCCCAGGCAGTAGCAATTGCTTTCCCACGGTTCATTTTCCACTACGACTCTCAGTACTCTACGATGTCAGATGAGGGGCGTCTGGGGCCTGCCCACATCGAAACGACATTGACGTTATATCTTGAATTGCTCCAGATCTGGATGGAGCAGCTTAAACAGAAGGCCGTTGCGAGCTCGGTCGAAGCAAGAGATCGTTCAGCGGGCGGCCCTAATCGAGCGCTGCAAATGGAGCTCACCAACGCCATCCCTCATGTGGACGAGATTGAAGCATATGGACTGTTCTTCCTTTGCTCCCAATCTCGGCGGGTGAGGGCGTTCGCGATCAAAGTTCTACGACTCGTTGTTCAGTTTGATTCCGTTCTCGGCCAGGCGGATTCGTCACGGATCATCAAGCTTTTGGAGGATCAGTCGTCCACAATCCTAGACTTGCATGACGATGCTCTCAATGTTGCCGAACGCAGTCGGTTGCAGAAGGACAAGCGCGTCGGTCCCGGCCAGAGTACTCTGATCGAGATTTGCAGCTCCGAGGTCTCATACGACTCGACTCTTTGGTTCAAAGCTTTCCCGAACCTCATCCGCGTTGTGTTCGATGCATGCCCAAACGCCATAGCCCTCTGTCGAGGAACTGTTACGGACAGACTTGTGATGATGCAGAACGATATTGAAGCCTTCTCAGACGCTGCTGGTGCTACTGCGGCCATGTATGAATACCGCATGCAGGGGAGAAGTTCTGCCACATCCGCCGAGGTTCTCTTCGATCAGTGGAAACTATACCTCATCATGGCTTGTGTTACGCTCAGCTCGCCAGGTGCCCAATCCCAGAGTCAGCTTGCTGATGCTGCTCACGCACGCAAGACGTCCAAGAGCACGGTCCCAGCGCAGGACAAGCTGAGCTCCGCCCGGGCGTTATTTTCTGCGATCATTCCAATGCTGGGCGCCGCGCCTGACGCCATTCGTGATGCGGTAGTCTCGGCTCTCGGATCAATCAACCGCAAGCTCTATCGGACACTTCTTGAATCATTACAGTATGCGGTCATCAAGTGCAATGAGGAGGCGAAGGCGAGGATCACCCATCACAGGACCCCAAGCAGTCCACAACGGTCGCAGCAAACAGAGCGCCTTCGAACTGAGGTGACGCATGTATACAAGCTTACGGCATCTTTCCTCCGGCATGAGGACATCTACAACGATGACTGGATCTTGAACAACCTGGTCATATATACCAGGGATCTCCGCATCTTCCTCAGTGATACCGACGTGCAGAACGACTGGCGTTTCCAGAAACTGAGATATCACTTCTGCGGCCTTGTCGAGGAAGTATTCGAGGGTGTCAACCGGTCTCAGACGCCTTCGCGCTGGATGCCTTTTGAATCGCGCAAGTCTGCGTTCGCCTTGATGGAGGACTGGTGCGGCTATTCAGCTGAGCAAACATCGATTGATCCAAATCACAACAATGCGCGGACCGTGCAGGATCGTATCAATGCCAGCGCCGCCACCGAGAAGGAGAAGAACAATTTACGAGTGGCCGCTCTCAGTGCAATGGCCACTCTATGTGCCGGGACGATCAGCATCAGAACTGACAGCAACGCCATCTTATCATTCAATCTGCCAAGGATGCTGTCCTGGATCGACACAATTTTCGCCACGAACAACCACAAAATGCACACCATCGGTCGACGGGCGCTCAAGCTGTTGCTCATGCACAATCCAGAGCATCTTGGAATTGTGGAACATGCCGTGGAGCAGTGCTACAGGACCGAGTCTCCCATGGCGTTGGAAAGCTATTTTGGCGTCGTATGTGATGTCTTAATCCAGCACGAGGACTATCCTGTGCCGTTTTGGAAAATAGTCAGCATCATCGTCTTCACCTTGGGGAATGAGAATCGCGAAATCAGAATGAAGTCGGCACATCTTATCCGCACTCTGGACGAACGCCAACATAAGAGAACTAACCTTCAGGAATTTGACATCAGCATCTCTGACAAGACACGCGCTGTGTACAAGCTGGCTCAATTCGAATATTCGCGACGTCTTGCGAAGGCCAACTCCGACATAGCGTTCATGGTGTTTTCGGAGTTCTCGCTCCATTACAAGAGTGCGCGAAATGATCATCAAAGAAACATGGTCGTGGCCATATTGCCGTGGCTGCAGACTCTCGAGCTCCAGGTGGATTCCGCAACTGGATCTCCTACCGCTGTTTCGTACATGCTTCTGGCCAACATGTTCGAAATCACCATCTGCTCTAGCAGTGCCATGCACAATGAAGTACAGGCGTTGTGGCAGGCGTTAGCGACAGGACCACATGCAGGCAACGTGCAAATGATCCTTGACTTCATCATATACCTGTCCCTTGACCGGCGCGACCAGAACTTTGTCGAGTACGCAAAACAGATCGTTGTGTACCTGTCTTCCACTCCTGCCGGATCTCGAGTGCTGGAATTCTTCATGTTACAACTATGCCCGAAGAATATGGTCAACGACCGAAAGCATGCAGAAGTCGTGATGCCTGACACGAGAAGTCTCCCTTATGTCGCTGATCTGACTTCCCTGCTGCCTATGGGCACCAAACAGGTACGCTTTACTTGTACATGATGAGACACCGCTAACCAGCATGTAGGTTGGGCTTTCTCTTGGCCAAGTCTCCCTGATTTTTCTGGTTGATCTCATGGTTGCGCCTGTTACCCTCGTCAGAGACGAGGCCGCAAAGCTCATTCACGCGGTACTGATTCTGTGGGACCACTACACTGCCTCCGTTCAGGAACAAGCAAGGGAGATGTTGGTGCATCTCATACACGAATTGGTCACCACCAAGATCGAAGCTCAGACTCTCAACTCTGCCAAGTCAAGGATCGAAAGTCTGGTCGACGCAATTCGAACGAACAGTCCTCGGATCAGCTGGTCCTACGAGAGCAACACTAGGAAAGACGAAGATGACGGCGGCAGCCGAGTACCTCCGGCAATGACAGCACTCACTACTGAGATTGTCAGTATCTTCAACCTGGCATTCGACAATTTTAGCGATTCTTGGGCTAAAGAAGCACTACACTGGGCCTCCATCTGTCCGGTTCGACATTTGGCCTGCCGGTCCTTTCAAGTTTTCCGGTGCATCTCTGTCAGTTTGGACGCCAGGATGCTAGCCGATATGCTTGCACGGCTTTCCAATACGATTGCCGACGAGCACACGGACTACCAAACCTTCTCCATGGAAATATTGACGACGCTGAAAGTCATTATCGGAGCGCTCGAGCCGAAAAACCTGCTACGTTATCCTCAGCTCTTTTGGACCACGTGCGCATGTCTCAATACCATTCATGAACGAGAATTCTACGAGACCCTAGGGATGCTTGAGAAGTTCCTCGAGAAGCTGGATCTCTCTGATCCGGATGTGACGGAAGCAATGATGAAAGGACTGCCCGGGAAGTGGGATGGCGGCTTTGAAGGGCTGCAACCGTTGCTTTACAAGGGCCTCAAATCCGCCGACAGCTTGGACAAGACTCTCCTGGTTCTCCAACAGCTAGCGGAACTTCCAGACTGCCAGCTCGTTGGAAGCGACAACCGCCTACTTTACTGTGTCTTAGCGAATCTACCACGATGGCTGCATACCTTCGACCAGGATGCTACCAATGCTGCAGCATTGGCTTCAGCGCAGACGCTCGCGAGGATCGCAAGTGCTGAAGGCCACGAGCCCCTCTCAATCTGCCTGGCACGTTACGCCAACAATGACATAACAAGCCAAGAGATGCTTACGGCCACGGTGAAATCTCTCAAGGCGGCCTACTTCCCTCTGTGTGATGCCTCAAGTCTGATTTTCATGATTGGACTGCTGACGAACAAGACGCCATGGTTCCGAGTCAAGCTCATGGACATCCTATGCGAGTTGATCCCAATCGTGAATATGAAAAGTCCTTCTATTACAACTCACGGGCCGGACCTCATCTCTCCACTACTCAGGCTACTGCAAACCGAACACTGTACTCAGGCATTGGAGGTCATGGACTACATCATGGAGGTCGCAGCCACACCTATGGAAAAGCACCATATGCGTATGAGTATGGCTTCGGGCTCAGCAAAAGCCATTCGAAAAGAGTACGAGCGAACACAAAGTCTCTATGGCATTCCGCACTCCTCGGGATGGTCCATCCCAATGCCGGCGGTGTATTCTGGCATGACCAGGCACAACGTCCACGCCGTCTTCTACACATGTGGAGACTCGGAATTCCTGAAAGACCAGGAAACTAGCACGCCCGATGTCGAATTTCAGGGTGACGATGGATACACCGACTCATATTTCCCACCCCAAAGCAGGGCGGAGACGATCCGAACACTTGAGGCTGCGGATACCAATGTCAGCGATCTGGTTAACACTCTCGACAGTCTCGACGACTTCTTTGACGATGTAGAGGCTGATGATGTCCTAACGCCGATGGGAACAAGCCAACTGATGGGCTCCGCTATCTCAATCCCCACCCTGACAGAGCAAAACACCGACCTGTACGACGAGCAGACGGCCCCAATCCTTCGACAGAGCCTCTCCCGGACTATGCCGTCGACTAATGTGCAGGACGGTTTCACCGAGGCAGGTCCCCTCCCTGGCATGACCCACCAGACTCAGCCTAGTCTCTCATCTCAGAGTTACAGCGCATCTGCCCAGGCCTCTTTCTCTTCGATCGACGAACTGGGAGGACCGGGGCCGTCGATGCCGAATTCGACGAAGAAAACTGCCCTCCAAACCTCCATCAGCCCGATAAGCCATCAGCGGCCAGGACTTCATGCCAGGTCTATCACGTCTCCCGCGAACCAATTCCCTGTCTCGCAGCCAACAGCGAGCGGACTCGCTACTATGCCTGAGAACTTCTCGTTCAGGTCCCAGGATGATTTTGCTGAGCAATATGACGAAGCCGTCCTATCAGATGGGGAGAATAGTCCTTTCCCCTTGCTGAGCATGAGTATGTCCAATCAGAGCAAATCACTGTCCGGTCCCGGCCCTTCGGAGTATCAGATGACGCCTACTTCTGCCACTGAGACAGGTGGTGCCTTTAGCCTCCAGGGTATGAGAAGGGGTATGCGGCGCCTGACAGGTGGAAAGAGTGAGAGCCAGAAGGAGAAGGAGAAGAGCAAGGACTATGCACGTCTACGTGGGCAATCAGGAGGCCCAAATCTGGTGCCTGCGGCAATGCAGAGCCCCCGAGTCCCGAGGGTACCTTCCGAATACCTTACTGGCGGTGCCAGCAACATCAGCAGTGTCAGCCCCACCGCAAGCCCAGGGCTTTGAGAGCTTGAGGCAGCCCAGTGCTTTTTCGCCCCCTTCGATTTTCCAACACGACGATACCCCCATAGAGCGTGATGCAGCATGAGTGCAAGCATTGTCGGCGTTTCTTGCAATTTCAGCAATTGCTACGACCTGTGTACAACATGCAAGGGCTTTTCTGCATTGACAAGACCGAAAAGTTGGGCTTGTATACTACTACCTCCAGCTCAAGTGCTGCGAGCAATGTACCACTATGACAGATACCTGATTTCAATCCCCACGGCCGTTCTGTCCATCCTTGCACGCTTCCATTCGTTGTTTGCATTTGCATCCAGGTGATGCGGGTGAGACATCACTTGCGCACTGACCGTCCCCTGCATTCCTAGGTATACATTCCAGGCAATCTGCCTCAATTTGCCTATCTCCGCGATGCGCGCCTCACGAATTTGGCCTTTCCAGCACACCGGTGAGTGAGTCCTTGAAAGAAGGGGCCGTGGCAAGATGCAGTTCACGACGAGCGTGAGATTAATTCACGCTCTGCTGGCGCTGCACAGTCTTACTGCGGTCACTGCAGCGCAAGCACGTAAGGGACAAGATCGCCACGGTAAGGCGCTTTGCTAACGACAAACAGTCTCGATAGACTCGAACGGCTGCTACTGGACGTCAACAGTGGTCTTTGGCAACATCACCAGCTCGAGCACCGTCCCGAACACGTTCAGCACTACTAGTGGTGGACGGTCGATATCGCCTATTCTCCCGTCGTCGACGGTATCAAATCCCAGCACCAGCGAATCAATCGTCCCGACAACCAGTGGGCCGCCGATCATCACGACTACATCAAGTCTCGCCTCTAGCGAGTCGACGGCTTCTTCCTTCTCGAGCACCCTGCCCACTGCGACACCTCCAGCTCCTGCGTCAACCCTTTTCCGCATCACTGTCAGCGGCTTCAACGCCAGACTCCGACCCCGCGCCCCTAGCTACCTCTCCTTTAATGGGGAGAATGCTTATCTCATCGCAGACGAAGAGTTGTCCGGAATCTTCGTCCTTACTTCTGATGGCCAGCTTCGGACCGGCGACGCAACCGTTGGCATAAATGGCAGAACGGGATCATTGCCTCTGAGGCGTTTTCCGGGGTTGACTCAGCCTAGTGGTTACATCTGGTATTTCAACGACACAAGGCTGGTGTTTGGCGAAAATCTCGCCTTCTCGGCACTTAGTGACGGGCAGATGTTTGTAACATTTCCTGGCGGTCAGCCCCCTACAGGCGCTGTTCAGCTTGGTCTAGAGCCAGAGTTCGTGGAGACAATGACGAGTTCGACTCTTTCAACGACTTCAAACCTCGCTAGCATGAGCTCAAGTCCTGGTACAGGGGCAATGACAACCACCACATATATGGAGACGAGCGTGTCAAGGCCGGCGACCGGCGGGCCTTATTCTACTACTCCTAGCATTCCTTCAAGCCAGGTTACCAGTTCCACCACAACACCGGGCGCTTTATCTCCATCAGCCATGACCCCGGACCAGCCTCTGACCTCGTCGACAACAGCATACACCACTACTGTACTACTGCCTCAATCCACTTCAGTCGCAGCTAGCGGCGCATCGTCTTCGACTTCGCTGACGCCCAGTCCGTCCCTTTCCAGTAACACGATCATCTCAAGTTCGAGTGGCAGTACGACAACAATACCTCCTAGCGTAGCGAGCTCGTCGTCCGCCGCGCCAAGCACCACTGTTCAGGGCAATCCAACAACCCTATTGTCTTCGACAACGACAAATGTGTTGACCTCCAACGCCATAGCTTCGTCTTTACCCGCGACGTCAGCATCATCCACGATGTCACCTTCATTAGGGACGACCATCTCCTCCACCACTTTGACGAATGGCCCGTCAAGCTCCATGACGAGCTCCAGAGTCACAACAGCGGTCACGTCAACACAGCCTCAACCACTCTCGACCACTTTGTCCCCATCTGCTCAAAGCACCAACGCCCATTCGTCATCGAGCGTGGCAAATCCCAATCCAACCAGCATCACGACCACAACGAGAAGCCCAAGCAGCACTTCTTCATCCCTGCCCACCTCCACGCCCACAAGCTCACCCTACCCAGCCAAACGCGGCCTCGCCTACCGCAACGTGACCACCCTCCAATACTACCCACCACCGTCGCCCTACATCTCGTGGACCTACAACTACTACTCGCTCCCCAACGCGTCCGACGACGTAGGAGCGTACCCCTACCCGTCCGCGCCCTACCGCTTCATCCCACTCCTCTACAACGACGCGCCGTCACTGACCTCGATCTGGTCCTCCAACGTCAACTTCAGCATCACGCACTACGGGACGGACGCCATCTTCGGCTTCAACGAGCCCGACGCCAACTTCGACGGGCAATCCGCCAACATGCCCGTGGCGCAGTCCATCCAGGGTTACGCCACCTTCATGGAACCGTTCGCCGGGCGCGTCCGCATCGGTTGCCCCGCCGTGACCAACACGGGCGGCGGCATCGCGTACCTGGAACAGTTTCTCGGCAACGCGAGCCTCCACGGTCTCACCCTCGACTTTATCAACCTGCACTGGTACGCCAGTCCGTACAACATTGACTATTTCCGCGAGTTCGTCACCCAGGCGTATAGTTTGAGTGTGCTTTATTCGCCGAACATTACGTCGCGGTACGTCGACACGCGGAACGGCGGTGAAGCGTTGCCCGTGTGGATCACCGAGTTTGGCCTGGATCAGAACAATTACGACTGGGCTACTAATGTGGCGTTTCTGAAGAATGCCTCGCGCTGGATGGACCAGCAGGTCTGGGTCGAGCGGTATGCTTGGTTTGGCAATTTCCCCGGCGGTCTCACGAGTTATGGCGCGCCCACGACGGGGATGCTTTTGAACACGGATGGGAGTGGGCGGAGTGCGTTGGGCGATGTGTGGTATCGGTATAACGGGACTAGTTAAGTGCGACTGGCCTGGCTTTGGGTTGAGTCGGGTTGATACTTGTAGGGGAGGCGTGTCGGTGTTTGGTTTGTTCACAAGGGAGTCCGGCTGGAAGGAAGTATACACCGTAGTCGTGGTTCGTGTGTGGAAGTGAATTGCGGTCATGTTTTCGGCTGCAGAAGTCGTCGCATCGCGTTCCATGGAGTTTGGACGAGGAAGGTCGTGCATTTCCAGCATTTGGCGTCAAGGTCGTGTTCGACGTCACATTTACCGTATACTGAAACCTTGATCGATATTGAAATTCACATGATACCAGTCTTGGTTCCCATCCTGTTACATGCTGTACGCTCTCTGCTTCTCTGAATACTTATGGAGTTGTGCAGAGCGCACTCCATCTACACAGAATGACGTTGGCATGAGCACGCTCAGCACCGCTCAAATACCCGATAGAGTCCTTTCAGATTGGCGACTTCAACGACACCTTTCAACATATCCTGCGTGGCCACTATTCTCGACCGGAAAGCCGGGAAGAGAACGTGCTCCAGCGTATATTCGATCTCCTTCCTTCTTCTCTCGGTGGCCTCATTGTCGGGGTCAGGCTGGCTGTTCTCGGTGTCATCCTGGGTCTCGGTCTCGGCGTCTGGCTGCACGTCCTGAGCGGGATCCGAGTCCACCATCTCTTCCTCTCGCGCTTTCCCCTTCCCTTTGTCGGCTTTCTCTTTAAAAGGTGGCAGCATCTCCGGGACATAAAAATTGGCCAGCTCTCTCAGGAATGTCCGAAAGCAAGCTTCTTCTTCTGTCCAATCCACAAATGGTCCTAGTCTTAATAAAAAGGTCGGTAATTTCGCCATGCATGGCATGTAACCCTTTAACAGCAGTGGTATTGTTTCCAGCTGGCCGTCGTCCGTGATGTTCAGAGAGAAATACTCGGCAAGCATTTCTTTACTCTGCATCAGTTGCTGGTACACTCTGTCCACGATCTGGTCTTTGTTCAGTCCCGCACAAGAAGGGTCTATTTCGAACTGATGTTCTGCCGCGATATCCAACAACTCCCTCAGATGCGGAGCGGGTTGAAGTTGAATAAGCCCAAAGTTGCCGAAATCGGTCAAGCCAACCTGATAGAAGAACTCGTTGGAGGTCATGCCATAATCAACAAGGTAGAGCCTCACGCCGGATTGAATGGCTGCGAGGCGTCTGGTGCCATCGACTACGCCGACGTATGTCAGAGAGGCAAAGACTTCAGTGAGCCCGTTGTGCATCGATTCGCGAACTTCAGCGCGGAGGTTCTTGACTGAAGTGAGGCGAATTTGGATTTGTTCGCGGTCCGTGGTCGTGTACTGGATTCCATCTGTGGCCGGGGGGTCGTCTTGAGATGTCGATGTCATCAAAGCCGGTGGCAGCATCGAGGTAATCTTTCTCATCTTTGAATCGGTTCGGACGAGGTTGTTTTCATAAGGCTTTTTGGTCGTTGATGGTTTTCTCGCAGCACTATCATCTGTGGGAGGAGTAGCGTCTCCAGGAACTACTCGCTGATTCGTGGATGTCATTGGAGGTACGCCAGGCAAGAGTGTTTGCGTCTTGAAACTCCTGCTCGTGTCGACCTTGGCCAAGTTATCTCGGATATTCGCGCAGACTAGCTCAACAATCTCATCTTCATTCAAGAAGTGGACTTCTCGTTTGGTCGGGTGTACGTTCACATCGACTCTGTTCGGCTCGACCTCGAGGCTGAGGTAGACGAATGGATGGCCGCCTTTAGGCAGAAACAACTGATATGTCTGCTCAATGGCCTTCTTGACCGTAGATGACTCGACGGATCGGTTATTGATAAACAGCAGGAGCGTCGTTCTCTTGTTACTGTAATTGGCATTGGTAGCATAGCCGGATGCTTTGAAACCCCAGCGAGAATCTTCGGCGCTGAAACTCATAATTTCTTTCGCCACAGTTCCACCGTAGGCTTGCTTGATCCTGTCGACCTTGGTGGCAGCAGCTGCGACGGAGAAGCCGGCGCCTGTTTCACCGTGCTTCTTTATTGAGAAGGCGACACCTTCGCGGTGGACAGCATACCGGGTGATGACATCGAGTACCTTGGCATACTCTTCTGATGGGGACCGAAATGCTCGTCGGCGGTTGGGGATGTTGTAGAACAGGTCCTCCACTGTAATCTGCGTACCAGGACGACCAGCGGCAGCTTTTGGTTCAGCGGAATGACCAGGTTTAGCTGGTATGAGCTTTCCGTCCTGGTAATGGGCTTGCCATGCACAGCTTGAATTGGCAGTCTTGGTAGTGACCCGAAGGTGGGCAATGTGACTGATGCTGGCAAGAGCTTCTCCACGAAAGCCATAAGTGCCTATGGACATAAGATCTTCGAAATTCTTGAGCTTGGAAGTGGTGAACCTCTCGCACAGAATTGGCAAGTCGTCTCTCTGATCGGTGTCAGATGCAACATGGTAGTGGGAAAGCAGAGTACAAACCTCAATACCGTGGCCGTTGTCGGTGATCTGCAACAACTTGAGCCCGCCATCCTTGACCAGGATCTCAATCGAGGTTGAGCCGGCGTCAATGGAATTCTCAAGCAGTTCCTTGAGGGCGTGCATTGGCGCGACGATGATTTCGCCCGCTGCGATCTTGTTGACAACATCCTGATCAAGAGCCTTGACAGAGGGTTAGCCTTGTTCTCTGGCTTACCGTGAGGGAGCATCAACGTGCCTTGATGCGACGTGGAGCTTCAGGTGGCAAGCCTGCTTCTTCAGCAGTGCGCTTCACGCCCCGAGGAGGCTCAGGGTCTACATCCATGGTGTCGGCCATGTTGACATTCGCCAGAAGTGGAACTCTCCTAGAATGAAGTGAAGTAGAGGTGAAGCAGGCAGCAATTGGCGCAGTTTGTGGGGGAAGCCGCAGCTGGATTGTGGATGCGTCGATTCCATGCAACGTCACATGCTTCATGCTTCATGCTTCATGCTTCTTTCTTCTGGCAGACCAGAAGGCGACAGTCGAAGTGACACGGACACCCCAGGCTGATTTCTGGCGTTCGCTTTTTGCATTCGGTATCCTGCGTTGGCACAAGGCTGGGCGGCATCCAACTCAGAGCAGCACCGACTGAAGCGGTCGGTGAGTTTGAGGTGAATTAAAGCGAGTCTTCCGATGGAGCAACGCCGCCGGTAGCAACCACAGCAGCAGCTGCAGACGAACTGTCACCATGGCCATGAACTTTGTGACATTCAACCAGGACTATAGCCACCTGGCTGTAGGTACGCACGCACCCTCTACAGCCATCTCGCCGCCGGTGAGCTGATGCGGTATAGGTACCTCCCGAGGCTTTCGCATCTTCACCACCGATCCGTTTGCAAAGACCTTCGATTCACGAGATGCCGGCAATGTTGCAATCCTCGAGATGCTCTTCTCGACGTCGCTCGTCGCTCTCATCCTGTCGCCGCGGAGGCTCCAGATCAAGAACACCAAAAGAGACCTGATAATATGCGAACTCACCTTTCCCAACGCGGTGCTGTCGGTGAGGTTGAACAGAAAGAGACTGGTGATTGTGCTGGAAGATCAGATCTACCTCTACGACATACAGACCATGAAACTGTTATACACCATCGAGACCTCTCCCAATCCTGCGGCCATATGCGCCCTCTCCCCTTCGCAGGACAACTGCTACCTCGCATATCCGCTTCCACAAAAGGCCGTGGCCTCGTCGTTTGCCCCGCCCTCACACGCACCGCCCAACAGTACCCATGTCCCTCCGACGACCGGCGAAGTCCTGATATTTGACGCCATCAAGCTGGAAGCGGTCAACGTGGTGGAAGCGCACAAGTCACCGCTGTCGTGCGTGGCCTTCAACAACGAAGGAACCCTGCTTGCGACAGCCTCGGACAAGGGTACCATCATCCGGGTTTTCTCGGTCCCAGACGCCCACAAGCTGTATCAATTCAGGAGAGGGTCAATGCCTTCGAGGATATTCAGCATGGCCTTCAACATCACGTCCACTCTGTTATGTGTCTCATCGGCGACCGAGACCGTCCACATATTCAAGCTTGGGCCCCAGTCCAATAGAGTACTAGACGACGGCCATGAACCTGCTTCACCCAGCAAAGCTAGCAGTGCATCTACCAGAAGGCTTAGTCAAAGCAGCGACATGCTGGTCGACCAGCCGGGTGATGACGAGGACGGAGCCGAGTCGCCCACAGCTCTGGCGCATCGAAAGCCAAATGGCACCTTCATGGGCTTGTTGCGGAGGACGTCTCAGCACGTAGGCATCAATCTGGCCTCCACAGTCGGCGGTTATCTTCCAAAGGGTGTCGCCGAGATGTGGGAGCCTTCGAGAGATTTTGCATGGATACGACTCCCCAAGTCGAGCTCCGGTGCCTCACCTAGCCAACTGCGCAGTGTGGTCGCCATGAGTGCAAACTCGCCGCAAGTCATGGTTGTCACCAACGAAGGCAACTTCTACGTCTTCACCATTGACTTGGCGACAGGTGGCGAAGGGACTTTGACCAAGCAGTATTCGTGAGTGTTGCTCTAGTCTTGGGCTGGGATTATCAAGCTAACAGTGTGCAGAGTGCTTGACATCAACGACAAGATGGGCGCTTCGGGCATGGAGTTTTAGTGCAGCGAAATCGTCCGTTGGTGCAGTTGATCTTGCTGGGTGTGCCATGCTTCACTTGTTCGACTTTCTACAGATTGATTTAGCGTCGGCGTTGAGGCAACGGCTGGCTGGTGTCGTCCTGAATGTCAGCGACCATTCAGCGACCTCTCTATAGAGTACATCTACATCCATATTGCGTAATTCAGGCGACGGAGCCTGTATGCAACGACTGAGTCTAGCAAAAGGGTACTCGGCATCTCCGCAACGACGTGCATCGTGAATTAGTGTGTTATTGCACCTCTGGAATAACGACGATGAGAGGGGATGAATCGCCATTCCACTCACTGTTGGCCGAGACCCTTTTCCATGCAAAACAGGGCCATCACCAAGCTCTATCTTCATACAGATTGGAGATTCGACCCCTGAACGTCAAGCCTACTGTCCTTCCTCCATTGACTCGTAATCACAGTGGCGCACACATTGAGGAGATAGACAGAACGAGAAGGGCATCTTGGCTACTCCTGTATTTTAATTCCAGCAGGCTTAACAAGCGGCAGCCTCCATCGCGGATTTCACGCCACACTTTGAATTCAGTTACATACCTAGGTACTGTAGCCGTAAGCCTCCATGTTTTTATCATCCCAGTCGGTTCTATCTGTATCGTGCCCTCACTCCTCGGCCTTATCACCCTGCTTCGCCCGCTTCGCCCTCCACAGATAATATTCCCCCGCGGTCATGACCTCGTACTTGGCCGGCCTCTCCTCCGAGACACAACTCGGGATGGGCAGCAAGGGCATGCGCCTGTCCAAGCCGTAAAAGAAGGGGATACTGTACCGTTCGCGGCCGGACTTGTTGATGACGCGGTGCACGGTGCTGACAAAGTAATCGTTGGTCTGCCTCATGAAGCAATCGGCGATGTTGACGACGAAGGAACCGGGAACGGGCCTCGCGCGGATCCACCGCCCGGACTTCGACAGCACCTCCAGCCCGCCGGACATGTCCTGGTTGACGACGGTGAAGCATTCAAAGTCCGTGTGCGCGCCGATGCCGTTCTGGTCGTCGGCCGAGGCCGCCTGCTCCGGGTAGTGCAGGATGCGCATGCCGGCCTCGGGCCGCCGCGTCCACTCGTCAAAGTACGTCTCCGGCAGGTGCAGGGCCAGCGCGAAGATCTGCGTCATCTTGCGCGCGAACTGCAGCATCGGCGTGTGGTACGCGTACAGACCTTCCTTGAATCCCGGCAGGTCGCGAGGCCAGATCGACACGCCCGCGTCCGTGTCCGGGTTCAGCGGGTCTTGTTCGGCAGAGTAGGCAAAGTTGAATGCTTCGCTGAGGTCTGTACCCACAAGTCAGCAACAACACGTGATAAATTACGCAGGATATGTGATGCGCATCAGCTTGGGCTGGGCTGGACCAGAGCAAGTCGAATGGAGTCACTTCTTTCTCCCCGGCGTCCGTGGACTCACCGTTGTGCTTTCTGCTGGCTTTGTTGTAGCTTGCCATGGCGTGGTAGCCGACGTACTCTTTCGGCACGAGGTTCGTGTCGACCTCCAGTTTCTTTTCCATGGGGAGCTTGAAGAAGCGTTTGGCTTGCTCGAAGACTCCGTCTGTTAATTTGGCGTCGAAGCCCTGCGTGGCACGACCGTGGCCGTATAGTTAGCGGCCAGCCAGCCAGCTCGCCCGCGCTGTGCTGTTGGAACTCACGTGGTTGATCACGTAGAAGAACCCGATACGATGGGCGGCTTCTCGGACCTTGTCCGCCACGGCCTGTCGGTCCTCCAACTTGTCGCTGTAGATGCCCGCGACATCGATGATGGGGATCTCGTCGGCGTCAATGGCTTCGTTGGACTCGACGTGCAAGGTTTGGCCATTCTGGAGCTTGATCACGAGAGCGTTCGCCTCGGCGCTCTCGGTCTGCGTGGTGACTTGGGACATGGTATCTGACAAAGGTAGCACACAGGGATTGGTCGATATCTGCTAGACACTCTGCGGGCGGTCTTCCCAACACCTGCCACGTTTTCTACGGTGTGTCGAGTTATATCAAGTCGCTTGGGAACGGGGCAAGGTCGGCTGGGTCAAGTCAAGCAAAGCGAAAGCATTGCCACCACGAACGTCGGCACTGTATCTGTCGAAGTGGAGTCGAGGCGGAACGAGAGACGGAGGTACCCGCAGTCATGGCAGAGTGCTTATCGACGCTTGAGCCGCCTTAAGCTTACCTTGCCTGTCGCCTTGTGCCTCGTACGAAGTGTATCATCCGTCCATGGCTGGAAAGCTTGTTTCGTTCCTTCCTTTTCTAGCTATGGCCCATGTTACAGTATCCGGCGCGGGAACTCCGGTAGTTGGAGCCTTTATCTTCGCTACCTCCCCGACGGTGTCAAGTGGCACGCTGGAACGTGGTATTCCAGGGCACAAGGTGCTTGACGGTTCTGACTGACGCGTGGCGATGGAGATCCGGTGCAATGTGCCACCGGGGCACGAGACGATTCCATGTCTTTTACTCGCCTTTGTTCATCTAGGCGACGGCGAGTCGAACGGCGATCTCCCCATATGCGGCTGTCCGTCTGGAATCTTGCTGTTGCTCCATTCCTTCCACGTGGCAATCTTATCACAAACTCCGGAATTCAGCGTTGCCCGATGTCGAGATAAGAGTCTCTGGTACAGGACTCCAAAGGCTGGCCATGTGAACGGCACGGGGAGTGCCCGGCGGGATCGTCTATCAGGTATCACAGCCCTATGTCGAGGTATGCCTTGAGGACCCTGATTCTGAAAGAGACCTGATAAAGTCCCAGTCCCAGTCCGGTCGTGGGATCTCTCTCCAGCATCTTCTCGTCCGAAGTTCTTTTTGGCGCACTGACTGCCGCCCGTCATTTAGAGCTGAACGATGGCTTCTCTGCGCCACCGAGCCTCGAGGCTCAGCAAGAAGCTCGAAGTCCCGGTCGACGAGAACCTGGATGGAGCAAGACCCACAGCATGGAACAACCGGGATCTTGCACCATTGCCGCCGTCCAGGCGTACTTGGACAGTGTGGGGATTCCTGGGATTCTGGGCTGTCATCCAATTGAACACGGTTGGATGGCAGACCGCCAGTTCGCTGCTGTCCCTAGGTTTGAGCGTCTGGGAAGCCATGATCGTGACGATCATCGCCAAGGTCAGTTCTACGCCTGGTTCCCTGCATTTTCTCGAAATACAGGCTGATTCATCTCTTCCAGTTCTGCATTGCCGCCGTGGCGATCAGTAATGGCTGGTGGGGTGCCTTGTGGCATGTCGGCTTCTCTGTGGGCAATCGTGCTGTCTGGGGTCTCAGAGGTTCATACCTGGCTTTGGCTCAGAGAATCATGCTGTGCCTGGTATGGTATGCCGTGCAAGCTTGGATCGGCGGCCAGATGACGGGCGTGATGCTGTACGCCATCTTTTCTGGGTACAAGCACATCCCCAATACGTTCCCCGAGAGCGCACACATGACCACGCAGCAATTCGTCGGCTTCATTGTCTTCCTCTGCTTCCAGTTTCCTTGCCTCCTGATCCCTCCCGAGAGGACAGCGATCCTGTTTCGGTGGGCGAACATCATCGTGGCCATCACCATGGCGTCGGTCACGATCTGGGCGCTCTCTACAGCACACGGTGCCGGGCCTCTGCTCACCGCCAACAGCACGCTGACCACGACCAGCGAGAGAGCGTGGGCTATTATCCGCGGCATCACCACCGTCATCGGCGCAGTGGCCGTGTCCCTGACAAACCAGAGCGACTTCAACCGTTTCGCAAAAACACCGGGTGCGCAGGTTCCCGGCCAGATTTACTCCACGGTCGTCATGGGTGCGCTTGTCACTCTCATGGGCACGTTAAGCACCTCTGCCGCACAGAAGATCTATGGCGAAGTGATCTGGTCTCCTGCGGAACTGGCGATCCGCTGGATGCAGGATGGCTATACGGCCAAATCCCGTGCAGGAGCCTTCTTCGCCGGACTGGGGTTCTTCATCTCCCAGCTCAGCATCAACACCGTCGACAACGCTTGGCCAGGCGGATTTGACCTGGCCGCACTGTTTCCGCGGTGGATCAACATCCGTCGTGGTGCCATCATCACGTTCGTGCTCGGTATCGCGATCAACCCGTGGCAGCTGGCTGACACCGCCAACACCTTCATCAATGTGCTCGACGGGTATAGCGTCTTCCTGGGTCCCATGACGGGCATGATGGTCTGCGACTTCTGGGTCGTCCGCGCCAGGAAGCTGAAGCTCTCCGACTTGTACATCCCGAACAAGTCGTCCATCTACTGGTACAGCTATGGCTTCAACTGGCGGGCGTATGTCTCGTGGCTTATCGGCATGGCGCCCGCGTTACCTGGCTTCATCAACGCGGTCAACCCGTCAATCAAAGTCCCCAAAGGCGCACAGGAGATCTTCTACCTCGCATATATTGAGGGCTTTGCCTTGGCGTTTGTCGTCCACTATGTGTTGAATCGGTTGTTCCCTGTGCCGGGGCTGGGAGAGATTGACGAAGAGGACATATTTGCCACGTTCACTGCGGACGAGGCGCGCAAGTTGGGTGTGTTGCCTCATCCACGGCTGCTAGAGGGGATAGAGGTGCATGAAGGAGAAGTCTCACCGTCAGAGGATGTCACCGAGACAAAGGTTGTCGTTGTCGGGGAGAAGTAGGCGATGAAACCGGGACTCGAAGCAGCAGAGTTGATCGCCCACAGTACCTTGATAGAAGCAGCCACATAGGTCTCCGTGCTCTCTGGCTCGGCTGGCTGCCCTGCTTCAGCTGTTGCAAATCCAAGGAAAGACGACAAGCGCCATTGTTGTCCGCTCTCTTGCCCTCAGTTTGTAAGCTCCACTGTGCATCGCAGGGAAATTCCGCCGTTACACCAGTTCCAGCGACTGTACGGAGTAGTGAGATAAAACTCATGACCGACAACCCTGATCTGACGATTGTTAGAAGGACAAGCTAGGTACCCGAGCCTCGACAGGTAGAATGCGATTGCCAGGTATCGCACCTCGTCCTCATCCTCATCCTCGTATTCGCACAGCACAAACGTAATGCCAATGGCCGCCAGGCGCTGTTGCCTGGACTTAACGTTAGGTGCATCAGGGCGATCAAGCTTGGTCCAGAAACGTGATTAGCGGAGAACGTGATTTCGCGGTAACTTCGCGTCACCTCACCGCACTCTTGCTTCTGACACGGAAACATCCGTATTCCATACGGACGTAGTCGAAGCCATCAACCTACAGGCGTGCATGGGTGTATGTGTAAATGTTGCAATCGACGTTCAAGCTTCAAAGGAAGCCTGGGGCAGCCTAATTGCTTGGCTACAGATTAGCACCGATAAGCCGTTCAAGCTGCCTCGATCGCAAGTCGGGCGGAAAGTATAAAGAGCAGTGAAAGAAGTCAACTGTCCTCGTCGTAGAGCAGAGCTCGCAAAAGACCAACTGGAATGATTTCTCTGCATTGAAAACACAGACACAATCAATACTACATCACATCGCTCTATCAAACCTCGTCACGAAGCTGTACAACTTGCACAACTGCACAACTGCACGGAGTGAAGTGACGCTCACAGCTCCAACCACCTCACATCCACAAACTCCTCCTTCAACATGCCCAAATTCATCGTTCTCGTCCATGCGTCCAAAGAATCCGAAGCCGGCGAGGTACGTAAAGTCTCTCTCACTCTCTCTCGCAGCCAGCACAGAACACCTGGAGTATTATCCATGGCCGACCCAGCCCATTTACTTCCTGCTTCCCGCCTCTTACTCTCCTCTCTACTTCCAACATCCCACAATCCGCATTCTACTCCCACACTCACACCCGCACTCATACTCACACACATTCCCCCGTCTAGCTCCCCACGACACAAGAGCTCGCCGAGATGAACGCCTTCAACAAACCGGCCGTCGAAGCCGGCATCATCCTCAACGCCGACGGCTTCCTCGCCTCGTCCACGGGCGCGCGCCTCACTTTCAACGACAAGGGGTCCGAACCGACAGTCACGCACGGGCCGTTTGCCCTCGACAACCTGATCGCCGGGTACTGGCTCGTCCAGCTGGGGTCCCTGGACGAGGTGGTCGAGTGGGCCAAGAAGATCCCCTTTAACAAGGGCGGCAAGGTGGAGATCCGTCGCGTCGCGGGGCCCGAGGACTTTGGGGACGCCATGACGCCGGAGATCAAGGAGCAGGAGGACGAGATGAGGAAGATTGTCGAGGAGAGGAAGAAGTGAGTAAGCAAGCAAGCAAGTACACAGTGCACACGACGTCGTACGCAAGTACGCTGGCTGTGGGGATTCATTGGTTGGGAAACGTTGTTGTATAGTACAGTACCTAGCAGCAGCAGCAGCAGCAGCACCAGCAGGAAAAGCCTCCGAGTAGGACCGGTCATCTTTCTGTGCCTGGTTCCAGGGTCTGAGATCGGCTTGTACTTACTCGGCAAGCTGCTCCGAACTGTGTATGTCCTTGCGTCTTCAAGTCCTCATGTCCCTAAACTCCTGAGCTCGGAACGTGTGAAATGGTGCTCAACGCGGAGTGCCTACCCTTCCCCATTTACACACATACCCATAATGTACATAGGAGGGGATTACCTACCCACGTCGACCATCTAAGGCCTCTGCGTCGATATCCAAGACGCTTCCAAAGAGTCCGCCAATCGACCAGCCGTCATCTCTCCCAGACATCCAGTTCAAGGTGGTGTTTAAGGTGGTGTTTCCGTTGCTGCCGCTTCCACCTCTTTGTCAGTCGACGATTTAGCAGCAGTGCCCTTCTCTCCTTGAGGTACAGCAGGAGCATACAGCACAAGGTCCAAGCTCCCTCGCTCCTCAGGTTCGTCCTTCACGGCGTCAATTGGTTCATGCTTGCTCCCGACCTCGGCATCAGCTTGTACCTGGGTGTCCGGCTCCGCTGATTCGGGGACCAACCCGACAGCTCGCTTGAAAACCAGTTCAGCTCTGTCGATGATTTCAATCACGGCCCTCGGCATCATGCGCTGATCGCGGGGGAGCATCTCGTGGCGCTTGCCCTGGTCTTGTCCAACTACCACGTCGGTATAGTCTCTCTCAATGGCCGTAAGCACGGCGTCCACCTTGCCGAGGAGGATCGACTTCACCTCTTTGAGCATCTGGTCAAGAAGTTCGCGGACGTGTTCCACGGCGTCATTGAACATGGTCAACTTCTCCTGCTCAACATGGCGGTCCATGTAGCCCTTCATTCTGGCAAATTGGCCAGGTCCGGTCTCTGTGGTGCATGTATAATAGACGGGTAGCATGTGCTCCCGAACCCGCGGCTCGAATTCGCGGTTGATGTTTCGCTGCCGCTCTGACATCACGTTGCGTGCTTCGTTGATTGCATCTTTCAGCGTCTCCTTATACACGGCGATCTGGTGCTTGAGCATCTGAAAGGAGGCGATCGAAGCTCCGTTACGGATGGCGCGCCGCTCAACTTCGTCGTGAAAAGTTGTCAAGATCTGGCCGGCGTTCGCTGGTAGTGAGTTGAGGATGCCAGGCAGTCTGCGCGCAAAGACTGACTCCCACGGCCCAGCCAGATGACGAATGACGGGTTCGGTCAGCTGCTCGTTGAAATTGTTGGAGGCCCGAGCATTGTTGAACACTCCGTCGCGCCGCACTACAGCCTTGTAGGTTGCCCAATAGAGGCCTCCCGCCATCAAACTTTCGCGATTGACAGGGGACCTGTGATGTTGTTAGCAGAAAATACCAGAATCGCAGTCAACTGAAGAATGGGCGCATTCTAAGGAGTCATGAACAGGATCTGGCAACTACTCACCCCCACTTCTGAACAGTGTTGTTCGCTTCGGATTGAGCGGCTCCAGTGGCGGCCGGATAGGCGTCATACACCTTGTCTTGTAGCTCTTCCTCAATTCCATCCACGATGGCCGTCACGGCTTTCTCAAGGGCCTGTCGCAAAGTTAGAATAGGAAAGGTGTAGGACATGGTAATCAGGAAAGCCGATGGGACAACGGACAGAATGGGGTTACTCACAGAATCGAGCTTGTCAAGTCTCTCCTTGAGAATTTGAGCTTCCCTCTTGACCTGGCCTTCCGTGAGGCTCCTGCCCGTACCTTCATTCGACGCCCAAAGACGGAGTGAATTCAAGAGCTGAAACATGCCAGTTAGAAACTTGCGGCATACCGTCATGCGACTCGCCGCTGTCAACTGAATACAGTGAGCTTGGAGTGCCGGCATCTCGGTTCCGTCGATGTGTGTGAAGCCCTGCGGAGTCTTGTCTTTCTGCAGCCGGCCTCTCAACTTCTGGTAGGCTCGAGAAGACACGCAGAAGACTGGCAAGTTGCGCGCGACCTCGTCGTAATTACGACGGTCAATCTGAAATTGTCAGCAGGAAGTACGGCCAGGAACTATGATGGGTTGAGACTTACCTCCGGGTCAAAATTGGCAGCGTCCTCCTCCTCTGCAATCTCCTGGTCAAGTTCGCGGATTCCTGCGGCGTAGTCCTGTCGGATCGCCGCCCGCGAGTACTCATTGCGGCCTGAAATACACTTGGCGGAAAGCGTACCATCGATGTGCTCTGACTCCTTCTCGATGTCCTTTATCTGGTCTTCTAGCTTCTGGAGCTCTTGACCGATCCGGTTCTTCTCGCGGCGGCCTTCCTTGCGAGTGCCACGAAGGTCTGCAATCTTCATTGCAATCTCATCTTCTTGAAGAGCCTCGCCGGCATCCTCGCCTGTGCCGGAAGATCCGTCATCGGATCCTGCGTCGCTGCTTGAACTATCTCCATCGTCGATGAAGTCATCATCCGAGTCCGGTTCCTGGTAGTTGGGTCTCTTTTTCTTTTTCGTCGGCCCACAATCATCCTCGCGCTTGCGCTTCTGTGACTTTGGTGTCGGTCTGAATACAGTTTTGCCATCATTGAAGTCCTGCTGCAGGGCCTCCCAAAGTTCGAGGTCTTCCTCGGCCGCTTCCATGGCAGCGGTAATGTCGAGCTTGGTCTCTTTGAGATCCTTGATCTGTCTCTGCAGATGGTCCTTCCTCTTTCGCAACTCTTCCGACTTCTCCCACATCGGTGTAAGTTCTTCGTCGAGCCCTAATGAGTCCTGTGCCTCGGTAATCGAAATGTCGTCGGTCTTGCTACAAATAAACGTAACTGAGTCGAAGCCGCCGTCCATTTTCAGTTGGCGCTTGAAGGTGTCACCCAGGAGGGTCTTTGCAGACTTGTCATCAACTGCTCGTGTGATTGGTGCCACGATCCAAAGACCAGTACATTGTTTCATGTAGCCTTGTGCTACGGCTGCGCGAGCCTGATTGCTGTCGTGGACACCGGGGAGATCGACGATGACCGCACCAGTAGCCAGGGCGGGAGCTTTGACATACAGTCTCACCACTCGAATCAATGGCCAGAATTCCATCTCGCGAGGCTTGCTGTCCTTCTTGCTCACTTTTTCCTTCATTCCATGCGTCTTTTCTTTGCTGTCAACATAGCGTTGCAACTTCTTGTAGAACATCGTCGGGTCATCGGATTGGATCTCACGCGTAGCGCCCAGGCATGCAACGTTGTCATGCTCCATTAGTCTGTCAATCGTGATGTTTTCCATATCGTCTCTGGTCATCCTCGGGTAGACTGCCTTGATCTGTGCATATGCAATTCCGCTTTCCGAGTCTTCGTTAGTGCATTCGCGAGAAACCTGGCCCGAGTTATCGAGAAGATCCTGGAACAGGATCCTCAGCATCTTGTGCCAATCGTCGCGAGAGATAAACTCGACCTCGGCTCTGTAAGGCGCACCTTCCTCATAATTGTAGCTGATCTCAGTGACGACGGCGGTACATGCTCGCATACAATTTGTGGGCACCAGACGTTCCTCATCGAGCATGGCATTGATAACCGAGCTCTTTCCAGCCCCAGTCGCACCGACCACGCCAATCACAGTCTTCGACCGCATGGCCTGCTTCTGGACAATCTCGATGGCTTGAAGCCATTGGGTCGCGTCTTGACTCGGCTGTTCTTGCAGGGCCCGCTGCATGTTGCCGAGCAACACCACTCCTTCCCGGACACTCTTTTCAAGCTGCTCGGGGGTGCGGCCGTCAAAAAGTTCAGCCATGCTAAGCCGAGTTGAAGCAGCAGTAGAGGGGCGGGGCACATCTTCAAGCTCGACGTGAAAGTCTATTTCAGTGGCTGGGCCGTCAAATTGAGGGATCTTGTTTTCGTCATGTCGTGGGCTTGGAGAAGACTTTTGCTCTGACTTAATGCCTGTGGTAGGAGTGCTCGCTTGATTTGGTTGAACTTGACTGGATGAGCACTGAGGCTGGCTAATAGCACCTCTCTTTACTGCGGCAGAAACGTGGCTCCGCGAGTCGGCCACCCATTTCTTCCTTGCATTCGGTTTCATCGTCGTCCATAGAGCCAGCGAATCTTCAATCTGTCTGTTCCGGGTTTCGAAATCGCCGTCACGGTGACCACCGATTGCAAGTTCGGTGGCGTAGAATTCCGAACAATAAAAGGACCAGAATCCCCAGTGCTCCGCATATCGATCCTCAGGCGAAGTGAAGCCCAAAGTGGCTGCGATTTTCCCTGCTCTTTCGATGAAGTAAGACTTCTGGCCTTGATCCAATCCCAGCCACTCCTCTTTGATCGCCTCATCAGTGGCGGAAGGCTCGTCCGTGTCTGGCAATGAGGTAGAGTCCAAACTGGAAGGGATTCTTGAGATCTCCAGGCGCTCGAACAGAAAATCTTCCCACGCAATTTGTTCAGTGGGAGCGAGAGTGTCCGGCATCGAAAGTGCATGTGGCGAGGCACGATGGCTAGGAGGAGGACAGGCAGGTTCAGGCTTAGACGGTCTGCGTACATTCCGTACCTGAGGCTGCTCAAGTGGGCGCGGCTGGGACTCTTTGGTGTGGGCTTCATTGTTGAACTTGCTCGACGTCTGCGCCTTGACTAATGAACGATTAACGCCATCTGCAATCTCACTCAAAGGCGCGCGTGCGGCCGTCAAGTGTTTGCGTTTATTGAGGTCCTTCACTGAAACAGCTTCGAGAGCGACGAAGTCATTCGGATAACGGTTCCCAAGCGCAAAGATCTTGGTTCCTTCCTCAAGGACCTGGAAGTTGTGCCTCAAGACGAAATCTCCAGCTTCTGGACACTCTCTTCTGTAAGCATTAACCAAAGAAGAGACATCCTTCTCTCGCGGACATTTGATCCACAGGGCGTCTGGCTGATCAAATGGGCCATCAGGCGACTTGTCGTAGTGGAGTATGGCGACAAACACGACGCCGGGCTTCAGCTCATCCTGTGGCCTAAGCGCGCGCAACGTCTCGAAAAACTCACTGGTAATGTTAGCGTGGAACAAGAATATCGGACCGCCAAACCTTCTTACGATGGGGTCACCATCGCAGCACAGAACCGTTGCAGGAGCTCAATGAGCCGCCTGCAATTCCTAACGGCTGTACAGGTAGGTTTGTCAACTTCAACTGGTATTGGCCAGCGCAGGATGGAAAGGTTGTTCGGTGGGACACAAGCAGTCCATTGGAGGAGACGCGTTGAAGCAACCAACCGCGTCTTTGTGGTTGCTCTACGTCATGGCACGTAGCATGGCGCGTTGCTGCCCAAACCTCCCAAACTCGCCAAGTGCTGGCTGAGACCCGGGTCCTAACCGTAAATGGGTTTCGTCCCACAAACTCCACATCGGAATGACATCTACGAGTTACTTGTGTACGAATACGCCGTACGAGCGATCATAATTCAAGCGAGCAATTCCGCGAGTTTCATCCTGTTGAAGGATATGCAGGATACGCTTCCATATTCGGCCAGAGCGTCCCGACACCGCGGCGGTCCGGCATCTCTTCTCGGTATCCGGCTGTGTCTGTTGCGGTTGATCTTCGGGTTGTGAGATCATCCTCACCATGGTGTGTTTTGAATGGTCTCTGATGCCACTTTTACCGCAACTTCGAGGGCGCTGAGCATCACATGAGAAACTCGAACGGCTGGGTTGCCTTATTGGCACTGCAACCTGGTATTTCCGGCCTTCTGACGGTGAGCTTGGCCGCTGCCCAGCACCCATGGACAGAGTTCATAGTTCTCATAAATGAGGATCAAGGTCACGATTTTCATTCTGCCAACTCGCTCTTGACTTTCACCACGTTTTCGTTTTGGGTATAGGAAGTTCCAACATGCGGATCAACAATTCTTCTTCGGGCGGCAGCTCTACGGTTGTTCTTGAGATGCCATCAAGGTCCCAGCAGCCAAATAACTCAGAGAAGGACGTGCCCGTGTATGAAGATGTCTCAGCCGGAGCCCTACCCTCTCCAACGACTGCCACGCCTCAATTGCAGAAATGGAACTCACCTCGCATCAACTTGTGGCGGTGTCTAGCGACCTTCTACTCCTTCATCATCCTCGGCGCCAATGACGCCGCATATGGAGCCTTGATCCCTTACCTCGAAACATACTACCATGTCAATTACACAGTCATCAGTCTCGTATTTCTGTCGCCCATAGTCGGCTACACAATGTCGGCATTATTGAACAATCAGATTCATACTGTGTACGGGCAAAGAGGGGTTGCGATTTTGATGAGCGTGTCGCATGTTTGCGCTTACAGTAAGTTTGTTGGCTTCGAAAATGCGGGCATCAGCTGACCTTCCTCGTAGCTGCCATCTCTGTTCACCCTCCTTATCCTGTCCTGGTGATAGTCTTCATCCTCGCCGGGTTCGGCAATGGCTTAGGCGACAGCGGGTGGTACGTTCAGAACTCCCACCTCCGCTTCTGCAAACCAGGGCTGAACTGCGTGACAGGAATGCTTGGATTGGTGATATGGCCAATGCGAACGAAGTTCTTGGTTTCCTGCATGGCTTCTACGGACTCGGTGCGGCTCTGTCGCCTTTAATAGCAACCACTCTAGTGACGAAAGCGGACTGGCATTGGTACGAATTTTATTACCTCATGGTCGGCGCAGCAGTGCTCGAGGTTATTCTCCTTGTCGGCACCTTTTGGAAAGCGGACGCTCAAGCCTATCACGCTGAACACCCTCGAACTGCTGACACCGACTCCTCGGGCTCGAGCACTCCCACCGGTATTGAAGCGACCAGCAACGGCGAAGGAGCGGCAAAGAAACAAGGCCTCCTTGGCAAACTGTCTCCGTTGCGAAAGAGAGGAAAGGGCAAGAGCAAGACAGCCGAAGCGGTCAAGAACAAAGTGACTATTCTCGCCTCGGTATTCTTACTTATCTATGTTGGGATTGAGGTTAGTATTGGTGGCTGGATTGTGACTTTTATGCTCCGTGTCAGGAAGGGGAAACCTTTTGCTTCTGGTCTCACATCCATGGGATTCTGGCTCGGGATCACTGTTGGTCGACTGGTCCTTGGCTTCGTCACAGCTCGACTCTTCAAGAGCGAGAAACACGCCGTGGCCACCTATCTTGTTTGCAGCGTGGCGTTGCAATTGCTGTTCTGGCTCATACCGAATTTCGTGGTCAGTGCAGTGATGGTTGGGCTCCTGGGATTCTTCCTGGCACCACTATTTCCTGCCGCGGTTGTGGCACTCACAAAGCTGCTTCCGAAGCGGCTGCACGTCGCCGCTGTGGGGTTTGCAGCCGCTTTTGGTGCGAGTGGTGCCTGCGTTCTACCGTTTGCTGTCGGTGCTATCGCCAATGCGGCGGGAGTCAAGGTGTTACAGCCCATCATACTGGCAGCACTAGTGCTCTGTTTGGGTGTATGGCTGTTGATTCCGACGCTGCCAAAACAGAGGATGGCATAATTAATCCTGGAGAGTGGGTGACGACCTTGCCGGCGATGATGGATCAAGCCGTTGGACGATGCCACATCGGCTCGATCGAATCGTATTGTTCGATTTGGTTGAAGCAAGGCTGAACAGAGCTCGACATGCTTCCGGATCGCACTGGTCTAGCGCGATTGGTCGGCACCGATACTTCTGCTTGAGCGGCTATCTTGCCAGACACCTGCAAACCAGCAGTTCCTGCACGAGGATGGAAAACGTGATAGGAGGATATATCTAAGTATATATGCTCGTCTCCAGGGGAATACCCTATATACTATCTGGTCATGTGGGGCGGGTCTTTGCAAGGGTGACTGCAGATCTCCCAAGCAAGGATCTCATGCAAGTCATCGCGTGGCAATGACGGTGTTTTCTGGCACAAATGGAATACGAGGTGAGCGTACGAGCTATTCTAACACGAGTTTCACGACAAAGAGATACGAGTACGGCGGTAGAGGCTCAGCTATTCTTGACGGCTATGGCGATGTGACCCAACCCTAACTGGAAAAGGGGGCTTCTAGGGGGCAAATGAAACAAGTGGAGGCGAGGTTCCATGCGAAGGGCAGTGGACGACTAAACCGCAGCGGGGCAGAATGGAGCAAGGGACCCAAGAGACTCATCGATTGGGGCTTCGCTAGATTGAAACCTGGCGAATTTGTGGGTGCCATTCTATTACCACAGTACCCCCCCTTGTTCAGCACGCTCAGCTCCTTTTTTTAACGACATCCCTTCACGCCATCTTCTGCCATCATTCTAGCCCTGGCGACCGGCAAGCAACGACCATGATTACGAGCGCGCATCCTTCTTTACCTGCCAGATAGATTAGATCTGCTGTTTCTTGGATTACTTGCACGAAGAGTACCTCGCAGCCCTGTCGCGTCTGGAACGCGCGTTTCCGCCACAGGACAGGCTGTCTTGATTTGTGGCTGGTGCCTCAGCAACTCCTTCGACATCAACTCCTTTCGCCAGGACCGACAGCATTCTCGAATCAACCGCTCTGAACCTCGGCCGATGCGGTCGCCCGGAGCTATGTTCACTCCAAGGCATGCGCCGTTGAAGGAGGGTCGCTCTCTCCCCGGGTTACCATATGCTGGACCGCCACGGCGGAATCTCCGATCACGACAAGGAGCACTCGCGATACTTTTATTAATATGCATACCTATAATATACCTTTTCATGTCGAGCGCTCCTACTTCGTCAATACAACCCCAGATAGTACCTCCTGGTGAAAACAATAAGGGCGCGATACCAATTTCCGATCCTCTGTTCCACGCACCCCAAAATGAGGCTCCCAATCAATGGCAACAAACACAACCACCGCAGCAACCCCAGCGACTCTCGCCGAATCTAGCCTCCAACGAGCACAACGAAGGACGGTTTGAAGCCGCTCCGGCAGAAGCACCAACCCAGCGGACCGACCCCGCCGGTCAAAATCTGGATTCAGCGCCTCAAAGGCCAAGAGGCCCTTCGAAAGCTGATTTGGAAGACGAGCCCTCTATCGCATCAATTGACGACGACACGGCTGCACAATCCAAACCTTACTCCAACAACGCCAAAGGTTCCGGTCTCTCCGGCTCTCCCCGATTCCTGTCCAACCCGAGTTCATTCTCTGAGCGCCCCAAATTCGAAAAGGCGCTCGCTCGTGTCATCAGCTTGCTCCCGGGCGAAATGGAAGGCAGGGACTTACTCCGCCCCGTGGAAGGCACCGGCAAGGAGAAACTCCGCGAAATGGGCCTCCGCGTCCGGGAGTACAAGAAATTCTTCGAAGCCTGGGAGAACTTGCACCTCACATTCGACGAAGAGGGTGGCAGCTACGTGCGCGACGACGTGATCCAGTACCTGAGACATCACCAGCATCAGCCCGCGGACGACGAGTTCGGCGAGACATCCCTCGCACAGACGATCCACTCGTACGAAGCATACCGGTACTTCCTGGTCAAGTTCGGCCAGCTGCTCTTCCCCTGGACGGCCCCCTATTTCCCGGACCACATGACTCTGCATTCGCACTTTAAAAAGGGTGGCCGCGGCATCGTGCTCACGGCAGGCGACGACCAAGCACCCTTTCTGCTCACCATCATCCCCACGTTCCGCAATCTCGGCTGCGACCTACCCATTGAGATCATGTACCTGGGCGACTCGGACCTGTCCGAGGACTACCGCTCCGACCTGGAGAGTCTGGACGGCGTCATCACGCGCGACATCGCGCAGATGGTCAACGACGAGGGCTGGAAACTGGCGGGCTGGGCGGCCAAGCCGTTCGCGATCCTGTACTCCAGCTTCCGCGAGGTCATCTTCATCGACGCCGACAGCCTGTTCTTCGTCAACCCGGCGACGCTGTTCGAGGACCCGGCATACCAGAAGACGGGGGCCCTGTTCTTCCGCGACCGTCTGATCATGCCGGAGAACAAGAAGCGCTGGCTGCAGCAAATCCTCCCGAAGCCCATCTCCCGGCAAGTCAAGCAGAGCCGCATGTGGACCGGGGATAGTGGGCACATGCAGGAATCCGGCGTCATCGTAGTGGACAAGTGGCGCCACTTCATTGCCCTCTTGTTCGTGACGCGGATGAACGGGCCGGACCGGGACGGAAACAAGGACGAAGGTCGCGTCGGTGTCTACGACATGGTGTACGGTATGTTTCCACCGCGTTATCTATCCCGATCCCTATCCCTATCCCTATATTATCCAATCTCCGACTCGGTCTCTATGATAGATGATGGTGCTAACAAGCTCTCAATCCAGGCGACAAAGAAACTTTCTGGCTCGGCTGGGAACTCGTCGGCGACCAAGACTACTCCTTCCACCAAGGCGACGCCGGCACCATGGGCACGGTGCAAGAACCCGAGCCCGACATGCCCAAACCGAAGCTCGTCAAGAAGAAACGCCCCGTGCTCGACGAGAATGGGCAGCCCAGACTGGACGAGTCGGGCCAGGAAATCCTCGAGGATTACGAAGTTCTCGAGGACCCCGAACCCTCTTCGCCCGAAGACGACGACGACGACGGCGACGACCGCCACAACAACCGGCCCGAGCCGTCCAATTACACGATCTGCTCCCCCCAGCTACTGCACCTCGACTTGGAGGGTAAACCGCTCTGGTTCAACGGCTGGCTGCTCGACAACAAGTTCGCGGACAAGAAGCAGAAGAAGTTCGGCAAGTTCGAGCACTATCTCATCGAGCCGCGCGACGTGCGCGACCCGGGGGCCTGGCAGTTGGAGGAGAGCAACATGTGCTGCTTGACCACGGATGCGGAGCTCAAGCGCGATTTCACGGCCCAGGAGAAAGACGTCTTGAACATGATGATCAGTCAGGCCAAGGAGGTTGGGGTTGCATCGTGATCGTGGTCATGATCGTAATCTTGGTCGTGATAGCGTTTATATCTTTGATATACGGAGTATATCTCTTTGATCTCTCTTCGGGCGGGAATCAGGCGGCATTGGATTAGATGAATGCATGTTATCTGATTTGACTGGATTGGATTGGATTGGACTGGGTTTGGATAGAAAAGTTGAGTTGAGTTCAAGGACAAGGACAGGGACAAAGCCCTTGTTCAAGCTTACTTTACCGTACGGAGTACTCTTGAAGCTTAGCGGAAGATTAGGCCGAGGCGTCACGGTGTTTTGTGTTACGGGGACTGTTTCGAAGTACACCTCTCTTGTGTTAGCATACCCATTGATGGGCGGATAGATAGGGTAGCCCTGCGCTTGGTCGCCGGTGATTCATTCAGAGGCATCTCTTGGATATTGCAGGATGAGCGCGTTATTTTCTTTCACCTGTGCAATAACACAAGCCATGCCCGGCGTTGTTGTGAATCTATAATCGTTGGGTTCTGTCTGTCCTCGAAGGCAGTCTAGTCCTTGCACAGGGCTTCGTCGTCTCGGTGCCCAATGCGATAGAGAGCGAGGTTGGGATAAATCAGACGGAAAGGAACAGAACCAGGAGCAATATACTGGCAAGAACGGATGCAAACCGCTGGAAACGGTCGTCCAGGACGCGGATGATCCCGACGGTGATAGAGGAGAGAATTGGGAGGCCGAATCTTGAGAACTAATTCGCTCCAGTTAGAAGATGGTCTGCTGCATAGTGTCAAGCACCTCCAACAACCTGACAAGGATCGGGCCCCATGGGGACAAACCTACATCTAGTCATTCAGGCTAGACTATAGCAACCAATACTCGTCTTCCCAGCACAAGCTCCTGAGACCGTCTCAACGCATTAATGGTACACGGTACACTTCCTTTTTCACGCTGCCGGGGCCCCCTCCGAAGAATGCTCAAACACTGGAACGCCATGCAATCGCACCCGATAAAGACACGTATACTCCGCGCCGTAATTCTCAGTGGCCCTCACCACGAAATTCTGCGCCGCATACGCCAATGAGTCTTGATTCACATCCAGCGGGAACGCCTGGACGTGACTCGCCTCGCCCGAGGCATCATATTCCATCCTTCCGACCAACGCGTATGTCGGGCCGATCGGGCTTCCGCCTTCGCTCTGCATTTGTCGTATATTCAGAGACTTCCACTCTCGACTATCGAGATGTCCGAAGTCAGCCCAGAGTTCAATGACTTTGGGAGTTGATCCAGGCAGGAGCGATCCCCCACTAGGGTAATTCTCCACCACGACTTCAAGCGGATAGATCATTTCTGTGACCGTGACTCCTAACCGCATCGTGTCTGCCTGGTCATGCTCCGCATCCGCACCTGGTGCAGATGACGCGCACCAACAATCACCCACGTCTTGCCACGGTGACAACGCTGTAATGGGGGGCTTGGAAACATATCCGGCGGAGAGGAAAACACGAAGCAGGACTCGTTGAATGAATGCAAGGGGCCTTTGCATCGTGGGCGAGGTAAGTCGTGGTTCAACCATTGCTCCGTTGTTCGGGGCGAGGTAGTTGATTTTAGGAATGACTGGGGAGGCCACATCGCCCAATAACGTGTTTGATCGGCCACCCAGTTTCAGGTTGGCGACGTGACTAGAGA